ACTCTCCACGACCAAACAATCGCCGCTTAGAGTGACCCAGGGGGCTTGTAGGGCAAGAAGAAGAAGAAGTAGGCCTGCGAGTTCGACCTAGAAGACTTTCTTGTTCACTGGCCGAATCGACACTGTTTCTTCTCCTCCCAACCAAAGACTGGTTGCGGCGAGGACCAAAAAATAACCTGCCATGCTCCAAGTCCCCATTCTGCCATTGCTCATATTCACTGATACTGCGTCCTTCGCCTTCATCCTCCTCTGCATAGTTCTCATCGGTGTCTAGCTGTACAAAGGAACCAAATGGGTAGATTAGATACCAAGAAAGTCCTGAGAAGACTCTCCCATACTCCATAGCACTGGAGGAATAATAGGCGAAAATGAAGCATGCGACAGCACCAGTAAGAGCTGCAAGGGCGAGCCACCACCCAAAGAACACGGTCCACAACAGGTTGGTCAAGAGAAGCAAGTTTCCTACGCGACCCCCGGGGGACGAGTGAATATCGCCTTCAGCGGTCTTTTCCACTGAGCGGCTTTTCTTGTATAAGGCAGGTTTCCAAATCCGGATTCCAAAGGGGTGGGTTTCGTTGATAGCTTGTTGACGATCCTTGAGCGTAAAGCTTTCCGCATCACTAGTTGTCTCGTCTTCTTCATCGTTATCTTTGCTATTCTCTTCGCTATTGCTTGCATCATCATCGTTATCACCGCCGTGCTGGTCGTGGTCGTGGTCTTGGTTGTCGGCATCATCACCGCCGCCACCACCACCATAATCGTCCTCACCGCCACTGCTGGGGTCTGGCTGCCTAGTATTATCCGGCCCAGATTGCTCCAGACTAGAATCCGGCAAGGCTGATTCGTCGGCTTTGCCATTGTCAGAATCCACCTCGGTTCGTGTTAATGAAGTGGTGACTCGAGGATGGACTCTCCGTCGGATAGTCGAATTCTGCTTTCTCAAAGGGCGAGTTCTCGGCGAAGGCTGTGCGTGCGTTACTTGCTGCATAGCTATATCTTCCTCAACTTCTTGAACATCATCCTCTGTAGAGAATTCTTGGCCTTTATGAGGAACCTGGCGCTTCGAAGACATGCGGCGGGTCACGGGTGGCTTCCTTGGTTTTTCAGGTTGAAAGGTCCCTGCGGATGAGGATTGAGACGTAAGAGCGCGACTTGAGGCTTCTGGGAAACTTTCGTCTGGGCGTGAATCGGGGCTCGTCTTGTCGTTGGGATCTATGGTACCTGCACACAAAAACAAACATCGTTAGTACCTGGACGTTGCGTCCTTCTTGACAAGATACTTTGGGTTCGCACCATAGCTTCTTCTGGTTTGGGCAGCCATTCTTGACTGACGAGCAGTCCCGGAAAGCATGCTGTCGCCCTCTGCGTTCGAGACAGATGCTGATCGGTTTTCGCTTTGCAAGGGACGCGACAACCCATGCTCTCCTCGTTTACTGTCCATTTGATCCAATTGTTCTCCGGCGCCTCTCCTCTCTCTCTTTCTCCTTCAATGCTTTCTATTCCTGCTCGGTGCTCTGACGTGTATATTCGGGGAGAGGGGGACTGGAAAAATTAAGAAGGCCCAAGAAATTAATCGATAGAACTTGTCTTCTTTTTTTTGGTTTATATTTTTGATTTGATTTGCTTCCGCTTCACTTCTTTCTCTTATGAGAAAAGGAAAGAGATAAAAAATAAAACGAGAAAAAAAAAGGTGGCCTGCACTCGAAACAAAGACGAATATGTGGTCGGTGCAAGTCCCAAATTACATAGTGTAATGGACCTTCAAGAATTTTCAAGAGTTTCGCCGACCTGCATAAAGACGGGAACGACGCGTATGAACAAAAAGCCGAATGAGTACGGAGGAGGAGGGGGGGGGGATTTCGCAAGATCTATGTATGTAGCTAACTAGTAGTAGTAGGAATTAGATCATGAGATAAGTTCTCGGTCCCCGCAGTCAGCTGAGGTCTCAGACCTCGTGAAATAATTGAAAATGGGAACGAAAAACGAAAAAATTGATTCGTTGGGCATAGATGTCTGGGATGCCAGTCTCAAGTTCAAGTCCGAGCTTTGGAAAATTGGGAGGAAGGAGTAAGCTGGAGATTCCCTTGAGGAGGAAGAGGGAGGAAGTGGATAGTTAGTTAGTTACCTGTACGGATTAAGTAACTCGGTAACCTAAGGCAGCAGTGGAAATGATACCGTATCGATGTAATACAGTATCTTATGTGGCGGTGCCAAAGAACTGTGGCTGATGTCGGTTGCTTTGCTGATCAGCTTCGCCGACCCTACGTAACTTGCTTCTCTCTACCTTGACAACGACCTAACTAACCCCCAGAATTACCCTTCTTCTTCCTCTTTTTAATTCCACCACCCCTTACTCTGCTCATATCATCACTTCGCTCTGGGGATCCAGTTATTTCCAAATCATTGGATTACCCCTAGTGGATAACCATTCCGTGGGAGCGTCACCGTCAAGTTGTCCGTCATGGCGCTCGACAACTACTATCGCAATAAGATTGAGGGCATGAAGCTCGAGATCATCCAAGGACAAGCTGTTTTGCGAAGACTGGAAGCGCAACGCAATGACTACAACTCCCGAGTGCGCCTTCTCCGCGAGGAGCTGGGTCTGCTACAGCAGCCTGGTTCGTACGTGGGTGAGGTAGTGAAGGTGATGAGCACTAAGAAGGTCTTGGTCAAGGTTCACCCAGAAGGAAAATACGGTTCGTTTTTCTTAATTTCTTCCTTTCTGTCACGCCCCAGCCGACTGACCCCATTCGCATGATACTAGTCGTGGACATCGCCGATGGCGTCGACATCGGGAAGCTGACCGTTGGCAAGCGCGTTGCCTTGCTGTCTGATTCCTACAAACTAGAGAAAATGCTGCCTTCGTCCGTCGACCCGCTGGTGTCACTTATGATGGTCGAAAAGGTTCCCGACAGCACCTACGATATGATCGGTGGCTTAGACCAACAAATCAAAGAAATTAAGGAAGTCATCGAGCTCGGTCTCAAGCACCCGGAACTATTCGAGTCCCTTGGTATTGCTCAGCCCAAAGGTGTTCTTCTATACGGACCACCCGGAACCGGTAAAACGCTGCTTGCCCGAGCTGTCGCCCATCATACGGATTGCCGGTTCATTAGGGTGAGTGGATCCGAGCTTGTGCAGAAGTACATTGGCGAGGGTAGCCGTATGGTGCGCGAGTTGTTCGTGATGGCTCGAGAACACGCCCCTAGTATCATCTTCATGGATGAAATCGATAGTATTGGATCCAGCCGCATAGACTCGGCGGGCTCCGGTGATTCAGAGGTTCAACGTACCATGCTGGAGCTTCTCAATCAGCTGGATGGTTTCGAACCTACGAAAAACATCAAGATCATCATGGCTACCAATCGACTTGATATTCTTGACCCAGCCTTGCTACGCCCGGGACGAATTGACCGGAAGATCGAGTTCCCCCCACCTTCGTAAGCGCCCCTTGTCCCCCATCCCCCTCCTCCGGATCCTCTGGATCGGTTGTAAGCAGACTGCTGACTCTCTTCTCTCGCGGCAAATAGGGTTGAAGCTCGTGCGGATATCCTACGAATTCACTCCCGATCAATGAATCTGACACGGGGTATAAATTTAACGAAGATTGCCGAGAAAATGAATGGATGCTCCGGAGCCGAACTGAAGGGTGTGTGTACTGAAGCGGGTATGTACGCACTCCGGGAACGACGTGTGCATGTTACGCAAGAGGATTTCGATCTGGCAACTGCCAAGATTCTCAACAAGCACGATGACAAGGAGGTGGCCGTTTCCAAACTTTTCAAGTAGATAAAGCCTTTGACAACGACGGTCTTGAATGAATGGAGAACCGAGAAACAACATACCAAGCCAATTAATTATCCCGTAAGCAAAAATTTGCAGACTACCTATGTGAGACGGGGAAGATCCCCTGTGATTGGGGGGAAGGGGGTAGGACAAGCCTGCAGAGAGTGAAGGCAACTCTGCTCTGAGGTGTAATCCATTTAGCCGATCATCAATCATCAATCATCCAGAGTACGGGGAACTCATTCTACAAAGGGCGTACGGTGTACACAGTAGGCTACCATACCAAGGCGCTAACAGTCTTGGCCAGGATCTACCGAGTAGGGAGTAGGTCAGTACGGAGTAAGGTTGAGGTATAATGAAGAGGAAGAGGTGGAAGATCCGGAAGAACTGGAGAAGGGAAGGATCGCCCCGGATGTCGTGGCACGGTGGCAGGAGGTTGGATGGGGCGCGTGACCCGCGGATCTTTTCCAGGGTCTCGGCTCTGGTGGGGCCGCGATCCGCTGACCTTCCATCTTCTTTTTTTCTGTAGGTAGAGACTAGATACTGTAGGAATTAGGACGGACGTCGAGTTGGGTAGGTTTTCCGCAACAGGGCTTCTATCAGCTCCCTACGAAGCACTCAACGTACAGTACATCTCGATTCTATCCGTGCCCTTACGGAATACTTTGAGAAACGGATAAACATCTTCCACCAGAGTTCTGGAAATTCGCCCCTGTCCTTCCCTCCTCTACCCCCCGGACTTGCTCTTTTGGTCATTCCCGGGCCCATTCTTATTATTGTTCCTCGCGGGTTCCACTTGGCTCGGCTTCCGATGCAAGCTGTAGTACAGCGTGTAGCCTTCCTTCATCTAATCCCCGTCTCATCGGCTCCCTTTTAACCGCCTCAGCGCACTTACTCGGTACGGTGTAGATTGTATGCAGTCCCCGTTTTAAAGTACGGCTTATCGGCTGGCCTTCCTTCCCTTACTCTGATTCTTCTTGGGTCCCCCAACATTCCCCTGCTGGTTGGGGATATATATAAAAGGTCTCTCTCTCTCTCTCTCTCTCTCTCTCTCTCTCTTTCCATTCTCGATTCAATTCATACAGTACTTTTTTGCCTCGTTCTTTCCCTTTATCCCCTACCATCCAGAACATCAGTATATATGCCCACCCCTGTAGAAAGGTGAGCTGTGGACTTCTCGAGCAACTACCATCGACCCCGGCGATATCACAACGATGCCCGTGGTTCTACAGTCCACCATCAATCTGCTGGAAACCGAACTGGCCAAGGCTAGGGCCGCTCTCAAAGATATCCAATCAGACGCCGCCCCCGCATTGGTGCACGGAGATGAGATCGCCGTAGGTGCCGTGGCGGCCTACCGTCAGAATCTCATCGGTCGAGCCCCCGAGTTCTTTTACGGCTCTCGTCGATTGTCCCCCAAGGAAGTGGGTTTGGTTCCGGTCGTTCGAGAAGTGTTGCCAGATGAGGATGATACCGCAGCCCAAGAGCTGTGTGGACACGGCGTCGGCACTATCTCCCGCAGACAGACCTCTCTGGTCGATGTTCTGTCCAACAGTCTGATTCTGGATCATATGGCACCCTATCTATCGGTCTCGTCCCTATTCGCTTTGGCGTCAACGTCACGTTGCCTTCAAGCCACCATCCTGGAAACGCCCTACGTATTCCGCCACCTCGACCTGACCCAATCTCGCGGCGCCTACATTCCTGACAAGGGCGCAATTGACTCCCCCGAGGGCGAAGAAATAACCGAGGACGACTTTTATTCGGCCCCTTTGAGGCGTGTATTCACAAATTTAGAACACAGGTCGATTTTGCAAGATGTGCGCACCTTGGTTCTGGATGGTCTTACAGTCCCTGCCGATTTGGTGGCTGATATTATCTTGACCGAACGCTTCAACGTTAACGTTCTATCCATAAGAGAGTGTCGTCACCTGAACGAGCGCAAGTTAATGCAGGTGCTACAATATGCCGTCCGACCCTCGCGTCCCCGGGGTACCCCACGCATCAAGGGCATCTATCATTTCACCCCCATGAATCATGCTCGGGCCATGGTGCGGAGCAAGTATCGTGATTGGTGGAGTTCACGATGCGCTGGCCAAGCGCTCCGTGGCGCAACGGCTACAGAGAAAGCCGACTCGCCTCCCCACGACCAGCAACCGGAGAGTCCGCAGTACTGCCAAAACGCATGGTATCGTCCGTCAGGGAGACTGTTCCAGCGAAGCATCGAGGATGGTTGGGCACAGACCATTCAACGATGTGAGGGTATTATTGCTTTTGATGCGGTACTGTGTCGAGGGCCTCGACACGGCCCTGAGCTCTCTGGCACACCCTCGATCGAAGAACAGGGTGTGTCTCACGGAGCAGATCGACCAGTAGGACGGGAACCGGCAATTGCTACCATTGCCTTGGACCCCGACGGGTGTGACGGGTGTCAAAAAATATCTCCTGAAGGACCAGCAATCTGGGGTCGATCTCCGCCCGAACGATTCCCGCTGCTCACCCCGCCTCCTCTTCATTCATCGTCAATTGCGGCGGCAAAGCGCCCTGCGCTTTTCCCGGACGAGCACCCCTCTATGGTTGCCCGCTGCGCGGACTGCATGAATAATCGGTGGTGTCATTGTTGCAATAAGTGGTTTTGTACCAGCTGTCTACCGCATCCTGAGCGTGTGGGTAGTAACCTGTCTCCACACCAGACGGCGGTGCGCAGTCGAGGCAACAGCCATCTGTCCCAGGAATCAAGAGTATGTGGCCCACCACCCACTCCAGCCCCCACTCGACGGTCTAACCGGGAGAATTCACTAACCTCGAGTGTCATAGAGGACCGGACCCGGCGTGAGCAAAGACTGCTGGGAATGTGGGCCGACCGTAAGTATTATTATCCTTTTGTCTAGCCAATCTTTAACTGATAACCGGTTCCAGTGCGCTGCGTGCAAGATAGAATGCCAACGGACGTGCCAGAGCTGTCGGGGAGAGTATTGTATTGAGCACAACGAAGGATGTTCTTCGACGATGGTAAGCAATACGCTTAGAAGCATTGTTTGCCAAGCTAATGGGACCGTCTATCAAGTGCGACTGGTGTAACACAAGCACACGCCATCGATTGAGACAAATCTGTTGACGGGTTGACTGGCCATTGACCAGGGGAGATGGGAATCTTCGCACTCCACTCCATCTTGTATCATATCTATGCATATCAGATATATATCTATATATACCTATATATAGTTCCATATAGATACTCCGTGTAGAGTGGTTCCTAACGTAATCCACGGGCGAGCGGTCCATTTTCACTGCAACAACCACAAATTTGAAGCTTTGCAACCACCAACGCCATGGAATTAGACAATTTAGCACACTAAAATATAGCTAATTACTATGACAGCTTCGTATTGTATGTCCAACTGTCCCACAGCCACTGCAGCGTGGTAGAGCGCGTTAGCGAGGCACAGGTGCAGGCTCATCAACCTGCTTTATTAAGCTGCGTATCAAGCTGCTGAATGCGGTCACAACCTTCCAGTACAGATATAAAGAGATCATTTCCTAGAGTCGTGCGTCTTCTTGCTTTCTTCTTTAGTTTCCACTCATTTTCAGCTCGTAAAACCTTTATTTCTTGTTGAAGAAGAAGGTTCGCATTTATTGCCATTTGCGCAGCTTTTTCAAGATGTTGAATATGAGAGACTGGACTGCTAGAAAATGTTCTTTTCTTTTGAAGATTTCTTTGTAGCCTTTGAACCTTACGATCAATCTGGCGAGAGTTCTGAGGTGTTTGAAAAGCTGATGATATTGAGCCTTCAGTAAGTAATGGTAGTGTTAGTGTGCGAAGTTAAAAGGTAATTTTTTCAAGAACCCGATCTTGATTTAATGGCTTAAGACCAGCCCCTGCAAAGCCATTGCATATATTTTTTGAAGTAAAGACTGTTTCACATGCAGAAGGATATAGGTGTAAAAAATCCTGTTTGTCGATATAGTTATTTCTAGCCTTCATCATGTCTTCAACTAATTTGCCGTCGCGCGTTTAAGCGGTCCAAAAATACCAACATCCAGTGGTTAAAGAAGATGAGAAGTATGCGGAGGCATACAAAGACAAATTATTGCATTCTCTTTGCAGAAATTGTTAAATCCAGCAGTTTGATAACTTGAATGGCTATCAAGAATAAGTAACCGCTTCGCACCAGTTGAATGTAGTTTAGAAAAAGGATCAAACACTTGCTTTAACCACTTGAAGCCTATCTCATCTGTTGTCCAGCCATTGGCGCTATTGGTAAGGTTCCAATCTTGAGATAGATTAGACTTCTGGTACCCAGGAGCCTGATGTTCTTTTCCCTTTAAGATAACCACTGGTGGTATATCAATCCCCCTAGAACTCACACATTCAATGATAGTGACCCATTCGCGATTCCCTTGGATAACTCTTCAAGGTCTTTCACTGCGCTCCACTGCAGTAATAACCTTAGATGTTGAGCAGAGCCCCATTGAGAAGCCAGTTTTATCAAAGTTCCAAATATCATTCTCATGTATACCATGTTCCTGAATGGCTTCGTGTACAATTGTAAACCATGGTTTTATAATCTTTGGATCCTCCTGTTTCGCGCGCTGGTGTGATCCTCCGATTATATCGTGTGCATAGTGCTGGATGGCGTTTAACAAAGGTAGATGTCCAGTTAATACTAATAGCTGCATTAGGATCCCGTGTACGTTCTCAAAGTAAGATCTGTGCCATTTCACGCAGAAACTCTGGTCGAATTGAGAAGCCTCGTTTATCTGCGTCTAGCAGATGCTTAGAAAGAACTTCTTCAAGAATCGTTAATTTATGGTTATTGGCGCGTGTTTCCGACCGTGGTTGAGTTCCTTTGAGTCGATTAAGAAAGGTAGTTTTAGATACACAAAACACTGCAGCTGCCTTTGATTTTGAATGAAATTTTTTTTATTATTATAAGCTTCAATGGCCATTTGAATTCGTGATTCCTGAGAAAGAGGCATTTTGTATGGTTGTTGCAATAATATAAAATGTCAAAGGATGAATGTTGGAAGTTGACGCGAAAATGGACCGCTCGCCCGTGGATTACGTTATAATTCCTGTTCCTCTCTGCTGGTCCCGTGACTGGCAGCTGGATGACAAATCGGCACCCGTAGCTTCCAGAACGGCCGCTGTGGTTCCTCCACTCCATCTCTCCACAAGACGTCAGGTCTTTCGAATTCTTTTTCCATTTAAAGAGAAATGCGCTTCCATCTGATTTCCCCCTCCACAATCCCACTGGCTGAAGACCATGGCCATGGCACCAGAGCCGTTGCGCTGGTCGTCGGATTTCAAGGTCACTCCGTCCCAACTTACACCTAAACTGCCCGGAGATAAGATCATCTTGCCCCAATCTGCTCTGGCACAGCTCTTGGCTGCCGCTCCGCTCCAGGAAACGAACCCCCCCCCTCGTTCGCACACCGCTGCCTTCGATCCGCTCAACCCATATACCTTTGCGGCCGAGTCTAGGGCGAGGGAGCAGGCCGGGAGTCGCCAGCGTCAACTACCCCAACCGCTTACGTTTCGCGTCATTAACCCACAGAATGGCCGTGCGATCTATGCGGGAATCCGGGAGTTCTCCGCCGAGGATAATGAAGTAGGCATGAGCGCCTTCATCCGTGCTGCTCTTGGACTGGAGGAGGAATCCTCGCCGCAATTGAACCTTCAAAACCCGCTAGGATCCCTGTCTTCGAGCGTTCCGCCGCCCCCGTCACCCCGCCCTGTGGTCACAATCCACGTGAAACAACTGCCGAAAGGCACCTACGTCCGCCTGCGCCCCCTCGAAGCCGGCTACGATCCGGAAGATTGGAAGGCCCTTCTCGAGCGTCATATGCGTGATAATTACACCACGCTAACAACCGGCGAACTTCTAACGGTGCCCGGCGGCCAGGATGGGTCTTTTAGGTTCTTGGTCGACAGGGTGGAGCCGGAGGGTGATGGAATTTGCGTCGTCGATACGGACCTTGAAGTTGATATCGTGGCTCTGTCCGAAGACCAGGCCAGGGAAACATTGCGGAAGCGACTGGAGAAGGCCTCGCGTGCGCCTGGAACTCAAACAGGTTCGTCGATGGGTGGCGCACTTGCATTGGGAGTGTCTGTCGCTGGCCAAGTGATACCAGGCGAATACGTGGACTATGAACTTGACAACTGGGACCGAGAACTTCCAATAGAGGTTGAACTTGATGTCGAGAGTGTAGAACATGCAGATGCCTATCCGTTGATCAGTCCGTTTTCCACGCGACAGCGGAATCGTCCGAGGGGGGATGAGCACATCTTTAGTGATTTCTCAGGTAGACCGTCGAAACGAATCAGAATGCAGCCGACAAACATGGCGCTTGAGGGAGCAGAGGCTTTGTACATATCGGTATATGCCTTCGCCACCGCTCCCACCAATCTGGAACCATCCACGACGCCCTTGCGGTTTAGTCTGCGCGTGGCCGGTAGTTCGCCGGCCGATGACGGAGAAAAACACACGACAGAAGACACGACCCCTACACCCCAAAATCCAGATGATGAGGTGCAATGCAAGAATTGTCATCAAGAGGTGCCCCAACGGACTTTGATGCTGCACGAGAACTTTTGTCTTCGGAATAACGTATTTTGCTCTCACTGCCACACCGTATTTCAGAGAAGATCATTGGAATGGGAACAGCACTGGCACTGCGATCGCGATGATTCTCATGGCAATGACTTGCCAAGCAAACACAGGCATGACGCGATCTTCCACACCGCATGGCGTTGCCATGCCTGCGGGCTCGAAGAGCAGCATCAGGGGCTTCCCCAGCTTGCTCGGCACCGCACCACGGACTGCCCGGGTAAGCCGATTCTGTGTCAGTTTTGCCACCTTGTGGTTCCCCAGAAGGGTGACTCGGACCCCGAGATGCATGATCCGGAAGTTTTGATGTCTGGGCTCACTCCCCACGAGTTGGTAGATGGCGGGAGGACGACCGAATGCCACCTATGCGGTAAAATTGTTCGACTGCGAGATATGAGGACGCATCTGCGTCATCATGATTTGGAGCGGTTATCCAGACCGCCTCCTTACATCTGTAGGAATCAGAATTGCGGGCGGACCCTTGATCGCCGCAGCGCGCAAGGTACAGCAGCCATCCTAGGAACCGACACTTTGGGTCTCTGCAGCATCTGTTTTGGACCCCTTTACGTGGACATGTACGATCCGGAGGGGAAAGCGCTCCGGCGCCGCATCGAACGACGGTATCTCTCCCAAATGATGTCAGGATGCGGGAAACCCTGGTGTCAAAATGAGTACTGCAAGAATGGCAGACAAGCCAAGCAATCGTTCACGTCTGATCGTAGTATTGATACCCAAACCAACAATGCCCTTCCGGCGGCAACTGCCTTGGCCACGATACGGCCCTTGGTTGAAGCTGTTGGCCTACAGAGTGGACGACCGAACACAACTGCTCCTTTCTATTTTTGCACCGACCAAGTCGGCCAGCAGCGGCGCGTTCTCGCAGAGATGTTGGCCGCGGAATGTACGGCGACCGGCGGCAAAACATACGATTTGGCATGGTGTATTGCCGCGGTCGAAGCCACAGCGGGCAACATGGACAAGGCGCCGGAGTGGTTGGAGAACTGGGCTCCTGCCCAGGGTGAGGATTCTTCTGACGCCCTGACGTGAACACGTCATTTCCGCACATATGCGACAAGAACAATCTCTAAGCAAGGAAGAAGATCTTTAAATGGCGAGCTGAATAGGATATTGCACATAGATAAGAGACTTTAATTATCATCGCATATACGCCATACCCCGTTACTTGGACTCGTCATAGCTAGCTTTTGGTTTAGATCTAAACTTTGTTTGATACACATTCTGGCAACTCCTTATGACCTCTCATGTTTCTCATACCAAGACGGGGGCAAGACGCACGGCTGTTAGTGGAGTGGGGTGTTTGGAATCATCAACTGCCTGAATCATGTGCTGACTGTAGGGGCCGCCACCGTGAATGTATATATGCCAGCCGTTGTGGAATTCATCGTTAAACAGCACCTGTCTTAGCTGCCAGAGTGCCACTCCCCCGCGAAGAAAAGATGCCCATGATACCAAAAACGACGTAGAAGAGCGCCAGCGGATATGCAACGAGGCCCCTCATCCCCCGCATGCGCGCAACAGCGCAGAACATCCCCGAGGAGCTGAAGGTACACCAGCCCACGGCCGCTGTCGTTAAGAGGTACCCTAGCATGGAGTCCATAGGGATGACGATTCCGAGCAAGCTGGTCAGAACTAGCGGCAAGAAGCAGTAGCCCAAGACGCTGGCCGAGCGAGGGAAGGTAAGGGTAGCGGAGAAGTGACCAGCAGCTGAAGCGTCGGACAGGGTGGGTTTATGATGGGAGTCGTAGTTTGTAGGGTGCTCGGCGTTGGGCGTGGGCGCGGTGTCGAGGGCCGGAGACATAAGACTGAGGATAAGATGCAAAGCAACGGTCCCGAAGACGGCCACGCCGTAGATATAGCCGTAAAATACCTTCCCCGAAAAAAGAAGAAACGTTCCGTAGAGGACGATATAGAGGAGCGCGCCGTAGAGATCGCTGTCGTCCATGAGATGCTGATCGATGCGGGCAAAAGGATTAAGCACGGTCGAAGTCTGGTGAGCAGGATTTTGAGTCAGTTTTCTTCGCCATTCATCAATGTGTTGCCTCTCACATTTCCTCGTTGGAAGATCCGAGCTGACCTTTGTACGAATATGTTCGAAATTCACCCCCAGTTCTTCTAACAACGGGGGCTCGCCGTCATATCCCTCCGTCCCAAAAGCAGCCAGCCAGCCGGTTCGCAGGCCACTCTGTTCGCCCATCCTCCCACTGACTCCAGGGGTTGGAGATCCAAAACCGCCATAGCTGCTACCAACGCTTCCCATGGGATACGCCGGCGCACCTGGATTCGGGGCAGCACCGAAGCCGCCATAGGATGCCTGAGAGGGTGTAGTATGACCGGAAGCCGAGGTGTACGAGGAAGGGTAGAACTGGAGATTTTGTGCGGAGGCCTGGGCGCCGTAGGGCTGTTGCTGCGGGTAGTATTGGGCCATTGTAGCCAAGATGGTTGATGAGTATACAATGAGAACGAGGAAGTAGGGGAAGGCCGATAAGGCAAGTTGTTGAACTGGCAACAATTCGGGGATCGCAAGACTGACAGCAGGTGACCTGGTACGGTAACGTATCCATGTACTGAACAGTGTGTGTAAGACACCATACATTGTGTATTTAATGGTACGGTATATTACATATAGTACAGTGGTACCTAACTACATGGGGAAATTCAGACTGACTAAATAGCAAAGAATAAGACCTTTCTCTCTCTCTCTCTCTCTCTCTCTCTCTCTCTCTCTTTCTCTCCCTCTTTACAAATCGCCGGTTCATCTACAGGAAATTAATGCCGATCCCCAGCTGCAATCCTTTTCTCCCTTCTTCGCCTTTTCGCAGCACCAAGGGGAGGGAGAAGTTCAACTCAAACCTGGCGACTGAATGGGCGTACACAAGCCCAACTCCCGCGGCGATACTGGGCAGGCCATTTCCTAACTCGGAGATTGTCGACGTGACCGCATCACTCACCTCGGCATTCGTGGTGGGCGCGTTCTTCTGAGCAGTGCGTAGAGGCAGCAACCGGCCACCATTCACAAAGGCCTGCAGGCGCAGGGGCTTCTCGGCGCCAACACGAGGGAGTGGAAGGAGCAAGTTGGCACTTCCTGCTGCATAGACGTCGCCTCCGACGGCGTCTGCCCCATCATGAGGTCCGAGGCCGCAGAGACGGAATCCCCGAACGTCCGTCGGCCCTCCAAGAAGGAAGCGATCATTGGTACGGGAGAGTTGCGGCTTTGAATCCGAACCAACTCCAAGGGGGTAAAGAAGCCCAGCGCGGAACCCCGCAGTAAAGGAAATGCCGCTGTCGCCTTTGACGCCTGGGATCGGAATCGGTACTGCGCCCTGCGTTTCGATTTCGGATTTCCAGAAAGAGACATCCCCCTTCAAAGTTCCCAATCCGGCCAGCTCGTTGAATGTCTTGGCATAATATCCACGGGACGGGAGAAGGGGATTGTCTCGTCCATCCTTGGCCCAGCTGTGGAAGATGCTGCTCTTGACGCTGTCCCCGCCATCTGCTCGAATCGTGGAGGAAGCGTTCTCAGCCAGGCTGGTCATCTGTCTCCAGAAGCCGTTGTAGCCAGCCTCGTGGCGATGTCCGGACTGGCTCAACCAGCGGAGTTTACCCCAACCACCCTTCAATACCTCTTCGTGACTAGCCCATGACTTTTGGGTGGAGCTGGCAAGTCCGCCAATCTCAAACCGGAAGTCGGGGTCGCTGAGAATGGGCGTCTCAAACGTAGCTTGGTAAGCGGATCTCGTTCTAGTTCCCAGGGAGGCATTGAGATTTAGGTTTTCGGCACCACCAAACACATTGCGCCACAGGAGGTTACCGTAAGCAGACCCTTCCGTGTTCCCAAGGTCTGTTCCGGTCTTGAGCAGCACGCGTGACTTTTCCTTCACCGAGACGTAAACATTGAGATTCGGCAAACCTGTCCGGGCATCGACTTCGGGTGACTGGTCCAGGTACACTGAAATAGGTTGCTGGAAGAGGTCTGCGGCGCATAAGTTAGATCTACAACTGAAATATACGGCGGTGGTGTCGTCGGATACAAACCGAATCTGCCGAGTTTGTCCGCGCGTGCCGAGACTTCCCGCAAAGCCTCAGACAGGGTGTAGGGTCTTTTTTGGTTAGTGCTCAGCACTGGGTCAAATATGCGTTCGAGGAAACCCCTGCGCGTGTGATGAGCATTGAGGACCTGAATTGAGGAGATGGTGCATGGCAAGGTGGAGTTTTGGTCAATCTAGATGTAGACTGGTCAGCTCTTAGAAGTCCCGCTTTAAGAAACCGAGTACTCCTTGAGAGGAATAGTTCAAGGAACAAATAAAAGAGAGCAATCTGACTAATTCTCCCAGCCGATCCTGGGCTTTCTGGTAAACTGCATGAACCCGTTCATTGATAGCGTCCTGCCGTTCCTCGAGCACCTTCGGGTCGGCGCGTTGCTGGAGGCGCTCGAATATCTTCGGGAGCCAAGGCAAAGCGCGAGACGGTTAGCCGGACGAAAGACAAGACATGTTGGCAGGGAGGAGACATACAGCGTCATCCTCGGCGGGGATTGTAGAGGACATCGCGGGCGGCGGCAATGGCCAAAAAATGACTTGGAGAGAGAAGGGAAGTATCAATTCGATTGGTGCTCGGGCTGCGAGGACGATGTCAGTCACGTGACCAGCGGCTGGTGTCGTCCCGGCCCTCCTCGCCAGTCTCGACCGGCCTCTTCTACCTTCCGTCGGTATTGCCACTATCATCTATCCTTCATACTTCAAGGGGGTCTAGGCATTCAGGAAGAAAATATGGCGACAAAGGCAGCCTTCAAAAGGGTGAGAATCAACCAAAATTCAAATGACAGTGATGCTAATAAATGATGCTAACCATAACACAGCTCACTCGCGAGTACCAGAACATTGAAAAGAACCCCCCGCCTTTCATCGTGGCGCATCCGTCAGAGTCGAACATCCTCGAGTAGGTTGAACTGGAAGATACCACCGTGGCGATGCGAGCCGCTACCCGTACAAGATTAACCTGCTCTTCAGATGGCATTACATCCTTACTGGTCCGCCCGGCACTCCGTACGAAAATGGCCAGTATTGGGGGACACTGCTGTTCCCCCCGGAATACCCCTTTGCCCCGCCGGCGATTCGTATGCACACCCCAAGTGGCCGATTTCAACCGTCGTCTCGGTTATGTCTAAGCATCAGCGACTTCCATCCCAAGTCCTTCAATCCGGCTTGGGAGGTTTCAACAATTCTCATCGGACTACTCTCCTTCATGACGAGCGAAGAAATGACGACAGGTAGTGTCAGTGCGTCGGAAGCGGAGCGAAGAGTATTGGCGGCAAGATCGAGGTGGTGGAATTCTACTGGTGGAGGCTCTCATGTTAATGCCACGCCGGGCGTAACTCCTAGCGCCAAAGGATTCAACAATGTCAAGGCCGGGGATGGGGGTCTCAAGTTCCGGTCGGAATGGCCAGAGTTGGACCAAGAAAACTGGAGATGGATGAAGGACAATCGCATTGACACCAACTCCGGCCAACTGATTCCCGAACCTGGCGCTGCCGCCACGAAATGTTCGCCAGAAACCAGTGCTCTTCGCAGACGCCCTAACGGCAGTGCGCCCCGGCTCGGGGCCGTCATGGAGGGTGGGCATGTGGCACGAGAGGCAGGCCAGAGCTGGGCTCGGCGGAACAAAGTCTGGATCGGTCTTGCGATCTTGTTTGGATATGCTCTCCTCTCACGGCTCGTGAATGATGTGCAGGGTTGAAGTTGGCTGGCCGCTATACAACCTTAGTCTTGGCCTTACTGGTCTAATCCTCAATTTGGGTGTTTCATTTTCAATTTTCTTTCTGTCTCTTTTTCTCGCTCTCTTTACTTCTACCACTTGTTTCTTTGTTGTACTTTGCAATGTGGCTCAGGCAGGTCACGCGGGATTGTGCAGGTCCAGAGAGACCTTCGGGCGTCCAGAGAAGGGAAAGGCGTTTTTTTCTTTTTTATCTCAAGATACTCCATCGGTTTCTGCATGAGAAAGGTGACTGGTGATTGATTCCGAGCGGATATTCATATTTGCTTCTAGACATGCTTGCATACCATCCCGAACCATGTATGTACATACCTTACTAGGTAGGTAGTTACATTTCTTGCGTACCGGGTACATCTGCACTACTACCTCCGTCGGTAGGCTCGTAGGTAGCGGGTACTTCTCCGTACAATCTCCGCAACTCCGCAGGTTTGATTGGCCACCCACTGCAATCTTATGTCATCGGCCCGAATCGGTTTCTTTTTTTCTTTTTTCCCTTTCGTTTTTTCTCTCCTTCCGTCCCCGTGTCGCATTAAGCCTATACCCATCTTTTACGACTTATCCTTCTCTCGCTCTCTTCTGTTTTTCTATCGACTCAAACTCTAACCGCGCTCAATATGGGTTGGTTCTGGGCAGAATCCGAGCCACGCCAACCGGCAATCGCTGTTCCAAACCCTCCTTCGTCAGAAGCCTCTCCTCCCGTTAGTAGAATTGAACCAGACCAGGTTGATCGCGATCTCTAACAGTTTATTGTAGCCGGGATGTCCAATGCATGCCTCTGCTTCCTCGCCACCTCTTCCGTCTCCAGAGGCGGCGCCCTCTAATCCGGAAACATCTAGCGCCTGTCCAGTCCGCTTAACAGACTCCCCGTTCTATGCTCCCTCCAAATCGAAGTCCTCCGACGTCCATGCGCCTTCTCCTTCTGACAACAACGACAATAACAACAGCAACAATCAATCGACTCTATCGAAACTCAACCCCTTGAATTACATGTTCTCTTCAATCTCCCAGGACCGGGCGCCGAACCAGACCGTCGACCTTGGGGTAGACCGTGAAACCTCTTCCATCCCCAGGGGCGATGCAGGCGGAAATTGGGAGTATCCATCCCCCCAGCAAATGTACAACGCAATGCTCCGAAAAGGCCACACCGATACCCCACAAGATGCTGTTGAGGCCATGGTTGCCGTTCATAACTTCTTGAATGAAGGCGCCTGGGATGAAATCGTCGGATGGGAGCGCATATTCGCCCAAGGCCTCTCGGAAGCTTGGGATAAGTGTCGCCGCGGCGAGGAAAACATTGCCATAGATTCTGCTCATGAAGATGCGCCCACCAACCCACCATACCTCATTAGATTCCAGGGTCGCCCGAAAGAGCTTTCGCCAAAGGCAACGGTTCTCCAGGCTCTGGGATGGCTATACCCGGCCAAATTCGAGTTAGTAGTTTCCTCGTTCGTCGCCGTTTGTCGCGGGCTTATTTACTAACATCGTTCACAGGAGCAATCCACCTTTTGACCGACATGACTGGTTCGTTATGCGGCAAACACCTTCTGGCCCGAAAGAAGTGCGCTATGTGATCGACTACTACTCCGGGCCTCCCGAGCCAACGGGCGAACCTGTTTTCTTCCTGGATATCAGACCGGCCTTGGACACCCCAACGGCTGCCGTTGAGCGGTTGATGAGATGGGGAGGGGACGTTTGGTGGCGAGCAAGTGGCGGCTCGGTTCGAGAGAACGGCCAGAGTTGAAAGGAACAATGGCGCGGCATAATATCTCTGCGCCTCTGGAAATACTAATTCTCCTCTCTATATACATCGCAATGTAAACTTCAATAGAGGCGCAGGCGTCTGATTGTCCTTGTGTGACTTGCTAGTTATCCATAATGAAAGCATCATAATACCCACGATTGCTTAAGAGGAAGCCTTGGACCACCGTCTTCATGTCGAACTATATAAGATTTAGGCATCGACACCGGAGAAGACCATGATTCTTGTATTAATTAATTAATTCATTAATTTATTATTGATCAGAGCATCCTTCCAACCATTAATTTTATTGCTTTGGACTACTGCAGTGCACCCGGTCCCTGCAGAACATCAACAGGTTATGAAAGGGTGACAATGTCCGCAGAGAGGTAAGAGAAGTGGGGATAGGAGAAAAGAGAGAAAAGGATGCTCTATCTCACTTGTTGTGGATCATATATGTCTGATCCGGACGGAGCATTTTATTCTTTTGGCGATCTTTTTTGTCGCAAGAAAGTTGCCTAGATAGAAAGTCTGTATGGCTTGGGGTGCACCCGATCCCTACAGCACGTCAACATATTGGCTTTAAAAATATACGAAGACAAATATGTGCCTTTCCGCTGAAAATATCTGGTCGCTGCGGAAGATATTGATCCCCTTTCCTGCGTTCCGCGGCGATGACGTCGCCAACACGTGCGCCGCTTCGCTGACCTTCCGCCGAGTCTCCGGCGCAGGCTTCATTCCTTCATTCCATCCACCCCATGGCCCGCTTCACTATCGCACCCTGCCTCGGATGATCTACTAGGCTACGCGATCAGCTGATCACTCTTTCATAACATGAGGACGGCTGTCCTGTTCGGCCGATTCTGCTTGAGACGTGGCGCAACTTCGCGGTCATTGTTCCGAGTCGCGCCGTCGTGTCGATGGTACTCCAACCATCCGCGGTCATGGCCGCCGCCAAGCCTTTGGAAACGACCTCCGGCGAGGGGTCCAACATTACGGGGGGTCTTGCTTGCGTCTTTAACACCCGGTGCGTTTCTTAAACTCGCAGAAGAACAAGACAATGGCGCGAAGACGAGTGAAATGCAGATGCTGGAGATCTCAAGACAGGAGTTGCAACGGAGCGCCACGGAGAAGGTCCAGGGGCTTCCTCGATTTTTACGATCCCTTTTCATCTTCTGGAAATACTACATCTATGATACGATAGCCACTGGGTGTCGATTTGTTCATTTGGTGGCGCTTTTCCTGCCAGTCATCCTCACGGCGCCGGCCGTGTGGTTCGGTGGGCGGATCGAAGGTCGCCAGGGTACACGCACGGGAACCCTATGGTGGTATAAATACCTTGTCAGGTCGATGGAACGCGCAGGACCAACCTTCATCAAGGTAGGCCACACCCCCTTAGTTTTCAAAGTTAATAGACTCACCGATGTAACCCCGCTTTCCCCGTCTTCCAATAGCTTGGACAGTGGGCGGCGTCGCGAACCGACATCTTCCCCCCGAAAATGTGTGAATACATGTCCTCTCTACACTCGAATGCTCCGGCCCACTCCTTAAAAGACACTAAGGAGACTATCGTCAAAGCCTTCAACGGATTGCCATTCGAGGATATATTCGAAGAGTTCTACGAGGAGCCCCTAGGGGTAGGAGCTATTGCTCAGGTCTACAAGGCAAAACTGAAACCGGATCTGGCAGCTACCCATGACCGGGATCTGATTTCTCAACCTCAGAGCTTACAAAACAAAATTCGAAAGAATGTTGATGTGTTAGTGAAGAGTACGCCTCAGCGAGTCCCCTCGTCTTATGTCGCCATTAAAGTACTTCATCCCCGGGTAGAACGAGTGATTCGCAGAGACCTGACGATCATGTCTTTCTTCGCTTCGATGATAAATGCTATCCCGACCTTGCACTGGCTGTCATTGCCAGACGAAGTTCATCAGTTTGGAGAGATGATGAAGCTGCAGTTGGATCTTCGGATTGAAGCGAGTAACCTGGTCATCTTCCGAGAGAAATTCCAGCAGCGGACCACCGCCTGGTTTCCGTACCCCTATCTAGACTACAGCACCCGCGAAGTCCTTGTTGAAGAGTTTGCGCAAGGAATTCCCCTGTCGAAATTCTTAGATGCCGGGGGAGGGGTCTATCAGCAGGAAATTGCCAACGAAGGTTTGGATGCATTCCTCCATATGTTACTAATTGATAATTTTGTCCATGCCGACCTACACCCTGGCAATATCATGGTGCGATTCTATAAGCCGAGCGAACTAGATATCTCCCTTCGCAAGCATACCCGTGCGTCGGATGCGCCCACCACGGCGGAGGTGGATGTGACGGAGAATGTCCTTGCACGCCTGAGACCACATGCCCGCCACCAGGAAGACTGGACGAAGGCATTGGGCCAGCTGAATGCGGAGGGTTATCGCCCCCAACTTATATTCATCGACACCGGCCTAGTCACGCAGCTCAATGATCTAAACCGGAGGAATTTTCTAGATCTCTTCCGCGCGGTGGCGGAGTTCGATGGCTACCGGGCGGGACAACTCATGGTGGAACGATGTCGTCAGCCAGAAGAGGTCATTGACGAAGATGTATTCGCAATGAAGGTGGACCGTCTCGTGCAAAACGTCAAATCACGAACCTTTGCTCTGGGAAATGTCAGGATCGGGGATGTCTTGAGTGAGATACTCTCAATCGTCCGAGGCCATCACGTTCGACTGGAAGGTGATTTTGTCAACGTTGTCATATCGATCCTTTTGCTTGAGGGGATTGGGAGGAGCCTTGACCCCAATCTCGACCTTTTTAAGAGGTGGGTAATTCAAGCTGTTTTATTTCTCTCTTTTCTTTTCTCCTCCACTGATTCCCGGGTGCAACAACTGATTAAACCCTGATTGTAGTGCGCTCCCCATATTGCGGACCCTCGGATCCAATACCACCTTTTTGAAATCCGTTCGATCGGGCGACACTTCAATGCTCCGGGTGTGGGTCGGACTTGAAGCACGCGGATTACTTCAAGCCAGCATCGAAAGCGTGGAGCAATGCGTCAAATATGATCAACTCTCCCCTAACATCTAGACGGTTTCTTTCCAAAGGCTCGTCCACTTTGTGTAAAACACACTGGAAGTGATACCAATACTGCCAGCTTCGATGAGATAACGATTTTGCGGATTATCCAACCCCTCTTCTCCGACTCTTTGGAAAACAGATGTTTTGCTGAAAGAGAAATATATCCTGTGTACATATAAATGTGATTTACTACTTTGTACAGAGCTAAAGAAGGGGAGCGGGGACATTTGAATTTCCCAGCCCATGCTCCCAATCCGCAGAGGATTATTAATGAAAGGCTGAAAGTCGATATAAACATTCACTTAATATAATAAGGACCTCTCTTATCGTAAAAGTTACGTGGCAATCTAAGAAGAGAGTAAGAAAAATGTTCAGGAACGGGAAAATAAAACTTAATAGATAAAAATCAACATTTTTACAATCAGTAACGGTATAAGGTATCACAGATCCAATCAAGCGGTGTCCAAGCAAACTTTCTCCTTAGCGTATGCGCGGTAGCGGTGGAGAATATCGGTGGCTTCAAGCCCTTCGGAGTTCGTGTCCATGGTGTAATGGACCGCCAGGCCTTTCCCATCAATTATCATTTGATTTGTGTCACGGATCTCCCCTGCTGCCTGCAACGGTCGACCCTTGGCGCGCTCCTGTTCCTGAAGGAGGTTCTTTTCCTGCGCCCGGAAACATAAAAAGCTCTGACTGACGGCCTCGCTAGGATTCTTCCACATGGGGAACTTGTAACGATACAGGTCGCCTGCCTCGAGGTGATGTAGAAAAGAATAATGCTGTTGGGCATGGACACTCCAGTGATCCAATCCAGGTCCGTTGTCTGTGTAAACGGAGGTACTGATAGGCGTCCGGTCCGCATTGTTATCACTTGAGAGAAGCCAGCGGTGGTTATCAGAGGGTGGTACGAAGTCTTTCAAGACACTGAAGTTTGTGGGGCCTTCCCATTGGGGGAGTCTCGAAACACGCCAATCTCGGGACAGAGACGTTGCTGAAGCCTCGGGCGTCAGTTCTGGAAGATAGGGCAGAGCGACACCGGAGTGACTGTGAAGCGCCTGTAGAGCTGCCGCGTTGATGACATTCGCCGAGACTACGGTTGAGTCCGGGTTGTCCAATGTGGTTTTGACCACCGTAGGGATGGTCTGATCTTCCAAAAAAACCATATCGCCATCGATCCAGATATACAGAACTTCTTTGCCCTGATGCGTCGATACCAAGCCATCGCCAGGGTTCCAAATCGTGTATAAGGGCGTCTCATCGGCAATTGATGTAAGCCATTCTAGGCTGTCGGAGATGTTGGTCTGAGGGACGAAGATTACTTGATCAAGCAATCCATGGTGGTAGGCCATATTTCTCTGGAGGAATCATTAGGACTTGGGTAACTCGGGCAGGCCAAGGAATCTCACCTGCAAGTAGCATTCCAATATATCCGTACGCTCATGGTAATGAACAGGGACCAGAGCAATGATATCCACGTCCTTGGGTTTTTGGAACTGTCTCGAGCCCCGCGAAAACGCATAGAATGGAGGTAGGGCAGTCCCCCGGAACAAGACGGGGAGGCCCAGTTCCAGAAGAGAGGGCCGAGAGAAGCAAACTCCGACGAAGATTGCGATCATACAGAGGTAGCCAATCGCGCACCAAATCAGCACGGAGGCCCAGGAGCGGTATCCCGAGCCCTCTTCATCCAGCGATTCGACGTGATGGCAGCGCTCAAGGTAGCCCATGGTTGATGGAATTGCATGGTCAACTTCGGTCGCCAAACAGGCACTACCGGGCTACATAGGTCCAGCTCTTATATTTCCAGGCTTTCTCATCCGCTTTCGTTGTCGTGTTTAGCTTGGGAGCATAAGAATTGGCCGGAACCGGCGATGTTCTGAGGAATGTAAACCCTTGGGGAGCACCCACCGGCGAAAGGCGGTGGTTTCGTCGATGGGTGGTCTGCAGCGATCAGGCATTTTGAGTGGGAAGATATAGAGATGAAGCAATTTTTTTAATTACCTTATTACCTTTAGATATAAGGTACCTCCCTAGGTATACGGAGAAGAGTAGGTATCTTGCTTAAAACAGTCAACGTCGTTCGCTCTACGCATTCTTTTCCTACCACCCTCGGGTAGTTCTGCCGTCTCTTTTTTTCCTTTCTAAATGCATCCAAAGAGTTTATTCAATTGCGTCCTGAGGACGGACTTCTGGGAAACAAGGTTCTAGAATATTTATCAACGCATACTTCACAACGGTTGAGTCAAGATAGCCAATATGAAAAGCAGCAGGCCGTGATATTAACTGGCTTGGGCGGGCTTGAGTTGATGGGAGACGCGTCTATTCATCAGATCCTGCACAGTGGCTTTCAACGACATAGGGAGTATGTTGGGCTTTGACGATTCAATTAGCACACATCCCGTCTGTCCCCAGGGGGGCATGTGGTAACAACTTACATCGTGTTGCAATAATTCTTGAAGAAGTATAATCGCATTGTCCCGGTCTTTGGTCAATTGCACTTCTTCGATTTCGTCGCTCGAGGGCTTGCCTAGAGTCTCCTCTATTATTGAGAATAGGTCCATTTTCTGCAGGCAATCTCCGGCAGCAACGGAGCCCTGATTGCTGGATGCCATCAATGCTAGAGCAAACCAACCCTCGCTTCTGACGACGGGCCACTGCGACTGGACAATCATGCCCCCAACAGGAAGCGCCACCTCCTCATGCATCGTGAAGAGCCGTGCAAGAAGGGACTCGGCTAATTCATCTTGTGCACGAGCCTTGGGTACAAGGGTGCGGCATATCGAAGCGACGAGGCGCCCGGTTTCTGTTTTGATGGGAACAGAGTCCGTTTTCTTGAATAGCGAAAGGAGTAGGGACAGATATGTTCTGTCCTGATCTGCTGAGGATGTCTCCAGCAAAAGCGTTATATTCTCGATCGACGAGATAACCAATTGTCTTGCAATACTTGTTGCAGCGAACTGAACCTGGGGAACGGTCTCGTAGTTCCATAAGCGGGAAATCACAGGTACGATTCCCGCGGCGCCCAAATGCAGTCTATTGTTACCTGCTATTGCCAGGTTTTTCAAGAACCCTAGCGCTGAGTGTAGAACGGCTCCTCTAGCTTCGCCCTTCAGAATCGATATCAACTCTTCATGTATCTTCAGCTTTTCAACCATGAGCTGACAAACGCCATCCGAGCGCGCTAGGTTTCCCAGCATAACACAAGAGCATATTTGAAGCTGCTCATCAGTGCTTGACAACCAAGATTTCAAGGAAAGCGATAAATCAGAATCAATGGGGTATACTTCTGCGAACAATGGTGAGTCAGATACCTCTGACAAGGTCTGATTGATCTTCAGCTGCAATTGAGCTAGCACTTGAGCGTCATCCGCAGAAGCGCCTGTTCCCAAAGATACAGCTCGAGTGAGAACAGACAAAACCGTCGATACCAAGCGCCTTGATATGCAAATGTCCTGGAATCGTTTGTTGTCCAACATACTCATAAGACAGTTGGTGATGCAGGAAAAATGGGCGACGGTAGCAGTGAATTCTTCGTTGAGTGCAAGCTCTATCATAAGCAAGAGGGTTCCATCAGGGCACACTTCCATGGCTTTTTCTAGGTAAAAAGGTCAGACTGAATCCTGAATTACAGGCGAGAACCATTTTACCTTGCTCAGCACTTAACTCTATGAGTTCGTAAGCGAAATCAAGCAAGGAAAGGTTTTCTTTGAGCGCCCCGTCCTTGACTAGTCGTAAAAGTATATAAACTATCTTGTTCGCAGCTAGCTGAGACTGCGCAGGCTCTGGACTCAGTTAGTCATAATTCTGAATTCGGGAAGATGGGTATTCACCAAAATCCATGCATAGATTATATATAACAGGTAGCACAACTTTTATGAGCTCTGGTTTAAGCAAATGCTGGAGAATCGCAGCAGTGTAATTGCCTTTCACAACGATGGTTCTGTTTTCATCTATTCAACGTCAGTATCTTCTGATCCCCTGTTCTTCTCCTTCTACGATCTTCGTTTTCGATGTGTTTGAAGGGGGCGAACAACCGGGGAAGGTGTGAAAATACCAGTATCTGCACAGCAGTTTCCAATTAATCGCAAGCAATGTAACAGAAGAACAACATCCGCATCTTCCTTTGAAGAAACACGTTCAAGAAAAAAGTCCAAGATTCCAGCCTGTCCAAAAGGGAGTCGCCACAATGCTGCTTTCCGGTTAGACAATCGTAATTCAAATCCAATTGTAATTTGACATACGGTTTCTACTGCCATTCGCGAACGCCTCAGCAGCCTGTTCCATATAATGCGAGCTGCTGTTCAACAGCTTGTATAATATCTCGTTCACTTCTCCAAAGGGAGGGTCAACTCGCTGGAACGAGGGGTGGACGTCGCCGGAGGACAAATCCTGGGTGCAGTTTGCCGCCTCGAGAATTTCCTGCAGAGACTTGAACAAAGCCTCTTGCTCCTCGAGGGGTAGCGACACATGGTGTAGAGAGGAATCTGCAGGTGCCGACGGGTACAGCTCGGGGATGAGTTCATGCAAAGGCGGACACTCCAACTCCTTACATTGCGGGGCCACCGCAGTCAACGGGTTGGTTTCACTGTCATGTCGGTTTAAGGAACCTTCGGCGGAAGTCATTTCCTCGCAGCACAGCTCTGCCAACAGATAAGATGTAAAAAGGCTCAACTCCAAATTTTCGGCCGACAGCGGACGTCCTGATACTAAGATAAGAGTAGAGGATATCCTTATTATTGGTGGCTAACTTGGTCAATACCACTCGGTCCACTCAGAGCTGCAGGTACAGATATATATATATACCTAAAAGTATGTATAACGGCCAATCGCGTTGGATGAAATATGGTTCTTTTGAAGAGTATCAGCAGACGATCGACGGTCCTTGGGAGTAGACCAGGATGCGAGGGGTATATGTTGACCCACGAGCTATGCAGGAGTTGGCAGGACACCCGGCGTGCGGAGTATTGAATAGTCAAAAGAAGCTAAGTTGATATTCTACGGACCAACAAAGTCGGGGCGGCAAAATCAGGTACGGCCGGACTAAACAGGCGGTCAGTATCAGGCGGTCAAGATGGACGAAGAATACCCGGGAATTCAGGCATCAAATATACACGACCCGTTGAACCTGGCCTCAAGGATGACACTCTTCCATCATTCGACCTTCTAGAGCCCTTCGTCCCTCCTTGCCTGCCCCCCCACCCACCACTCCTTTGGGCTTCTGTGCACTTCTACCCTTCATCATCTTAGCCTGCTTATTTTGCATCTCCATTCTTACCTTGTTCCTCCCGGTAGTTGTTGCGGAAACCGCCAACTAGCTATTCATCATGACGCGCGCCCAGCAGACCCTCTCGGTGCTCCTGCTCGTCTCTTCCGTGAGTCTTCATGACCACAAACCCCCATCTCTTGCGTTAGCTGACCTAGGCGCCTCTCTTTCCCCGCAACAGCTCTATATGGTCTTATACGTGGGCCTCGTCCCCTTGAACGAAACCGTCCAGAAAGAAGTCATTCCTGTGGTCCGTCTGCCAACATACCCTTTTTCTTTTCATCTCTGACCTTCCCGGCCCAGCTTCCATTCTACGCCCTGATATCCTTTGGATGCTACTTGCTGGGTCGATTGGGACTAGCCATCCTGACCTTCAATGACGTCCCGGAGGCCCACAAGGAGCTGCAAAAGGAGATCGAGCAAGCCAAAGCCGAACTGCGCACGCAAAATGTCGATGTTGATTAGTCTGCTCTCTGTAATTGTATGATACACGTTGAGACCATAACCCGTGGGGTGAATATATTTTCACGCATGTTTCCTGGAGTCTGAACTCCTTGCGCATTGCTAAGTGATGCTGCTTAATCAAATCTCATACACCTAACTGACTGAGATGAGAAATCATTCGCACGGGCCTTTGGGGGGACATTCAATGTGTTGCATATATCTGTATATCTTGTTCTAAGGCCACACCCACATATTGCCGGTCTGCCACTAATATACCCCATGTGGAATGAGACAAGAAAATACTAAACAGAAAATCGTGACCAAGTAATTGCAAACCAAGACATGATCTGTCCAAGCAAAGCGCGCGTTTTCTGAGTGAAGCCAAGCTATTTCTTTTATCTATATGTTATCACCAAAGACAAGAGAGAAAGAAAAAACACCATTTGTTTGTGAAGTAGTATGCCCCAGTACAGCTCCGTTGAAAAGAAAAAAAAAGCCAAAATTGGAATAAAGAAAAGGGAAATATGTGCAAAGCAATTAGAAGAAATGTGGGTGAGCGTAGTTAGGGCTCCAAAAACTTGTGATTCTAGCAAGGCGATAGAGGGAGAAGTAGATTGATTTAACCAAGGACATCTCTAGCGATTTAAATAATCGGGTTTTGCTCAGCCAATCGGTCATGTTCGTCAATGTCCCTAACAAAAAGAAAAAGAAGTTAGCTGACCGGGATCATACGAATGTTCATGTTAGATTAATCACATACTTAGCCTCCCATGGGTAGCAGATCCAAACATCGTCGGTTGTAACTGCGGCATGATACCGATGCGATTCCATCATGTCAGTGGGGAGCACGCCCTTCTTTGACTTGTTCTTGTTCTACTGGATGTTAGTGGCAAGCTGACAAGCGCGGAAGACAGGAACATACGTGAAGAACAAAAACGAAGAAGTTTGTCTTTTCGCCCTCTCTCCCAAGCTGCTTCTGGGCCAGTTCCACATCTTTTTGGAGCTCGCGAACAGCGTATTCTAGTGTCGTCCGGGTATCATCAACTTCGTCGACGATGAGAATGTTTTTGCCAATGAGGTTTGCCATTTCCAGAGAGCTGAGGTCAAGCCATTGGGTTCGAGTAACCTTGGTTCCAGGAACTTCTTCTGGGTCGCCGCGACCGAGGTCCTCATAGAGCGATAAACCGATGGCCTGAATCGGGATGTTGGGCTCGCCAGCTTGTTTGAGGAAGGACCTAGTGGGAGGCGAAGATGACAAGTCAGTTCTTCTGCAGAACAGAGAAAAAGAGCGGCTGGTCTTGATCAAGCGGCATACCGCAAAATACGAGCCGGGACGTAACCACCGCCACCAATAGCGATCATGAGGTTAGGGTGAAAGGTATTCAGAATCTGATCGGCAGATGTTTGGCACAGTTTGTGCACCTGCAAGATTAATGATATCAGCAATTTTATTCCAAGCGAATCAAGCGCCATCGCATGTTAGGAGTCCTCGCCAGTAGTTGGCGAGGTTTGGGAGCTGCCTGCATGCGGCTTGAAGCGCATGCAGGAACCGTCATTGGCAAAATATGCTTCTAAGGCGTCAGGATTGGGAGGGGGTTCAAATAGGTGAACGGACCTGATTATAGGTGACGTAAAACTTTTGCGTCATGTTGGCTGCTAACAGATAAATTGAGCAGGGATTGTGAGAGAGAGAGAAAATAGTATGGTGATATCTTGGTCTTTCTTGGTCTTGAATTGTAGAAGAGGAATATGTCTAGAAAAAAAGTTTCCAATTCTAGAAGGTGGTGAACGTTCGGAGGACAATCGAACGTTAGATCTAACAGATAAACTGGCACACGAGGGGTAGTCGAAAGAAGAAATTTGGAAGGGGAAAAAAAATTCCAGTCACACAAGTTAAGGTTGTAGCCCACCAGTGCCACACAGCATAATTTGTATGATAAGATACATCCCACCTTCCGCACTCTGTAGGAACACACACCCTGGTCTAACCGCATAGAGTTTGGAATGGGGAAGTAAGGGCCTATCGGATATGACAATGCATTTGGATCTAGACTACTACAAGTATAGGCTCGCTTGGTATACTACCAACTACAGTTAATTTACTGCAAGAGAACCATGGAAGGTGCATACATCCCTACCCTTAGGTATCCATGAAAGTATGTATATACAGTACAGTACCTGATAGTATTGTAAGATATGGTCGATCCGTGCCAGCCATACCTACCTTACTATATGTACAGTATAATGTACCTACCTGCCTGGGTAGGTGCCCAGGTAAGATCTAGGTAAGCTAGACGTCCCGTACTGTATCTGACAATATCAATACCTCAGGCACCCAGACATGACTCTATCTACAGCGAAGAATCCCTGCAATATTAAGTAATTCTTTGTCTATTTACCACCTTTTGTCTTAGCTATCTTGAATTGAATTATCAACCAAAGATACACCGTGCAAGATACACAACCTGCAGTGTCAACCACTCTAGCGACTATGTCAAGATAGACACCTTGACACCTTAACTTACATAAGATGACGGGAGACCCGCAATCACAAGAGCCGCCGCCTACCCGAGGCATCGAGTACATCCAGATACAAAGGCATGTACTGTACTCTGTACCTACAGAATATTTTCTTCCGTTTAACTAGACACCCGGCACTGCTCACTTGTTCAAGTTACGGTCTAAACCAATATTGTCTGCCATGGCACCCATAGAAGATCAAAGAAAATCGGTATTAATTACAGGGTAAGTCTGCGCTGGAGTTCTGTAGTACCAACCCTATACAAGCATGCGACCTCTCGCGCTTTGCAGCAAATGTCGTTATTTTGAATTCTGCTAACATTGACCTTCACTACATAGTTGCTCACCAGGAGGCATTGGAAATTCGCTTGCACGAGAGTTTCATCGTAATGGGTTGCGCGTGTTCGCATCAGCCCGCGATGCAAAATCACTCGAAGATCTATCAGCTCTCGGCATAGAGACCTTGAGCCTCATCGTGGATGATGAGAACAGCGTCAAGGCATGCTATTCTGAAGTAGAGAAGAGGCTCGCGGATAAGGGACTGGATTATTTGGTCAACAACGCGTAAGTTATCATTGCGGTTTAGGGGCAGAAAAAGATAAGAGCAGAAAAGAAAAAGCCACTCACTCTCCTGGTGAATATACTATGTAGCGGGCGAAGTAAGTTGGCATATGCATCCTGACCCTCACCAACCCGACAGAAGTCTGATTGGCTATAGATTATACCGTCCCGGCAATGGAAGCAGACCTTGCGGAGGCCCGAGCAACCTTTGAAACCAATTTCATCGCAGTCATCTGCATGTGCAAGGCATTCCTTCCACTCCTTATAAGATCCCAGGGCACTATCGTGCAAATTGGATCTGTTGCAGGGGTTAGTTCTCTGATATGCCCCGCGGTCTCTACGGGCTCTCGACACATTTAACGACGCTGACTTTACGCCAAATAGGTGATTCCTTACGTATTTGGCTCGGTATACAACGCCTCGAAAGCCGCTCTGCATTCATTCAGTGACTCTCTGCGTGTTGAGCTGGCGCCATTCGGGTATGTCCTTCCACCCTTCAGGTCTTGAATCTATTGAGAATTAATAGCAGCTCCGCCAGAGTACATGTCACTACGGTTATTACCGGCGGCGTACAGTCTCGCATTGCCCGCATTGAACGTACCCTAGTGCCTAATTCCCTATACGCCTCGATTGAGGACGAATACAATCGCCGCGTGATCCATAGCCAGGACGGTGCCATGCCGCACGCTAATTATGCACGGAGCGTTGTTGCACAAGTCCTGTACGGGTCCGCCCCATGGCGATGGTTCTGGCCGTGGGCAGAAGGGCGAAAAAGTTGGATTTGGGAAGGAAACAAAAGCTGGGTGGTCTGGTTGCTGACTGGAGGATGGGCATGGACTGGCCTATTCCATTACGCCATGACGAGGATGTTCAAACTAAACAAATTGAGTCGAGGTATTGGCGGCCGGTAGGTTGCATAGCTAGAATAATCGATAGAGCCTGCGCCATGTTTGTTCCTTCCAGTAAACTACTCCGTACTCCGTAGTTTACTAGTGACGGAGTACCTTTACCCGCCGTCGTTCCGTGATATTCGCGTCGTCGGGACCCGAACCCGGGTTAGTCATCCCGAATGTTCACGCTGGTTGGCTAATCAGGTGACCCTGGACGTGCCGTAATCCCAAGGCAAAAAGACAATATCATCTCGGGAAGCGCAAAAAGAAAGCTGTTCCCTCAATCTTCCCCCTTGGCAAAACGTAACCCCCCCCCCTAGGACACATCCTCTCACCAGGCTATACTGTCCTTTGAAGAGGAATACTTTTTGAAGAATCTCCACTCTTCTTTTCTTTACCCTCATCAAATCCTTCGCCATGTTCAAGCTCGCCCGCAGCAGACCCATTGCGGCAGCTCTCAGAGCCGCGACGGTAAGGCCTTATTTACAAATCGATTCCCTGAATTTCATGATTTAATAGAGCTTGCCGCTGACACTATACACCTCTACCCTTATAGGAGACTTCCGTCCCGTCCCGCCTGGGCCAGCAACAGAGAAACCTTTCGATCCACGAATATCTTTCTGCAAACCTCCTCAAGTCGGTATGGATCCCATAGGGAGGGTCGATATTTGCGCCGCGGTGTTGGCTGACAGGTTACATAGTATGGCGTTGGAATGCCCAAGGGCGAGGTTGCTCGCAGCGCAGAGGAAGCCGAAGCCGTTGCCAAGTCCCTCGGTATAACTCCATTCGTAGGATCAATCGGGTTCAAATAGCTGAGACGTATACCAGGAAACGATGACATGGTCATCAAGGCACAGGTCCTCGCCGGTGGTCGTGGTAAGGGCTCTTTTGACAACGGTCTTAAAGGTGGTGTGCGCGTCATCTATTCGTGAGTATTCTCTGTCTTCTCTGCCTCAAAATCTTCTGTTTCTAACCCGCATAAATTCCTAATAGCCCTACTGAAGCCAAGATGTTCGCTGGCCAGATGATTGGACACAAATTGATTACGAAGCAAACCGGTGCTGCTGGTCGTCTTTGCAACTCCGTGTACATTTGCGAGCGCAAGTTCGCTCGCCGCGAATTCTACCTTGCCGTTCTCATGGACCGGGGATCTCAGGCCCCTGTGATTGTTGCGTCGTCGCAGGGTGGCATGGACATTGAGGCTGTCGCCAAGGAGAACCCGGAGGCCATTATTACCACCCCCATTGATATCAATGTTGGCGTGACCGACGAGATTGCCCTCAAGATTGCCACCGAGCTGGGCTTCTCTGAGCAGTGCATCCCGGAGGCCAAGGAAACGATCCAGAAGCTGTACAAGGTTTTCATGGACAAGGATGCTACCCAGATTGAGATCAACCCTCTGTCGGAGACCTCGGATCATAAAGTCATGGCCATGGACGCTAAATTGGGCTTCGATGACAACGCGGACTTCAGACAGAAGGAGGTCTTCTCCTGGAGAGACACCACCCAGGAAGATGCCGACGAGGTCAAGGCTGCTGAGTATGCTCTTCTTTACCATTGAAATAATTTCCGATGGATGCTGACCCGACTAGGCACGGACTGAACTTCATCAAGCTCGACGGTGACATTGGATGTTTGGGTTAGTTGACGTTTACCCTTTATAGTGACAGGAATACTTATCAAATCTTTAGTCAACGGAGCCGGCCTTGCCATGGCTACCATGGACATTATCAAACTCAACGGTGGCAGCCCCGCTAACTTCCTCGATGTTGGAGGTGGTGCTACTCCGGCCGCCATCAAGTCTGCTTTCGAGCTTATTACTAGCGACCCCAAGGTGTCGGCCATCTTCGTCAACATCTTCGGTGGTATCGTCCGTTGCGATGCTATCGCTCAGGGTCTGATCAATGTTGTGCAGGATATGGGTCTCCGCACTCCCATCGTCGCACGTTTGCAAGGTACCAACATGGAGCAAGCACGTGAGCTGGTATGGAAGTCACCTTGTTCCTATATTCAAAAAAGGCAGATATACTAATGTTCCTCACGTAGATCAACGAGTCTGGTCTGAAGATCTTTTCCATCGAAGACCTCCAGAACGCTGCCGAGAAGTCTGTTCAGTTCTCGAAGGTCGTCAAGATGGCCCGTGAAATTGACGTCGGTGTTGAGTTCACTCTTGGCATCTAAGCCGGCATCTAAAACATGTCCTTGATTCCCTCTCCCTCCCTCGTGAAGCCAGTACAGATCAAGGAGACAATCAAGAAGTAGGGGAGATTGGACTTAGGGTGGCCTTGCAATCTTCATTCATCCCGCCACTTTCGCTTACTTTGTTCTTTTAATCATGGTGTCAGCGTACTCTGCTGTCAAGAAACTAGTCCGCAGACCAGGAGGGGTGCAGGAACAGAATAATAATGGCGATGGTATGGAATAAACGGAAGGTTGGAGGAAAGCTGGAGGCATTGTCATAGAGAGCATTGATGGTTCTGTATATTGTCCATTACTAGGTTTTCTTTTTATTTTTATATTGTGTGTTTGTTAATGTATTCTTTCCTCTTTTTTCTTGGATCCCCATGGAGACTCGATGTTGATACCAAAGGCAGTTGATAATAGCAAACGATAAAAGGACATCCGAGTTCAACTGAGGTTAAGGGATTTCGCCATTACGTCACTCAGTCGTTTGTTTCATTGAAAGACCACATCTTCAGCCCATTCTCATCGATCAACAGAGCATATTCATCATCTCCTCGGAGAGCAAAGCGAGTGGTATGGGAGTAAACTCGGTTGGTTGCCTCGCGCGGCAGTTGGGGGTTCATGTGTTTGGATTGCCGATGGGGGACTGTGGCGGCAGGGTTGGAGATTGCTATCTGAGGTTTTCCGTTATCATTCTTTAGATAGTAAAGAATGTTACGGTCAACTGCCGTCATACATAAAGGAAAGAAGGGTGTGTGCTCAGGATTTAAGACATGCAAGTCTACTTGATCGGTGGGTGGATCATAAGAAACGGCAACAATAGGGCACGATGCCGAAGGCTGCCCATCAGTTGCTAGGAAAGAAAAGATACCGATTCGGTCGCTGAACCTTGAGCCTTCGTCCGGGGATCCGATTTTCACATATCGGCGGTCCTCGGTGGCCGGTAGATCAAGGGTATACGATGGTAATCGTCCCGAGGGAGATCCATCAAGCAAATGTCTTACGACTCGCAGCTGACTGTCATAAGCGGGATCAGCCCAAGCAACCTGGTTGCGCGACTCAAGGTGGACCGTAGTGAGAGTTTTCGCGGCGACGTTCAAGGCCATGTAGCCCAAATATGGTGCTACAACGATCGTGCGAGCAGTGTGCGACATGAGATCCCAATGCAGGATGTAGCCTCCGTTAGACAGACTATCAGAAAAGGAAAGTGCTACGCTTGTTCCGCTGGCTACGAAGAACCCATATTGTAATGAAGGCAGGCGAAACCATGCCGACTCCTCGGAGTGAAGACCCCAGATGTGACAGTGTCTGAAAATCATGTTGGTCAGTTTGAACTTGGGGTCATGTCCAGTGCGAATGCTTCGGTCCTTACCCACGTGGACTAATGGCCGCGATGATGCGGTCTGAAAGTCGCATCCCAACGAAGAAATCCCGGTTCTGCGTGCAGTATTGTTGGGTAGCATGGGTGTACAGATTGAGGACGACAAGCGTGGTGCCTTGGTCGATCCACGCAACATGTCCTTTGCAGTAATCTAGGGTCGACACCTCCGATGTTGTCGGCAACGGCTGGTAGGTTGGACAATCAACTTTCTTGACAGGTTGCCCACGCTCCAAGAGAGTCCGGTGTCGTGCATACGCGGAGAATTTGTCCAGTGACCCGACAGCAGCGGGGTTGGTCTTGCGTCCGGCATAACGGTGAAACGCAGCGTCGCGAACTAGATCGGAAGACAGCAGCGAATACCAATTTCTAGAGACCTATCCAGACGTAAGGTCAGTTTTGAGGATTGATTGCCTGGCGGGAGGGGAGGCTGGATGTGGATACTCTTTGGAGAACATGTAATTCGGACAGACCTAAATATCCGGTAATTTGCACGGCCACCTCTACAGGCAGGGCACTTAGAATATCCTTGTGAAAGGAAATGTGGTCTAAATGGTCACGCACATCGCGCCATTCATGGAGGCGCATTTGCATCAGAATATGGCGATAGCTGGTGCAAGAACGGTTAGCATTAAACCAATAACTACTCGAGAGCGATAAGCAAGCACTTACGCGGCTCGTCGAGCAGGGGAGTCGAGGTTCTCAAACCGATTCAGAATCTCTCGAACATCCAGATCCATTTTTTAAGTGGACTGAAATTATGGTCATCATCGATCGAATGTAAGGCTGAAGGAAAGAACGAGATAAGGAGGAAGGAAGAGAGAGGGAAAAGATGGCGGTTCCATGCAGGTTCCAGACCATCCTCGTGATCCATGCCGCAGCATCTTTTGCTCGTCTTCTTTCTTTCTCTCCTTCCTCTCCTTCCTCTTCTTCCCTTCCTTTATCTTTTCTCCCTCCAGCTTCGGCTTTCTCCTCCTTTTCTTCTATTGTATTTTTATTTCCGGATTCTTACAGAGTATTGGTACGGCGTACAAAGACTCGGCCCATGGAAGAAGCAGTTCTACTATTCACAGCCCCCAACTCACCCGATCTTGACCAAGTGTTCCGTTGTACGTACTATTGCGCCTGCGGTTGTGAGGGCGATTGTCTTGCAACTCTGGTGCAGCCGAACCGATCAAATCTTCTATCGGGGAACGACCGCCTTTCCGGTCTCAGATTGAGCGACAGAGAAAATTAAATTCGAAGCCAGTGCGAGAAAGAACCAGGGGACAAAAAGGGGGGAGAAAAACAAATTGAAGCAGGAAAATCGAATGATTAATCCTCAATATTTACCACCGCAGTGAGCATCAACAGAATCAGAAGAATCAGACTCTTAAATTGGACGACGGCCTCGCGATGATTCGGAAAGCGGAGACTCTTGGGTGTTGATCAGCGCCCTCTTGGCCCAGACTCCGTGATAATCTTCCACCTTCCCACGTTCGCCTGGCATCCACGAGTGCTTTTCGATCGCGCTGCCCTCGTTTCCTATTCCCTCCGTGTCATTCATCGTCCCTCTGTTTCCAACAGAGGGAATTATCTCCAAGTGTTCCCCCACTAAATCTATATATCAGAGAAACCAGAGAAAAGGGGTGGAAAGAAGAGAAGAAAAAAAAAGAACGCAAACCGGCCTTCTCCCTCCACTCCTGCGGACCCCCGGCCGTTACCATTTCCCCCCCCCCTGTTCCGCCGCGCGAGATGAGCGGCCTCGCCGATCCCCCGTCAAGAAACACCGGGATCTCTGGTGCTACAGATGCGCCCGGCAAGACACGAAAACTTCCTGTTCTTTCCTCCTCCGTCCCTCCTTCGTCCGCTCCGTCCACGGGCGACCCGATGGAACTCACTCCACATGCTTCGGCAGCGACGGGCGCTGGTCCCCCGATCCACAGCAGCCCCGATAGTGATCGAGCAGGCGCAAACACTGCTGCTGCCTCCAATGGCTCTACTGAGGCTGGGAATGTGAATAATTATGCCACCCCAAATCAGGCTATCGGAGCTGCCGCGGCTGCTCAACAACCTAAGGTTGTGCAAACCGCCTTTATCCACAAGCTGTACAAGTACGTCCATCCAGACCGAGAGTGGAAAGAATTTTTTCTTGAGGAAGAGGGGATTGCTAATGGTACCGGACAGTATGCTAGAGGATCCCAGCATCCAACATCTGATTTCGTGGTCCAACACCAACGACAGCTTCGTCATGTCTCCTACATCCGAATTCTCAAAAGTTCTTGCGTGCGTTTTCCCCTCTAATGTCAGCAAGCCCCAGCTAGCCTCAGCTGACCGATTCGCATAGACAATATTTCAAGCACACCAACATCTCGTCCTTCGTCCGGCAACTGAACATGTATGGATTCCATAAAGGTATGTTACACCCTGGGTTGGGACCTAGACCGCTGCTAATTGTAGTGACATTTAGTGAGCGACGTCTTTCATACCGGCTCCCCTGACTCTGCCCTATGGGAATTCAAACATGGGAATGGGAATTTTAAACGTGGCGACCTCAATGGACTGCGGGAGATTAAAAGGCGAGCATCCCGGCACGCATTGATTCATCGCGACTCGTTTCCTGGTCATAAGACGGCCGTGTCTCAGCCTGGCACCCCCGCCGAGCCTGTTCCTGATGCCACCGAGGCGCGACTGATGAACCTAGAGCATTCTTTATATGACATGCATAACCGCCTGAGTCGCGCAGAGGAAGGAAATGTGGCATTGAACGCCCGATACCAGTCCATGGCGGAAAGTGTAGCCCGATGCTACCATTGGACCCATTCGATCTCACGCTTCCTGCAGGGAATGATACCTGACCGTGACGGATTGTTATATCGGGATGTGTCGAGCATGCAAACGGAGTTGGAGAAACATCTTGAAGCCGTGCGAGCACTCGAACAGCCACCCGACCCGTACCTTGCCGTTCGCCCGTCCTATATTCCCACCGTCTCGGTCGATCCGGGTCCGCCACTCTCCCCGCGCCAAATGCCCCAGGAAGATTCCCGCCGGCCTTCGATGATGGATGCGGGCAGGCATAACATGATTCGTCCCCCAGTTCCCCCACACTTGGCTGTTTCCCCCCGTCGCTATGGCTCGATCGGTGCAGGAAATTCTTCGCCAAGCTACAATAGACCTCCAGTCCCTCCTGCCATGCCACCTCAGCAGCCGATGCCTCATCCTCTTTCATCCGTGTCCTCCCCACCGGGGCCCAACCTGGCTCGGCGGCATACCTCTGCGGACATTCGGCAGCACGGCTGGCCACCACCAGGCGTGTCTCCCTTCCCGTCGACTCACCAGCCTGGGTCAGCTGCGGCACCATGGTCTCCGTCGCCGCACCGGACCCCAACATCAAGTGAGCAACAGGTTAGGGATGTTCTAGCACAGTATGAGATGGGTGCACCACGCCGTTTTCAAGAAACATCGCGCCATGCCACGCCACCTTTTAATCCAGACCACATTGTCTCGACTCCCAATGCTGATCATCATTGGTCATTGGGAGGCCCCAGGTTCCTTCGGCACGAGTCGTCCTTACCAGCAACCCGACGTTCCAGTATGGCTAGCAATGTCCACTCGTTACTGAATCCGGCCGATACCGCGGAAAGACCGGACGAAGACCAACACGCGATGGCGGATGACAGGAAACGGAAGCGACTAGAATAAATCTCAAATCCCCTATCAGATATTTCGTTCTTTTTCGTTCCCCCTTCTCAAAAACACCTCATTAATATTAATTTGAAGGACATAAAGGAAGCCCGTGATGCTAAGGAAAAGAGTGTCGCTGGCTACCAGTCATGGCGCAACATTGGGAAGAAAAACAGACGACTACATCTCTCTCTCTTTTCTCTTTCTTTTCTTTCTCCACTTACCACCATCCCCCTTCCCGCTCTCTATCTATTCGGTTTCCTTTATCTTATCGTGTGGCATATTGCATCAGGATGTAAATTGGCTGTCCTTTTGTATTTGTTCTATCTTTTCCCGGATGGGATACCTCTTGTACAATTCATCTTGGCGGTTTGGCTTTTTCATGGCCATTGGAAACCCCTTGTGCACACTTTGGGACAACGCTTATCACAATTTTCTTTTCTTTTCTTTTTTGGGGGGCAGAATAAGTGTCGAGGCACAACGACCATGTTCTCGCATGATGGAAAGTGCAAAAGATGACATTTCAAGGCTTGATTTGCTACGGAGTTCATATCCTGTCAAATTATAGTCGTCATTTGGGTGCAGCAAAGCGATACCAACTTAAGGCTCTTGGTGGGCTGAATCCCTATTTATCAGCTGACAGGGGAATGGGGATTAGCTTCACTTTTTTCTATATATATATATAAGGACATATGTATAGGTCAAATTTTGTGATTTGTCTGTCGCCCTCCACGAGCTTATTAACAAACTCACTGGGTATAATGATGACACGGAATAAAATCAAGGGGCCGATAACCGAGTTCATTTCTTCTTCCTCCTCTTCGATCGATCTGCAAGGAGCTCATCCAAGAAACTCGTTGCCTTCTTGCTTGATTTAGACTTCGGTGGTTGTCGGGATGAGATCCCCTCTTGTAGTGATGCGGATTCTTCTTGCCCTTCACCCGGGTTCATCGTTGTCTCGTTGGGGCTTTGACTGCTCTCGATAACAGCTTTCCGTTTTTTCAACTGGCGTTTGCTCGTTCCAACTGTTGTCGTCCGCCCTTCATCCTCATCCTCCCCATCCTCGTCGTCCACCTCCTTCGGGCTGGGCCCGAGATTTGTGCGGAGCCCAGGCTTCCCAAGATTTCCGGTAGCGGAAGCTCCTGCACTAGCAGCGACGACCTTCTTATAGTTCTTGCCGAGAAGCTGTCTCCGCAGCTTGTCGTTGGAGTCCAGTTCGGCGCGATTCCAAGTTCCATCAGCCGCCTTGGTCGGCAACGGGGCACCGATTCCTAATCTGTAGCGGGGGAAAAGCGCGCGCATCAATTAGCATTCCGCATTGCTAACACTAGCAAAGATGGGGCAGCAACGTACGTTTCTGGTACCGCGGTAAAAATCTCATCCTCCTCCCGCTGCAGCTCTTCTTCGGATTTAACATTGGCGAGTTCCTCTGAGGTCGGCGGAGGAAGCCACGAAGCAACGAGTCGCTGACTGCGTGCCAGGGAAACGTTAGCCTTATTAAGGATAATGTCGGTTTCACTTTTTGATATTGACATAGTGTTTCTGTCGTTCTTGTTGCTGTTGTAGTTAGTGGAAAGATCCAGACTTTGGAAAGCCCAAAACCCTCAAAGGCGGCGGAGGACGGCAAAACAAGTCATCCTTAGAAATAACGATCACGGTCGATTGCTTCATACTGTGGCAGTATTCTTGGCTTTGAGTGGGTTCATCTTGCTCTTGCTCTTGCTCTCTCTTGTTCTCGCTCTTTCTTTTTTGCGGGTGGTTCAGCCTTCAGGGAATGAACGGATTTTGTATAGATTCATTGCATCATTCATTGGGCCAGTAACTATATACATACATCTAAGTGACTCTATACAACCATCTTCTCTATATAACGGTACAGGTACAATCCCCCTAAAAAGACGGGGAGAGGTAAAAAAAAAGAAAAAGAAAAAAATAAATCAATAAAGAACGCAAAGAAAAGCAACACGGAAAGGACAGGGAGTAGATGAGCAAAAGGAACTGCTTTGATCCGCCAGTCAAATGAGAGGGTATTATATACTATGTAGAATGACTCAGGGCGAGGCACTCTCTTGCTGGTGTTTTTGTTTCAATTTCTTCTCCGTCTTCATGAACTCTCGGATTCCCACTGGTATGTTGGCAAAGACATCCTCTGTATGATCCGAAACGGGCCAATTCGTTTCGCTGCCACCGCCATCGTCATCCATGCTGGTACTGGCAGACTTGACTTCCGACCGGGGAGTATGACGCATCTCCTTCGCCGGACTGGGTGTGGTGGTTTTGGCCCTGGCCTGCTCGAGTCGTGCAGCCCAATCCTCCATGTCATCCCGAAAGTCATCCCATACGCAATGAACGCAGCCACTCATGCAGCAATTGTCAGGCTCCTCGGGCCGTGGGGGAATCGCCACCCCGTTCACAGTCTTCCAAGTGGATTCTGGCGCCGTGTTCCCCGGGTCGTAGCGCGAAGAACGACCAGGACCAGCTAGCCGCGTACCGAATACAATGGACATTTTATATTGTGGAGATTGAGGTTCAACCGTAGCGGCAGGGGATGATTGCTCGGCGGATTGCCGAGGAGCGGGTCGCGAAGTAGAGGCTTGCCCTTGATATGGCGAACTGTTCGAAAGAATGTCATGATAGTAGCCGGACAATGGGAATGCTTGCGATGGGTTGGAGTCGCCCAGACCCAGCGAGTTGCCTTGAGGATTTGCATTTGCATGGCTGGCCATGCGACGGAGCGACGGAGCGGAGGTATATCGTTGGTTGGCAAATGCGAGCCAGGCGAAGGGCAAACGTCGACATTTGGAAAAAACGCGCCTTGGGTCTACCAAGTGCGTGCCTCTTCGGGCTAGCGACTGACCTGACTGCATCAAGCGAGTCTTCATCGTGGTAATGGCCGAGGAGGGGGTTTGCGAAAGAATCGGTGATGTGCGGCGATGATTCCGAGGGGCTGTTATGTCATGGGTGCAAACAGTGCAAACCCCACACTCGGCGCCGGAGGTCAACAAACGCGCATCGCATTCTCTCCCGACCATCTTCTTTCCAGGTTCGCCATTGATGCCGTGCCCGCCTCCATGATAGCGGCGAATACCCCAGCCAGACGATTGCCGCCCCTCCAGTCGCTGCGTCATAAATGAATCCCCCTCCGCTTCCGCCGCCGCCTCAAGGGCGTTCTCTTGATCGGGCCTTATACCTAGCGCCGACCAAGGCCAGCCGAGCGAAATCTCATACTACCGAAGATCCCAGCCAAAGTCGCAGCAATAGGGTACCGTCTTTGACTTCGCGAAGATCGCCCAGTGGACACAATGTGAATGACCAACAATCTCAAGCCGGACCGAAAACGTTTGGCTTGCGCGATCGAAAAGCTCTCCGCCCCTCATTGTCTTCAACTGCGAGCCCAATGGGAAATTCCAACAATGACAAACCATCACCTGTATCGCTCTCGAATCGAAGATCAAGCGGGCTAGATGCGCTTGCTGCGCCACCAAGACGAGTTTCAAGGAGGATCGTTCCCTCGGACCTTACATTCCAGTCGCCAGTAGGGATGAAAAGAGATGAGCTGGATACGGGGGTCACGAATACCCCGGAGGATCAATTGGCGCTTGAGCTGGGTAGCGCCACGGGTGGAAACGAGCGGAAAAGGGACTGGAATCCGCCGGCCATGGATGAGGATTATGAGGAGCCTGATTTGCCCCTGACCCCTACCCAGTTAGGGCTTGAGAAGCTTGCTGGGCGTCCAAGGAGGCTTCTAAGTAGTAGTCCTACGACCCAACGATTCGGAAGACGACGACCAACCGACCTCCTAGGGCAAAGCCCCTCGAAACTTAGAAATGTTGACGATGGAACAGAAACCGGGAGCTCGCTCGAGTCAACCATCGCAGTCACCCGAGCACTGTTTCCAGAACCCGTGGCTAAAAAGCGAAGATTGAGGGAGGAGCTTACTGCCGACGCGCAACAACTGAAAAAGCAGATTGCGGACCTCGAATCTTGGTCGGTGAGTCTTGACCAGGATGATGATGATGACGTTGAGCCCGACGTGAGCAAAATCATGTAAGTGCTACCGATTTATGTCCGTTATGTCTGACGTGGCTCGCTGATACTCTAGAAAGCTCCTTACTGGCATCCGAATGCCTTGCCACCACAGATGCTGCCATGCGTCCCACCGATATACCTGTGTCATCACTCATCTCGACACTGCTTCCATTTTCTTCAACCGCCCCCTTAAAAATCTCCGCACCACCCTCTCCATCAAACCCTTTTGCTCTGAGAGGAAAAGCTCAGGAAAAGCCGCATCTGACGATATTTGCTCCTTTATCCCTTAAGACTCGTTCGGATATTGTACCCGACCCGACCTTCGTCTTCCTGGAGAGACATAGCTTAATGTTTTCCGCGCCAGTCCCATTTCCACCCGAACTGTACAGTATATCCGTGGTCTACGAGACAAACTTCCAAGATCAGGCTTTGGTGTCAGTAACAACACCTGACCCAATACCCCAATACTTACGGATTTGGATCAATTCGCGATTAGAGAATCCTTTGACGAGGTTAGATGTGTCGGGCCTCTGCTGGGGCATCAACCGGTACTGGGAGGCAGTCTTATCGCGCGCCTACGTATGGTTGCAGCTTGAGAATCATCATACCGCCTTGCTCGATGGCAAATCGGGCGTGGACGATATACCATTGCAGAGCGTGACGGAGAACCTCACAGTAACAAACTTGCGCAAGATTCTCCCCCACCTTCAGCGTACATCGATGCTTTTTGAATCGGAGGATGCAGCAATCAAGGTTATGCTCTCATGCGAAATCACCATCGATGAATGGGCTTGCGAACCTCAAATGACCCCAGGTCTTACCGTCTCGGGCTCCTCAACAAACAAGGGGTCTCTGGGGGATAAAACAGAACAGGAATCTAAGGATCTATTCAACGCCGTCATCCATGAGAACATAAGTAGCCCGGCAGGATCGGCAGGTGGTCTTGATGCCAATGTGGTTATCCAGGCCACTAATCATGTTCTTGGCGCTCTGTTTGGCGTTGGTGCAAGTCTGTCCTCCAAGAATGAAGAGCGATAGCACAGACACAAGCCAAAAAAAAGATACCGTCTCTACCTATGTATAGGGCGTTTCTATCGACTTAATATATGGCCCAGGTCGCTGGAAATCATTTGCTCTCTTAAAGATAGAATGACTACACGGAGTTGACCCGAATCAAACTGGTCGTGCATGAGGTTTGGCGCAAACTGGCGATCACCCTGGTGAACATTTTTTGGTTAAATTTAAATTAAATTACATGATGACCCTGGTCATGAGCATCAAAGCCCCGGTAGAGGGAATTTGAGAAACGGCGTGGCTCCGATGATATCATACGGATTATTCCATTTACTCGCCGAGTAAGCTTGATTGAGCGTCTACCAAGTGGTCATCCATAGAACACAAGTTTCAAGTAAAAAAGCCGCAGCCTACAGTCACGTAGGCTCCATCTCCAATCGCCCAAGTGTCCGGGATGCGATATCATGATACACCATATGAGGCCGGAAGTCTATCCGCATGTCGCCATCAAACTTCCATCATGTAACGTTAAATTGGGACATTTGCATTTCGAGAGGTTCGGAGCTTTTTAGGTTAAGGACAAAAGGTTATAAGAGAAGAGCGGCGCCACGCCATGCCACAGTACACTAGTTCCCGACGTGAAAACAGACTCCATTCATCATTAACTGAGAATCACATTTATTTCTTGGCAGCAGACTCCTCCTCGGCCTTGGCCTTAGCACGCTTCTCCCGAATACCCCTGTGGCGAGCCTCGCTACGAGCCTCGCGCAACCGGCGGAAAGCAGCCTCCTCACCCTTGGGCAGATCGTCACGCTTGACCTCAGTGACAGCCTCCTCAGCAGAGAGATTCTTGACGGGGAAGGTAGCCCCAACGCGGGTGGCGTAACCCTCGGTCTTGCCCTCGACGGCGAAAGCAGCCTTGGCAGCGTTGACCTCGTCGGCGGATGAGTCAAGCTTCTTGAACTGACCGCTCTTGCGGGGGAAGAGGATCAGACGAGCCTTGTAGTCCTGGAGACGAGCGACATTGGCGGCCAGAGACTCCTTGGAGTAGTTGACACGGCGGTGGTCGACGGCGATGCCGATGGTGGGGGCGAGTTTCTTGGGGATACCAGCTTCCTATGTTGACGAAAAAAGAACCAGTGAGCCTTCGTTTCCGCACCGATTGCCATTTTTGCCGCATTCAAGATGCAGGGCGAATTTTTACCTTCAGCTCGGCCAGGGTGAAACCACGGCCAGCACGAACCCGGCGGTTGTACTTGACGGTAGGGCACCGCACAACGGGACGCAGCTTGTCAACCGGACGGGGAGCGACGGCGGCGGCCTTCGCGAGACGGGCCTCACGACGGCGGTGCTTGCGGCCAGGCTATAGTTCCGCGATCAGTAAGTCTCTCATAATGCGAAAACGTGTATCTCAGTAATGACGCTGAAAGTCTTGTTGCAACTAATTGTTTGCGATGCGGCTCGGGTTGGAAAAGGGTGTTTCGAGTTCGTACCTGGTCGAAGTGCACGCGCACACGCTGCTGCCAGTCCTTGCGGAAGTCTAGAAAAAAAATGTTAGACCCAAGCTCCGTGCGAAATCATCAAGTATCAATGAGCAAAAAAGAAGAAGAAAAAAACTGAGTCGGTTCGTGTACTCACGCTGGTTGAGAATCTGGTTGTTGTGCTTGATCGCCTACATACGCCACCAAAGACTCGTTAGCATCCTGCAAATCGAACATCCAATTTCTCCAATATCCAATATCCAATATTTCGACATATCGATATATCCAAAACCGAATCGAGGGTTCATGAACGCACCATTGTGACGGATGGGGATCAAAGCCGGGAGATTGTCGTCGTCGTCGTGGGTGGTTGCTGGTCGGATCTCAAAACTCCTCGTTTCAATATTGGGGTGGAACTTTTTTGGTGTGGCCGCGCAGAGCCGCACCGCCTCGCTTAGCGAGCCCTACCCTGGCTGCCCAATGCGGAATGGCCGTCCTGCCCGGCACCGCCACATGTGGCGCCTCGTATGCTTACGGAGTATTTCATGGCTGGAGCTCACGTCTCCATCGTTCATTCTTCTAGACCTGCAGTCTACTCCGGAGTACAATCGGTTTCTCGTCCCGGTCCAAGGGGTTCTTGCCCTCTTTTCTCTTCCTCTTCATTTTTCTTTCTTTTCTTGCACAAGGCGATCAAGTGCATTGTCTTACCTTTCATAGGCAATCAGACTCGTGAACTCTGATCTCGAGGAACAATCGCAATCAATGAGCCCTTAGGTCATCAAAGAAGATTTCATTTAAAAACAAAAACGAAAAGAAAAATCAAATGTGGAGAAAACGCCCAAAAACCCCATTTCATCCATCATCTTCACGGGTCATCATTCGTAACTGATTGTTAAAAACAAAATGCGAGGCCAAGTAAACAAAGCATAGGCGCAAGCCAAAGCAGAAACTGGACGTAAACGATTCAATCTTGAAACCCCAGGTCTCCATCGCCATGACGGCAGAATGGGCACAAGAATTTATGCACTAAGCCGTCTCGTTACTGTTCCAAGTGCCAATACCGAGACCCACTCTTTCCTCAGCTTTCGTTTTCTTCTTCAAGACCGCACCGTCAAGACTTGATTTACGCTTAAGATTGCTCGGCGCACGCTCAACGGTGGCTTTCTTGACCTGACCAAACAATTTCGTCTGGAGGAGGGTGCTAGATTTAGGAGCATTCACCACGCTTCGAACATCTCCACGGTTTATCGGAGCTTTATTGCGTTGAAACATGCGGGACCCCAAACTACCAGCCTGAGAAAGGGGAATATCCTCTTCGGTTTCAGCTTCCTCTATATCGGATGCGGAGATCGTGCTATCCCTGTCACGGTTCGCCTCTGATGATTCCTTGCCTGGAGTGTGGTATTGGTTGGTTTCGTGACGGTGGTTTCGAGACCGGGCGGGTGTCATGGGAAGAGACGACAGCGAATGCGACCCACGAACATGCCCACTTGCATCGTGTTTCGAGACACGGGCCCGATTAGGGGTAGAGGTAATGTTGGAGGATTCTCGATTGAGAACTCGATCTGCGGCTAGAAGAGCTGCGAATGGATTGCTGCTTTCCCCTCGGCTGTCATCCGTGAAAAGTGGGAAGGGCCTTCTGTGAGGAGTCTGAATTTCTGTTTGCGGACTTGGTGACAACGAGCCATTCTCAATCATCAACGAAAAGTGTTCACGATTATCTCTGATGCGCTTCTTCAGCAAACAGTTCTCTTCTCTCAACTGGTCCGATCTTTCCCTCTCCTGTTCGATAAGTTTCTTCGATCGTCGAAGTCTTCGGTCCAAGGTAGCATTGGCTCTTTCGAGGTCTTGGTTACGTTTGAGGGCAAGTTCCAATTCCACGTTGGTAACTGGTTGGGGAGGTTTGTTTTCAGAATGACGACTGCGATACTCCGAGCTCTGAAGAATCTCAACCTCTCTTCGGGCTAACTGATGTTCAACCTCGGCCCGCTTTATGGCTTCATTGCTCGTGAAAGACAAGAGACTGTTCTGCAGCTTGAAATGCAGTGCTGACATCCGGGCCTCTTGAGCCACACCCAGCAATTCTTTAGCGATCGTACGGAGCCTTGTTTCGTCTGCAGCGCCGATCTCCTCGGCAGTTGGAAGGTTTTCGGAGGCCCCGTAGGCGACGCAGAGTGTCTTCTCGATATCGGGTGGAGATGCAAGATAAGAACCAGATCGGGACCTCGTTCCTCGAGAGGGGGCGGGGGGGACTTGGGAGGATGGTGGTGGGGTCATGTCCGATGAAGACAGCGCTGGCGGAGAAAGGAATTTACTTTTTTCAGAGTGTGAAGCAAGGCTCTCGGCCCTTACATTCAACTCCGGAGAAGCAGAAAGGTTTGAACGGAGAACAGGGGTGGCAGGGGCAGAGATCTCTGCCGGAGGAGCTAGAGACGTCTGCGCAAGCCGGGTCTCGCTGTCTTGTGACATGGTCTATTGAACGGGGAGGCGATGTTGGGAGACAGCGAAGGGAAAAAGCCCGACCGTGCAGATTGGCGCACTGAAAACTAGTTAGCATCATCGGTATTATTGAGACGGCTGTCGCGCGGCGGTCAATCGCATACCGGTAGTCGATAGTTCGGTTGGCTGACCGAGACTTTGCGATAAGGTCGGGATTTCCAGTCAGAACTCGGAGAGTTTAAGGCGACTGTAGAGGCGATTGTAAAGGGAGACTGTGCTGTGGGTTGCGACGACAGGTATCCTTAGATCGGGCTGCTTATCACTGATAGGGCTGCGCAGGCACGTTCAGGGAACGGGAAGTCGATAATGGCGGACGAAGACTGCTACTAGTCCGATTCGATAAAGATATCAGGATAGAGTTATGGAAGCTTCGTAGATAGTGCGGGAGGAGTAAGGGGAAAGGCGCAAGGAAGTAAGGGCGTCAGGGGAGCGGAGGAATGGAGAAAGAAAGATGGATGATGGGGGGGGATATGATGTGAAAGCAAGGAGCACGGGTACTTTGATGCCTTAAGGATGTTGCAACCGGCGGGAGTTTCGCACATCGGGAGGCTGGGAGGTCGCTTGTGATCCCCTCGCCTCGTCCAACCACGTCCGGCCACCGCGATCCATGTGAGCCCAGCCGCGCGCCAGTATGCCACCATGCCGGATCTGGCTAGCGGCGAGGTAAACAGAAGCTGGACCCCATGGGTCGTCGCTGTTGTCACTCAGGCAACCCGCCCGGCCACGGTCGATGGTTCCTGAATCGGATCAAGGCTCCTTCTCTGTACTTCTACAGTAGTTGGGAGATACACGGACGATGTGTCAGGTACCCAGAGGCAGTGCTCAGCAGCCGCCTATACAATGAATGTATACTGGAAATGCTGTACAGTACCTACACAACAGTACACATAGCTCGTTCGGCACAGTCGAGTCCTGTTCCTATGTATGTAGGTCTGTACTTGGCCCATATTGCCTGATCAATCAATCGTAGCCCCATTGATAGAATTCTGCTGAAAGTGGGAAAGCACTGCGTTGTACGGAATAAGAGGCGTCTGTTGTGAATGTGTTTTCTTTTAACGTTCGTCCACTTTCTCCTTTGTTTTTACAATTAATTCGTGTCTTCTTTACCTAATTTCTGTTGTTTTGCTTTCTATGGACCACAGTACATCCTCATGCTCGTCCAGCTGCAATGTATAGCTAAGAGTCCTGGTCTTTTGGCAATGTTTACTAAGCCAAGTGGCATTTAGTTAGTTAACTAGTTAGTTAGCAGCCTCAGGCAGAAGGTGGCGTAAACAAATAAGTTAATAATTCAATAGCACCACCATTAATATTCCATATGCCCACCGCAGCGATATTAAATCGGAGCCCCTACAAATCTGGTCAAACCCTAATAAATCGCCGAGCTGTTCTATTTTCTTTCATTTGAGCTGTTCATCTTCAACAATCACACAATTTCCTCCGAAGCACTATATCCCCTTCTCTCCTTTGAAACCCCTCATTCCACATCGAGAGTTCTTTAGCGCTTCAACGAACACTATCATCAACCGATTAGCCGTTGCTGTCACATTGATGTGGAAATGGATCGGCAGCTGAAGCCCCTGAGCAAACCCAGCGGAATTCCTCGCCCGGCGTCAAAATTACCATTGCCCACCTCTACCGCGTCTAGATCCGTCCGCACCTCTCCATCTCGCGAGAAACTACAAACCGATCCAGGTCTGTATTCTGGCAGGCTACGACGCCCTTCGGAGGAGCCTGTGTTCAAGAAGCCACATCCCAAATACATGCGTCCTGAAAAACTCTCGAACGGCCCACAGCAGAGGGGGAGGATCCCGCAGGTTGGAACAATTCATAGCGAACAGATCAACCCCGAAAGCGCGACCGTCAAAGCCGACAGTGATGAATGCGCAATTCCGATACACGATGCAGACAATCGAGGCCGAGCGCGCCCCTCCCTCTCAGAGCGGACCATCGAAACGCTGTCGCAAATCCCACCCTCGCCTACACCTTTAAGAAGACAATCTAGTTTTTTTAACGCGACCAGCCCCATGCGCTCTCCCTCACGTCCGCCGTCGTCAATGACCAACTACTCTAGATCGCCGTCTAGGTCTTCATCGTCCCGCCAACCCAGCGGAAATGACTATCTTTCTCGTCCCGCATCAGCTATGCGGCTTCCATCCAGATCGCGCCCGTCCATGTCTACGAACGGTGCATCCGCTGAGACCGTTACGCCGATGGTTGTAGATAGCCCGTCCAGATTGAAGCAGCCTTCCATCAGGACCGATACCCACAGTGAAACGACGCCTACCAAGCCAAAACCCCGCGCGCTTTCTAGCCAACCCTCTGCCACCCGTGTCAGCTCGGACACTGGACCTTCACTTCAAGTTACGAAAACGCGGAAAACGCCGGTGAACCCTCCCATAGGCCCCAAGCAGATTTCAAAACCCTCAAGACCAATATCGACAAAGCAAACTACCTCCGAGTTGACGCCGAGTCAGCAATCTGAGCTAGAGACCAGGAAAGTCTCGAACTCGTCGAGCGCCCTACGAGAGAGTATTGCAAAGGCCAAAGCGGCACGAAAAGCTGCCGCACAGGCCGCCCATTCTTCGCCTGCCAGCACATATGACAATTTTGACGTCGAGGATCCGTTTAACCAGCGACCAAAGGACCCTCAGAATCGGGTTATTCATAAACGCATCGAGGCAGGGCGAACATCTGGCCACCTGAACATTGCCGCCATGTCCTTGAAAGAATTGCCAAAGGAGGTCATGACGATGTATGATTTTGACCCCGAGTCCTCCACGGAGTGGTATGAAAGTGTGGATCTTGTGAAATTCATTGCGGCGGATAACGAATTCACCGAGCTCCCAGATGCTGCTTTCCCCGACAAGGACGTGCAAGATTTGGACCCCGATACGGACGAAAACGGAAACCAATTCGGAGGGCTTGAGCTTCTAGATCTACACGGAAATTTGCTACGCTCTCTACCAATGGGATTAAGACGACTACAGCGATTGCACACACTCAATCTCTCTGATAACAGCTTGACAATGCGTGAATTGGATGTAATTATGGAGATGGAGTCTCTCCGGGACCTCAGATTAGCCAAAAACCAATTAGAGGGGAAATTGACATCGGACATCGGACGTCTCAAAAATTTGGAAACCCTCGATCTCCACAACAATTCCATCACAGATCTCCCAATCGATTTTGAGTCGCTTAAATGCCTTCGGGTCTTGAATCTCGGTGGCAACCAGCTAACATATCTGCCTTTCGAAGCTTTGAGCCAGCTTCCGCTGAAGGATCTCAATGCTCAGAGGAATAAGCTGAGTGGATCTCTGATACCTGCCAGCGTAACAAAACTAGAGACTCTTCAGAGTCTCGACGTTTCCAGCAACGCATTGGTGCAAATTTCAGCAGATGGAGATGTCGAGCTACCTCGCCTGCAAACTTTAGCCATCAGCATGAATCGTATCCAGAAGTTGCCCAGCCTCTCTGGGTGGCGGGAACTCCTGACTCTATCCGCAGAGGACAACAAGATATGCGAGATACCGCCTGGCTTTGTTGAGCTGAAAAGTATCAAACATGTCGACTTCACCAGCAATGATATCTCAAAACTGGATGAACGAATCGGGTTGGTTGAAAGTCTGTCAACATTCCGGATCGCCATTAACCCCCTGAGGGAGCGAAAGTTCCTCAGCATGAACACGGACGACCTCAAAAGGGACCTACGTAATCGATGCGAACCAGAAGTCCAAGATACTGATGATGACGAGGGATCTGTGGCAACTCAATTTACGCTTGCGCCAGAAACACCCGCGCAGACATCAGCTTGGCAGATCAAACCGGGGGGAATCCTCGATAGATCATACACCGACATGCAAGAATTACAGGTTGACAGGCTCGAAGAAATAAACTCCCAAGAAATCAGATGCCTATGTTTGCAGCACAACGAATTACGTTCTTTCCCCGCTCCAGCTCTGAGCATGCTTGCAGCCAACCTCATTGACCTTGACCTGTCCAACAATCCAATGGATGGCAATTCCTTGCTGAACTCCTCCCTCGAACTCCCTAGTCTCCAGAATCTCAACTTAAGCGCCACCGCTTTGACCACGCTGACTCCAGTCTTCACTTATCTGAAAGCTCCGTCACTTACATTTCTTGACGTTTCCTATAATCGTCTCTCTGGGTCGCTTCCTCCAGTGCGACTGAGCTATCCAAATTTGATGACGTTGCTCGCTGCCGATAACCGTCTTGATAGTCTCGATTTTGACGCTGTACAAGGTCTCCAGGTTTTAGATGTAGGGAACAATAATATAGGGTCCCTTCCGCCGAAACTTGGTCTGTTGAGAGCCGAAGGATCCAGCAAGAACTGGGGTGGCGGGTCGGCTCTGAGGAGGTTTGAAATTGCAGGTAATAGCTTTCGAGTACCTCGATGGCAAATCGTTGCCAAAGGGACCGATACGATCCTTGAATGGTTGAAGGACCGCATATCTGCCGAGGAGCTTTGCGCGTGGGAATCGGATGACGACATAACATCATGATGAATCCAAAGGGAGGGTACTACGCGATGCTGTCGCGTGAAGCGATCAAATCGCGCTCGGCACGTAAACATTTACTCTGTGGAAAAGAACTGAACCTTCGGGAATGTGAGCCCAATTGTGATAACCGTCTAAAATTCTGATGCTCATTTCTTCTATTCGTATGTATGCAATGCGTACATGTGCCTTTCATTTCTCGCCTTTATCCCCCGTGTTGACGAGGGTCTTGCTGACCTCGCTCACCACTTTCAACCATGTCTTTGACCAGGTCTCAAATTTGTCCTTTGATTCATGTCCCCGGTCAGGCGAATCAGTTGACGTCCACGACGAAGCCACAATCTCTATGGCCTTTACGGCGTGGTCTTTCGTTGTTCGCAGGTAGTTGTTGGATTTTGTGAAGTTGGCTTCATATAGGGCCCCGGCGACTTCGTCGACATTCTCTGGAATTCGCCGCAGATTCGACATCAAGTTTTCGAGTTTACCGATGAGAGGCGGTGATAGTTTGGGAGCGGGTTTCAGGCGGTTTTTGATAATGGCGGGGTAGATCTGCGCGATGGGTTTGAGGATTCGAATGGCGTTTTTCTTGTTCTCATGGAGAGCAGCGCTGCTTTCCTCGTCATCCTTGTCCTCGTCCTCCTCACTCCCGCTCTTTCCAGGGGTATCCTGTCCGTTATCGCTCAAAATATCGTCGAAGAAGTCATCTCCTTCCTCATCCGGGTCCCACTCTTCGATCTCCTCCACCGCGTCTCGGACTAGGTCCCTCCATTCCTCCACGCGCCTGACCACAAATCCAACAACTCCCCTTGCGGCGAAATCAACAAGCGCATCGCAAGCTTCCCACACGCGCCCTGCAGCTACAGTAACCACGTCCTTTTCCGATTGGGACAATCCCCGCTTCTGTTTGGGAGCGTCCGCTGCGTCATCTTCTCGATTTGCGACGGAGCGAACCTCTTTGAGCAGCGATGCGAATTCCGTCAGAGTGGATTTCGTCAGAACCAACACTTCGGTCTGAAAGGCCTGAGTGTGCTCGATCGGGGTGACCAGAAGGGCGGCAGTCACTAGCGAGGGCAGTGCCGACTCGTTGATGTCAGAAAGAACACTAGTGACAGCCGAATGTGTGAACGGGGAGGTGATCGTAAGCAGCGACAGTTTGGTGACTTGGGATTTCAAGGCCGTAGACGAGGCCGACAGGAGCGGGAGGGCATCCTGTCCGGAAAGTTGACTGGACGTCTGCGTAACGGGTGTAGCGAGGGTTAATTGAAACTGCTGTGTAAGCGTGATCGCAGTTTCTAACTTTATGCGAAACTTTTGGGACATTTTGATCATGGAGTTGAGGGTCTGTTGTGGTAGGAGTCTTGAGCTTCTGAATTGTTAAATGAGAAATCTCGGAGTTTGGCGGGGCTGCTGACTAGGGCTCTGCGGGGTCACAGGTTCTTCCTCTCTGTACGGAGTGCGGAATATATTATTGGGGGAGTTAGGGGATCATCACAAGAAGAGAATGAAGATAACGTAGGAGTTCTACTCCGAGTATTCCCATGGTATACCTACAAACACAGAATCGACTCCTGTTTAAGCCTTACCCTAAGCCTGGGCCCTACTCCTGTACAGTACAGTAAAGAACCGTCTGTACAAGTACAATATATATATATCTCTCTGACCGCCTATATGCGTCATCTCCGGGCAGTTTCTCGTCTCCGCCCGCTTGTTCTGTTGACTCGTGTTAAACGAAAAGCTCTTTTCCAAGTCCTACCTCCCTTCCTCTCCCCACCTCTCAGCGCGCGCTTTTCTTTTCCTTGAGGGACCCTCACTCGGTCTTTTAATTGAGATGGGAACTACGAAACCCCGACCGCCCCCGAGGGCATCTATCGCGAAAGCTCAACCTTTACCGGACAAGACATTCATCATCGACAATGGCGCGTTTACCATGAAGGCCGGCTACGCGCCCGACCTCCTATCCTCCGACTGTGAAAGTACGACGGGCCCTGCCTGTAGCGCCATCCCAAACGCACTTGTCAAAACCCGCGGGAACAATGTCTACATCGGTGCGCAGCTCAACAGCCACGTGACTGATTGGAATGAGTTGATGTTTCGCCGCCCGGTCGAAAAGGGGTACATTGTGAATTGGGAGGTTCAGAAAGAGATCTGGGAGCATTCTTTTTTTGACGAAAAGACGGCCCGAACCAAGGAGCTCCGGATCGCGAACCCGGAGGAAACCACCTTGTTGCTCACCGAAGCCCCAAACGCGTTGCCGGCGTTGCAGAAAAATGCGGATGAGATTGTGATGGAGGAGTGGGGATTTGGCGGCTACTTGAGAACCATAGGTAACTATCACAAGTGCCATCTGCGTTTTACTATGGGTCACTCGTTCGCTGATGATGATATCAAGGACCGTCGATGAACGCCTGGAATGAGGTTCAGTCTCTATTCGGGGACCCTACGCAACAGCAGCCCGGCATGGCCGCCTCGCCGGCCGAATGCTTACTCGTGGTCGATTCTGGCTACTCCCACACGACGGTAACGCCGATCTACAAAGGCCAGCCTCTTCAGCGCGCCATTCGCCGACTTGATCTTGGAGGTCGACACCTGACGAACTATTTGAAGGAGATAGTCTCGATGAGACAATATAACATGGTGGACGAGACGTATGTCATGAACGAGGTCAAAGAGGCGGTGTGCTTTGTCAGCAACGATTTCCCCCATGACATGGAGGAGACCTGGAAGGGGAATCGGAAGCGTGGCTCATCCCGGGTAGGCGAGGGTGTCACTGTTGACTACGTGCTGCCTGACCCAAACGCGGGAAAACAAGGCTTCATGCGTCCCCATGATCCCTTGCTAAAGGCGAAGAAAAGAAAAGGCGCTCTTTCAGGCACTACCGCCGAGACGCTATCGGAAGATGTCTTGGTACTGGGCAACGAACGTTTTGCTGTCCCCGAAATCCTCTTCACGCCGGGCGATCTTGGAATGAAGCAGGCTGGTATAGCGGATATGGTCATGCAGAGCTTATCTGTCTTACCTCCCGGCTTGCATCCTGCGTTTTTGGCAAATGTCCTGGCAACCGGGGGCAATTCTCTGTTGCCGGGATTTATAGACAGGCTGTAAGCAGTGATCGCGCCTGTCCCTGCATATTTACGTTTATTAACAAAATTACCAGAGAAACTGAGCTGCGTCAAGCAGCGTCGGCGGAATGTGTTGTGCGAGTCCGACGCCCTCTGGAGTAAGATGCTTTCCTTTTCATTTTCTTCTTACCTACACCCTCAGGTTGCTAACAAGTTCCATTAAACAGCCCTATCCGTTCGACTTGGATAGGAGCATCGCGTTTCGCAACGAACAAAGAAGAACTGAGGAAAGTTGCGGTCACGCGACAGGAATACCAGGAAAATGGCTCTTCCTGGGTGGCGAGAAAATTTTCTGGCGGCTCGTAAAATAAAGGATTTAACCCCTCCATTATGACTCCAGGTGAGAGGGAGGGAGGTTATGCAAGCCTGTCGTCGGATTACCGGCGTAGACGTCCGCCCACGGAGAGTACATGACTCTGGCACCCCCCCCAAAGGGCCGGGGCTTGATGTGGCCAGTGCTGCACCGAAGTGCCATGAAGCATACCGACCTGACGTGGATCCCGGTGGACAAGCAGTACTGTCCCTTGCACTAGAGGGAGTCTACTTGGGGGGACGTTCACCTGGGATCATCATAAATGGCTAAGACAGTCTATCACGTAGGCGATTGCGTGGAAAATGTTGCGGTGAGATTTTCGAGTCCCCGCAATCTAACAACTCACATCCCCACGTCATCAGCAATCCCCCACTTCACTTCAGGATTCCTTGACTGGTGTCACTCAATTGGATCATCACTGACCCGGTATCCTTTCGGGCGTGTAGAGACGGGAAACCCTCGTGTCAGGAGGGGCGCCAGGGCCCTAACTTTGCTTCAAAGGGCAAGTTGGCTTTGGGAGAATTGACCATAGCGGATAGATGTAGGATTTGCTATCGCTTTATAAACTAGAGAGGTGCAAACCGAGTATTAAAACGACGCAATCATTATCACTCACCTTACATGCAATCCTATACCTAAGCATATACTGTACGATCTATCAAACATGAACCCGACACTTTGACTCTACCCTGCACTCAGTGTGTATTGGCGTGATACTCTTACCAACAGCAAAAATGGCTCTAAACATTGGAATCAGCTTTCCGAATGTCTATTGGGGCTATAGTCATCGCAACCTCTTGAGCATACCTTTTACTTTTGTGACAAATCCCAACTGGTACAAATATGTTTTCGCTCGATCTTCCGTCTGCCATGTGGCGTGTGGCCCGACCATACGACCCCGAACGGCACGGTGTGTCGAAAAACAGATGCCTCGATGCAAGACCAAAATCTTCTAATTGGGAGTCTTTCTTGGTTGATCTGGGCTTCTTCAAACCTTATCGGGCTTTGGAAGATCCTGTAGAGAGCAATCCAGACCAAGCACCCGGCTTCGTGGACATCCAACGAAGGAGGGCAAGAAATCACTCGCCTTAGAAACAAGCTGCGGAGGTTTGGTTTCAGAAGGCACCTCGCTAGGCATACACAGCCCTCAGAGTTTGCAATCCCAAACCACCACCAAACGTCCTCAAAGAACATGCAACTAACCGGAACCAGGACCTGCATGGGCTGTTTTGACAGTCTGCTTGTCGATACCCTTTCGTGCGGGCACAAGTATTGCAGTCAATGCATTGGTCGAATGGCATCAATAGCCGTGAAAAACGAGTGTTCTTTCCCTCCTAAATGTTGTTCTAAGGAGGTTCCATTGCAGAAAATACTGCGGACTCTGAGCCCGCAGAAGCAACGAACCTATGCTGCCAAAGTGCACGAATACGCAACCTCGATCTCGAGACGCCATTATTGCTCGGCACCTGACTGTGCGGAATGGATCCCGCCAAAATTCCTGAAAACTGGCGCTTCGTCCCATGCCTGCTCGTACTGTGGCCTGATTATTTGTTCCATTTGCCATCAAACGGCCTATGCTTCAAGTGTCTGTCCTTCGGATCCTGGATTAATCGTGGTCCTCGAGGAGGCTCGAATTCAACAATGGCAAAGATGTTACAACTGCGGTGCCTTGGTCGAGCTCACTTTTGGCTGCAATCATATTACATGTATCTGCAAAGCATAGTTTTGGTAGGGCCTTTGCTTACCGAGGGACCGTGATCCAATGCTAACGACACAAAGCTACAAGTGTGGTAATCTATGGAGTGCATGTACTTGCGTCGGTCCCATAGACCAACCCCTCGACCTTCTCTCAATGATAACCAACAACACACCAAATGGGGACGAGGCAGCCGAACTCGCGGCAGTGATCACCGCGGTGATGCGAGCTGACAGAGATGACGTATAAGAGCTTGATGGGGCAACAATCAATGCAGAGAGAGAACATATGCTTGTCTTCTGGATGAATTTTTCAAATATCAATAGTACCCTCGGTTCGGATGGATGGTTTATATCATAAACAATAGTTTGTAGGTGACTACATGTTAAGGCGCTAGATGGTGTGTGACAGGGAATCGAGAGTACATTTTGCGGTGTAATTACAGCGCCGTCAATAGTCGTAAAAGCCCTTTCCAGTTTTCTTGCCCGTCCACCCAGCGTCGACCATTCTCTTCAGCAGTCCCGAGGGCCGGTACTTGCTATCTCCAGTCTCGTGATGCAAGACATTCATAATAGCCAGGCACGTATCAAGACCAATGAAATCTGCGAGCGTCAAAGGGCCCATGGGAACATTGGTACCGTTCTTCATGATGTTATCAATGTCCTCGCGGCCTCCAACCCCGGTTTCGAGACAAATGACGGCTTCATTGATATATGGCATGAGAATGCGGTTGGCGAGGAACCCTGGCGAGTCAGCGGAGACGGAGGCAACCTTGTCCATGCGCTTGACAAACGCGATGGCACTTTCGATGGTTCCCTGGGAGGTCTGCAGACCCGCAATGATTTCCACCCCCTTCTGGATAGGCACAGGGTTCATAAAGTGCGTGGAGATAACTCGGGAGGGGGCCTGAAGGTCCCTAGGGTCCGTCGTCGTGGCCGCGGCGATTTTGGTAATCGAGATAGATGAAGTATTCGTTGCCAGAATGGCGTGTTTGGGAGCAATTTGCGCGATCTTCGTGAAGATGGATGTCTTGAGGTCGGGAATCTCAGGGACCGCCTCGATCACGAAATCCACCGCCGACAGATCATCGAGTTTCAGGCTAGATGTGATGCGCGAGCGAACGGTGTCGGCATCCTCCCGAGTCAGACGCTCCTTGGAGACATCCTTTTCCAAGAGCTTGTCTGGAAGCAGGTGAATCTTTTAGTGAACAAGCCCTAGGTAGGGGAGGCGTGGAATCCGAAGCACCAACTGACCGGCAAACTTGAGACCCTTGTCCAGAGAGGATTGAGAGTTATCAACTAGGGTTACAGGAACCCCAGCTTTGTTCGCAGCCACAAGAGCAATCCCCAATCCCTAATGTTCGGTCAATTACCACGTAGAGGCATCGCTGAAAGTGAACATTCTAGACTAACTGACCATCTGGCCTGCTCCGATAACTCCCAGCCTGTTAACCTCGGCAGCGCGAGCTACTGCGGACGTGCTGAATGCACGAGAGGCCATTGCGGAGCCGCAATGGCGGAGGGACGGGAGCGAAGAAGAGAACAACATATCCGGGATACCTAGTAAACAGAGCTGACAGCGAAGGAAGACGTAAGGGAAGAAAGTCAAGCATATAATCGATTTGGACCACGACCCCTGGGGAAGAGCTCCCATGTGATCCGACGTCATCGGTTATCCTCGGCTGTGCGGACCAACGGTTCCTCCGCGCCCGGAGAGCCGAACGCGCCGACGCGTGAACGACGCGTCCTCCGCGGTTTGACGGTAAAGTTGGCCCGCTCCAGGGGAGAACGACACCAGCACATTTGGCCATAATGGACGAGGAAATTGTACCTGTTGGCCAGACGGTGGAAGTCGTGGACCCGGATGTCCGCGCTCATGTCTACAGCCTTGTGACTGCGGTGAGTTGGTGGTCATCATCCCCATCCCTACACGGCCGCCGTCGCTGACTCCGTCAACAGCTGGGAGGATTCAACGGGGAGAATGCCGATCAATATGTGCTCGGTGATGATGCGCTGGCTTGCTTGCGAGACATCAAGCGCTGGCTGAAGCTGTACGATGAGAAACAAAACCGCATGGATGTGGCACGATGTCTGGGGGAAGCAAATCTGGTCAATGGTGACCTCGTGCCAATCCTTTCGCTCTGGAGCGGGGGCGTCCAGAGCAGTAAATACATGTCCAGGATTGCGCTGGCTTGCCGTGAGTATCTCCCTGCGGTTATCTGCTGTACCGTTAGTTGACTGCTTGTTCTGACAACCCGCAGTGGAATTGCTAGTACCCTTGACCTGGCCATTGGAAATCCATAACCAGATGACCGTTAATCACCATAGACATATGCCCTATCTGCAACATGCACAAGTCTCATATAAAAGACGCCTCCTCAGCCGTGGCAGTGCCAGTCTCCTTAGAACGATTATCCGGATTGGCCTACCCAGCATGGCAGTCCCCCGATCCGAACGAACGGCTCGAGACGAAGGAATTCTTAAGCTCGTGCTTTATTTGTTACGGAACATTGCAGTGATAAACACACATGCTCGCCTTGCAGCGGAAGGAGATGAGGAAGAGACATCAAGGTCCGCGACCCTCAACGCCTTCCAAGATCAAGATGCATTTGCTCTCCTCCTTACCATGTGTTCCAATGTTGGCGATGATTTCAGCATGCAAGATGTGGCTCTTCTTGAGATCTTGTTCCATATTGTCAAGGGGGTTGACGTGGAAAAGCTCTTTATGGATGACGCCCAGCGGAGTGCCAAGCGCACTGATGAGCTGGATACTCTTTTACGGCAGGAGTCTTCGCTGCGGAGGGAGTATGCTAAGAATGCACCGACACGACATGGTCGCTTCGGGACTATGATTTGGGTCAAACGAGATGATGCCAAGGTTTCTACCGTCTCTGGACAGGATATCCTTAAGGACAGCCAAGCAACACTTCACAAAATGGACCAAAGCAAGAAATGGAACAAGCCCCAACAGCGGCAGAAGAAAGAATTATCTACGCTGAACAACGATTTCAGTAGTCCTGTGCACCTCAATTCCACTGCGTCGAAGAACCTGCGCATGTTTGTGGAGGAATTTCTTGACTCTGGTTTCAATCCTCTTTTTACGCATGTCAGGAAGGCGATCGAGCGTGAAGCTGATCGTGTTCTGGACATAAACTCCCGCCAATACTTTTTCACCGTTGCTTGGTTCCTAGAGGCGGAACGGGCACGGCGTGTTCGCCAACGCCAGAGAAGAGCACAGAATGGAAAGCCTGATAAGGTGGCAGAGCCGGACAGTTTTGGATTGGTCGCTGGCGTTCTCAACCAGGAAACGTTTGTCTTCCTCAACCGATCAATGCAGTACAGTCTTGACCATAAAGACTGGGAGGACCTCAATGCTGCGATGCGTTGTTTCACGCAAATCCTGTTGACTGTTCAGGAAATGGCCTTATCACCCATTGAGGAGGACCAGGAAATTGCGGAGAATATACAGAATCGGATCTTCTACGAGGAAACGACCCATGATCGCATTCTTACAATCATCCGTGGATACAAGGACCAAGGGTTCGGCTACCTCGACGCAGCCACGAATCTTGCACACGTCTTCTTGAGAATGCTGGAGCGATATTCGAAAGAGAATGTTGACATGCAAGTGCGCTCTAAAAGACGCACTAGGCGTAAAAACAAGCAGGCCGAGAAGGCCGACGAAGAGAATGACAATGAAGAACAAGTCTCCGAGGATGAAGAAGATCATGCCGAAGCCGAGCGGGTCTCCAAAGAGCGCAAGTTTGATTTCCGACGCTTCGCCACTAAGTTCTGCACTCAGAAGTGCGTCGACACCTTCGTTGCGTTCACCAAATACTACAAGGAGCTCGACACAGAACAGTTGAAGCGCGCGCACCGCTACTTCTACCGAATTGCTTTCAAGCAAGAGATGGCTGTCTTGCTATTCCGTGTGGATATCGTCAATCATTTTTACACGATGATTAAAGGCCCTGGGGCTTTGGACTCCAGCCAGCCTATCTTCAAGGAGTGGGAGGAGTTAGTTCAACAAATTCTTCGGCGACTCATCAAAAAGATCGACCAACGCCCGGCCTTGATAACCGAGCTGCTATTTAGTAAAATCAACTCAACTGTGTCCTACCTGGAGTATGGTCATGAGAAACAAACGTTATCCACAGCCAAAAGACCTCCAGCCGAGATTGAGGTCAGCTCCAGCGAAGCGAAAACTACCGAGGAAAAGATCAACATTGTAATTGGGGCTTTGATCTTGGACGAACAGGGTGATTTGGTTGCATGGGTGGGTGACGTCCTCCAGACGGCGGCGGAAGAAAGAGCATCCTGGGAAGCGCAGGATGAAGCACAGGCAAAGGAGAACCCCGGAATACAAACGGCGCCTAATCCTATGATTGGTATGTATTGTCGCCTGATTTGAAATAACAAAACTAACAACCCATTCAGCTATTGTGCCACGGGATGATGGCTGTCAAAAGGCCATGTTCGCAAATGCTAAACTCCGTCTCTTAATGACCTTGGTCAAATTTGAGCGTCTCGGGGTGGAAGACGTGCCTGGTGCATCTTGGATCGTTCCCTCATCATTGGACTCAAACTATCTTCGGACGACAAAGGCTGCCATCGACCGATGCCTTGATAGTCCCATGGTTGGAGATCTTCAGAACGACCCTCGTGAAATGCTCCGACGAAAATATCCCAATGAACAGAGCGGTAACTCAAAACAAGCGACTCTCGATGTCAACTTTGGATCGGAGTCTGAGGGGGAGGATGTTCCGGACGGTCCCCTTTTCCCACCAAACCCTCGGTCCAAAACCCAGGCCCTTGACGAGCTGAAAAAGAAACGCAAGAAGCAGAAAAAGGACGTTGACAGTGCGCCTCCAGCCGACGAGACCCTGGAAGCACGTCGCCAAGCACGCCTTGAGAACACACGAGCCCGCGTCGCAAAGATCAAAAGTGACCTCTATGTTCACGCCAGCGACGAGGACACGGACGAGGGCGCGGACGAACGCTTTTTCGAGCTAGAAGAGAAAAGGAGGAAAGAGCAGGCAGAACGGGTGCGAAAAGCCTTACTTACCGGCGTTGTGCCGGAGATGAGTAGCGGCACAAAGAAGGGGAATGGGCGCAAGAAACGGCCGACCGAGCAAGGCGCAAGCCGGGTTCCGGGCAAACGACAGCGACGTGCCAATGCCAGCATGAGCGATGCCGATGAAGACGAGGATGTCCTCATGGACGGCGTGGACGTTGGAACTCCCGGGTCACATCGCAATCTCTCATCTAGTCCATCCATGGACGATGATCTTCAGTTCGATGACGACCTCGCTTTTAGCCGGGATCGGAATCCGAGACCAAAGTCTCCTCACGACCAAAGACTGGAACCCGACAGCCTTGAAGACGATAGTGGGATCACCCCGAACAACGACGAAGAGGATGGGCCAAGGCAGCCACCGGCTCGGCGGCGGATACGAGCAGGGTTTGTGATCGATAGCGATTCCGAATAATGAACAAAGCGGGGTACAGCGACGCCATATTCCCTCCTCCCTTACTACCTCAAACCTATAACCGACAACCAAATCTCTCCCTCATGATGGCTCAACGAGTTCGCTTTGTTACCCTGGACGTTTTTACCTCGCAGCCGTACGCGGGGAATCCTTTGGCTGCCGTCTTCCTCCCAGACCCAGAGCAGTCCGCCTCGCTTCCTCTGACCGAGCGCCAGAAACTATCGATCACGCGGGAATTCAATCTGTCCGAGACGATCTTCGTCCATGCCGGGAACAGCGATAAACGGACCATTGATATATTCACTACCTCTTGCGAAATCCCTTTTGCGGGCCACCCAACTATAGGCGCCGCCTCATGGTTTTTGTACCATTCTCCGATTCAACGGGAGAGGGAGCAAGTTCGATGCTTGGTCACAAAGGCCGGAGAGATTCCGATCTCACTACAACAGACGCCTCAGCAGCAGGGGGTATTGGCAATGATCGCACATAATGTTCGTTTCCATGCCGCGCGGTATCCGCTAAGTGAGCTACTCCGGCTTCACGTGTCCTTGACCCCATTCTTCCCGTCTGCAGTTCACAACATGCTGTCTTTTCCGGTGGTCTCTATCGTCAATGGGATGAGTCAAATCCACGTTGAGCTGCCTTCTTTGGAAGCGCTGGCCGCCGTGACGACGTCGGCCGGCGGCGAGGTGATCTCCGTCCACGGACCATACCTGGACGAAGGGTGGAGGTCTGGCCACTGCGTTCTATACTTCTACGTGCGAAACGTCGAGGATGCGCTATTGAAGACTCGCGTAATACGGTCTAGGATGATCTTAGGGAACGAGGAAGATGCGGCCACGGGCAGCGCCGCGAGTGGACTGGTGGCATATTTGTCCCTGACAAAGGAACCCCCCGGGAGGCACACGTATGACATTATACAGGGCGTGGAAATGGGGAGGCGCAGCCAGATTGGAATTGACATCACAACTGACCTCGAAAAAGTCGAGAAGATCGAACTGAAAGGAGCTGCAGTGACTGTGAGCCAGGGCACCATTTTAGTCCCTAAGGAGTAAAGAGGCAAACGGGCCAAATACGTGTAACTAAACCACATCGACAAACATGAACCTTTCCTAACTTGCTCCCCACCAACATCTTCCCCCTTAGACACCTGGTACCTCTTGAACGATCTTCCCTGGACACCTTGCCCCTTGGCATTTTCTCTCCGGCTTGCTAAAGTTCGAGGACTTTCTTTCCCATCCCTCACCTATAGCGAGCTTTCCGGCACTGGAGCGATAATGACGGAGAAACAGGCCCGCAGGTCTTCAGTTGTGAACTCATTCCAGACTCTCAAAAGCACCTTAACTGGACGCCATACGATCAAGGAGGACACGAGTTCTCAGAAGCACAGCCAACTGGCATTGGAGTCTGAAAATATTCCTCCACTTCCATGCACGCAGACGCCCTCTGGCTTCCCCTCCAATTACGTTTCCTCATGGATTCCAACTCCACCTAAGCCCCCCGCTAGAGGTGTGAGCTCTCATGGGAATTATCAAAGGGAAGGAAGAAGAAGCGTGCTTTTGTCTCTTGGCCAGCGATACCTGAGCAAAGGGAAAAGTGGTGGGGAATGTTGCTCCCTAACGACGCCTTGCGATGGTAAGAGACGTTACTCCATCTCTACATAATATTGATCAACAGCACCAGGCTAGCCTGGATGAAGTTCTAGTTGATTGATTCCGCGCTGAGATGAGCATGATGAATATACCCTGGAGTCCCAGTTCCAACTTCACGACCGACTGACATTCTGAGATAGCTGCTAGCAATGAATCCTTAGCCGACATCAGCTACAGTTCCCTGCCCGAGCGCCACAACAGCCTACCCTTCACAGAGACGCCTGTCGATGGACGGCCTACCTTGATCCCTACTCCAGAAATCCGAACCTGCGTGGGAGAACGAACAATAAGTCGGAAAGGATGGAGAACGAGGAAACCAAAGGAAGCGCGACCAGAGAGCCCCAGAGGGCAAGTGCGAATCACTCCCCCAATGACACAAGCACACCACCGGATACCAGAGAATCACCGATCACCTGTACCATCGAGGATGTTCGAGGTCGACGCACGCCAAAAGGAGCTGACGATGGCTTCAAGACGGATCAGGTGGACTAATCGATATGAAAACCTAAGGAACATGGGTCGAAAGGACCCGAAAGAATTCGAGTCCGGAGAAAGACCCTCGCAGTTCCCTCTCACTCGAATACCGTCATGCTTGAAGCGATCAGCCCCGGCGAGCCCTGTCTTCCAGGTCACCGAACCACAGCCTCGACAATACTGGCTGGGACGGTTCGTCACCCTCACCAATGCATTCCATTACGAGGACTCCTTCAACCAGCCGGACATTGCCACCGGATTTGGGATGCTGTCCAGCTATTCTCGTCCCCTGGGGTGTTCCGATATCGACCTCTCGAATTATCGCATTAAGCGGGCGTTCATGGTGCTCGAAAATGTCTGTACGACGGACGAGGCGAGTGCTAGTCTTCGGGCCTTCCGCGAGGACTATGTCAGGTTTCACGGCGATCGGTGGATGCGCTAGTTCCCCATCAAGGACATTGTCGGATGATAGTATGTGCAGATTCACAATCTTGGCGGGTTCTCCTGTCAAAGCAGAAGGTATCACGGCCTTGGTTGTTTATTGACTGGAAAGAAGATGAAAGAAAAAAAATTACTGTACAATGGTCATCGACTGCTTCGAGACGTCTGAATTTACTTTGTCATGAGTGCCAACTTCTCCCAGTTTACCCCAAAGACCCCAAAAACGCCTGAATCGAATCCAACCACCGTGCGCCGACATGAACAAATCCATAAACTTGCATCTTAACCTCTTCTCTCAATACAACCCTAGCCCATACTGTCGAGTCTATCTCATTTTCTACTCCTCAAAAATGCCGCCACTTGCTCATGTCTGGTGACGAAAAACATGCGTTTCCGATCGGACTTCCACACCAGAACCCCGATCTCCTCGGCGTAACGACACGGGGATTCGTACTCAGCCAGACTGACGAAATCCTTGAATAGAAACCCGGGCGTGGCTTTAACACGATCTCTTTCCAGTTGCCAAAGCCGGATCTGGTCCACCACGGTGGGCGGCAGGACGGAAGGAATACCGGCCTGGTTTGACGTGGACCGAGACGCATTATGTTTGCGCATCTGCGGGTGTGCATGCGTGGACAAGTAGGAAATTATTTGGTCGGCAGTGATTCCCATCTCGATGGCCCGACGCACGGACTGGCGGGTGATTTTGCCGGTGATTAGATTGGGAAACCGGTATTTCAGGGTGGTGAAGAGTGCAATGAGAGAGATTTGCAGCGGTGAGGAGGTGTAGGCATACAGCCGATAGTTCGTTTCAATAATGATGAAGCCAGAGCCAGCCTTGCTAGAGGGGGTGCCGGTGGGCCCGGAGAGGGAGCCCGAGATGGGATTGCTCAGAGCGCTGGAGTCGGAGGTAAGAGTGGTCGCGAGACGCGTGGGGTAGAAGTGGTTGGCCTCGGGCGAGTCTTGATAGACAATACCAAAGTCGGCCAGATCGGTCAATGTCCGAAGTTGAAAGGATGTCAGGTGTTCCTTTTGATAAGCCTTCCCCAGCTCCAGGCTGCTAAGGAGAAAAATAAAGGATAGGACCTCCACGCTATCCATTCCGATGGCTTCTGCGCTTTCAACGTAGAGGATGAGAATATGCCAAACCTGGGTGCTCACATCCTGCAAGACAAATGCGAACCCGTCTTGGGTTATTTCCACACGACGATCTTTGATCTCGACAAGATGTCCAGCCTGTAACAATTGTTTCACACCTTTGCTTAGATTCACATCACGCTGAATCCCTAGCCCACTAGTTCCCACCATGTACCCTAGCACCCCCTCCCATTGCCGACGGGCATACTCGTCCATATCGGCTATTGACACAGTCGGCCCGGAAGAGACATGCGAAAGAACGCCAAATGATTGCGTCTGTTCACCTCCCGTGAGAGCTTGTCGGAGGGAGGAGGAGAATGGATTGGTGACCATGTAGGCTCGAACATTGTCCGCCGTCACCGTATTTGATAGAATATGTAATCGTCCCAATATCGAAAGCGCATTGTCACGTTCCCTGGAGGTAGATGAAGAGAGGCACGTCCGCCGTCAATCGATCAATCCAATAATACAGGTCGGGATCGAGAAGGGGAAAGGAGAGAAACACAACACAAGGAACGGGAAGGGATCACTTACTTCAAGCTCTCGGATTTTACCCAGGTCTCTAGATCCGCTGCGGGGAGGGGATCCCTGAGGTAAAGAAGCGCCATAACAAAACATTTTGCTGGATCGCAGATCAGCTTGGTGTTTCAACGGGCCAACCCATCTGACGTACCAAGGTCGGGCAACATGCGCCTGAAAATAGCGAGTGCTGTAGAGGGCTGCTGGTAAAGCTTGTAGAAGACCGTCCCAGGGAGGCCTTCGAGATAGTCAAACGGACGGGATGGAGCGGCCACCATCTTGCCTGCAGAATTCACCAAAGTGTCACCTCCACGGCATAGTGCGTTTCCCTCGAGGTGATGGAGAGAATCGACAAAGCGAGAGCAAGAAAGAGGGAACGGAGGTCAAACGAGAAATTATGCGGTCCGGCGACCCGAGCGGCCACGAAGCGCAGTCCGATGCATGACCTCACAGCACTTCCGTACTCTCCCCGGCTTCCCTTCGTCGTCTCCTCTTCTTCCTTCTCTCTTTCCCCCCAACCCACGGTTTTTCTTGAAAATGACTGCTCTGCGGTTTGTGCGATCGGTGCGTAATCCCGTCGCCGTTAAATTCCCATGTCTCCTTCGCAATCTAACCATTCATAGGTCTGGGAGTCCTTTCGGGCTACTTCGGGATTGGAGCCTCGGTAGGTAACGTTGTTTATATATACATCTCATGGAAAATCCAATGTCTTGTCTCCTCATCCATTGTTTTCGGAGGGAAAGAGAGACTCAAACCCAACTGTAGAGATGCACGGATGACAAACATGACTGATAGCAAATTACCGGCGTCTCTAGTCTCCTCAATAATGTATGTATATGCCCCCCCCTCCTATATTCCGACTACAGTTATTCTGCCCACTTTGAGCATCAGGTGCACTGACTGATATTTTCCCAAGCTCTGTGTGACGGCTGCTAGACCGGGAACAGTCAATTTCGAACTGGACATTCAGAAGGAGCATACGGTAGTTCATCCCCTTCAGCTGATATCATTGCGTTGTGATTGACTGTCCGGTAGAATCGCCTGAGTATTCTCCACGGTGGCACCATTGCTAGCATGGGTATGCTGCTATTGACCAACCCTCTTCTTCTCCTTGGCTGTATCACTGACTATAGTTATGAAGTGGATCTTGGTGGATCATTGGCCGTTGCCTCCCGTGGGCTGTTTGCCACGGGGGTCTCAACCGACCTTAACGGTGCGTGGAAAGGTTCAAAATAGGATGATGCTAAATGGGTTCTGACTGCTCCTTAATTTCAGTTACCTATCTCAGCTCGGGAGGTAAAGTGGGTGATAAGATTCTTGCCGTATGTTTCTTTCCTGGCTAGAACCATGTGTACCCGGATGGATGCGTGTGCTAACATACCTCAAGGAGGTCAGCTGTGATAAATGTAGCTTGGCCCTTCCCCCCTGCCTATCGTTGTGATAGATACCTGTCGATTTTCTCTGGAGGCAACTGACCCATTCATGTTTCAGTTGGCAAAACACTTGCATACACCTCCATCAAATTTCTCAACAGCAAGGGCGAGGTTGTTGCAAGAGGAAGTCACACCAAGTAGGGACCACCTTGGATACCGTGGTATTTCACCTGGTCATAGAACCGTTTCACTGACAATCTTGTAGATATGTGGCACTTGCCTGGAAAGACCCTCAAAATATTGTTGAAGAGCTCGGTGGGCGTAAACAGCAATAGATCCTTTTCATCGCCTTGGAGAAAGCGTACATACACCTAGACACGTGCACGCAGTGTCATCCAATCATCATACCAAACAGGGTGAATATGATCGGGTACGTTGTAAATCACTCTGCTAGGACGGGTTTTAGATAATTGAATGTAGATATCTTGATTGCCTTTGCTCCCTCCCCCCTGAGTAATACTCCAGAGTTCTCTTATTGCAAACAAACCATGAACACAATCACCAACCAAATACATATATGTAAATGAACATAATCATGAGAAACATTGATAGCAACATCCAAGAGCTGTCCCTAAGCCCATCAGACTCACACTATTTTAAATTTGGGGATGCTTAACTAAAGGCATCCTTTCCGGTGGTTTTTTCTTTTTCAAGTCCTTCTGAATAAGGACCGATTGTTCCTTTTTACCTTTCACCTAATACATGCTCATGCAATGGATCATCATCTTGCGGCCCTTCACCCGCTCCCAACATGACTTCGTCTTCATCCATCAATTCATCCACACCGCCTGGCCCTGCATCCTGTACAATATCTTGATCGCCCAGCGCCTTGAGCTTAGCCTGGGTCATTTCAAAGACATACTGACCCAGATGCTCAAGTCCTTCCATTGGTGTGCCCTGAGCTTCGTCAACAACCGACCGTGTTGTCGGGAACATTTCGCCTGTGGTGAGCATGAGCTTGTCTGGTCGCTGGAACAGAAGATCAAACGCCGGTTTCAATTCGTAGCACGACTCGAACACCTCGCGGCGACCAAGAATATAGAGACCGAGGCGGGCGCGAGAAAGGGCAACTGTCAAACGACGGACATCGCGAAGATATCCCATTGTACGGGTGCGAGTGAGGGAAAGAATTACATCTGCAGAACGTAAGTTAGAATGTTGTCACAAGAGGGGAGGGTGCCTCCATCCACGGATCCCCAAAAGACTTACAGTCATTCTGTTCGCCCTGATACTTGTCCACCGTAGTGACGATTTTGGGCATGCCGAATAGAGTGTTTTTGCTGCAACGGTGCCCCAGAACATCCTTGATTAACGCTGTTTGTCCCGCATAAGTGGCGAGAATAGATATCCTCGATGCCGGGTAGCCAAGAAGTCGCATGTATTGATAGATGGCAACCACGTATTCCGCCTCCCCCAGGTTCTGGATAAAGTGTGGCGTGGGCTCTCTTTCACCAGAGCCCTGGTAATCAGGAACATTGATGAATTGGTAATCAAATTGAAAGCCAGCATTTGCTTGTTGGAACTCCTCGGCTGATTTGACGACGGGCAAATCTCCCAGTTGCTGGTAACGCCATCGGAAGAGCTCAGCGATACTACTCCGTGCGCGTCCCTGTTGGTCGAGTGCGATAACAGGAACCCCCAGACGGACGAGACGAAGGAAAAGACTCTGTTCAAGATGCGCATACTGCCGGAACGCATGGTTTTGCACGATCGGGGAATTTTGAAGGTGATCACCACAAAGAACTATTCGCTTTAAGGGGAGCTCACCGCCCTTCATGCTCTGTAAAGCGGTGGGGATGAAGCTCTCGATCTCCGTGATTTGCGCCGCTTCCTCCATAACGACGTTGTCATAAACGAAGCCAAGATCGGCGATCTCCTGGCGACGCATCGCAGCGTGCGTAGATGTCATTGCGATGATCCGTGCCTCTTTGACTAGGAGATAATTGGCCTTGTCTTTAGGCTGCCTCAAAATCTCAAATGGCCGGATGTCTTCGAGTTCGGAGAATATCTTGGAGATATGCCGTTGACAGCCTTCTGCCGCGTCTAGAACCACGTCCTTTGGAGCCGAGGGATCGAAAACAGGCTGGGGGGTGTTTGAAAAATAAGCATGGAATGGGAACTCTGTAATGATCTGCTCCGGGGAGGCGTTGTCGGCATGGGCATTGTCCCAGAACTTCGCCCACGCGGGTTGGATGTAAACAGTGTTGAAGTATCCGGCCGTCTCACAAGAGCTTCCATGAGCCCCCTGTGCGCCAATGGATGCGGCCAGCCGGGCTACCTCAGATAGGAAGTAATTCCGGTTTTCGAAAAATGACTCGACACGCCCATACTTGCTATAGTTTGCCTCAGTATCCAGCTCCTCTTCACCGTGACCAAGACGCAGGAGGTGGCGCTCATCAATATCCAGAGCAACGATTTTCTGGAATAGTTGGTTTAGTGCTTGGTTACTATGCGCAATAAGCAAGGTACGCTCTGTTGGGAAGTTATGGTAGATGTTGTTGATTATCTGGGTTGCGACATCCGTTTTTCCGGTTCCCGGGGGGCCGACGATGATAGTGAGGCCAGGTTGAGTGCCAGATGCTATAGCTTCTGCCTGAGCCGGGGTGAAGCGGACGGAATTGAGCCTGGGGGCGTCAACCGGGTAAGGCCCACGGTTTGGTGGTTTGTAAGTCGATACACGGAGCGACTTGGGGGCTGTCTGTTGCCGTTCGACCTGGTCTCTCCGACGTTTCTTGGAGGCGTTGGTGGAGGCTTGCGGCGATGTGGGTTCAATATATTCAAGGATATATGGAGGCCCAAAGCTTGAAGCCTGCTCTCCCGAAGGCTCGATAGCCATGCCCGGAAAGCTTTCCACGAGGTGTTGCCAGTTTATGAAAGTGTCTCGAAAATCGACAGAAGACAGCCGACTGGCCAATTCCGTATATCGGGCACCCGCAGGGTCGCCGTAGCCCAAAAAGATATCCTGAACCCAAGAGGGAAGAGCAATGTTCGAGACAATGAGCTTCTGCATCGTCTCAAGTATTGACTTGAAATTATTCTCTCTGCCTTTCCTTCTGGCGACAACATTGATCAGGGGGTAGACGTCCGCCTTTCCTTGTATAGTGCGATCTTTGTCGGCCTTGAAAGCAGCCGGATCAAGGTTGACCAACAGCCTCCTAACGCGAGGTCTGGATTTAAACCCATTTGTTTGGGTTGAGGCAGGCTCGCGTAGCGGGCGGCCATTCTCGTCGAGCACCTGCACAATCTCTGCCGATCGAACGTGTGAGATACGGGAGCTATCGGGTGTAGAGTCGGAAGCTCCCAATCTGCTTTGCCCCCCAGGCTGCACAGCCAACAGGAAAACCACATCGTCGGTGCGGAGAGACTCCCACTCCGTTCTGATGTGGTCGGCTAGTCTTCCAACTTCAATAGTGATCTCTGCTCTCACAAAAGCCGGATTTGCCGAACCAACCTTAGCAGGGGCAACTTCAATAACCGCAGGCTTGGAGATGGGGATGGCCATGCGAGAGAACCCTTCGAAAGTTGGACCTTTGCCATCCCGACTGGTCCGGGGCTGCATTCGCTTGACAATTGCTTCCATGTCTTTGCGGATCTGGAAAAAGGCCTCGGAGCGATATAGAACAAACGAGCGCCAAAGAAAATCACCGACACTTAGATATTGAAGATTCAATTTCGGGATTGCAATCGGCCGCGAGCCATCGTATGTTTCGTTCCGAAGCAATGCCGGGTCGTATAGATTTTCTTCCGTAGGGAGTATAGCAATCTGCGAGGAGGCCTCCTGGAAAGATATCTTCCGTTCATAGAAAGCCAAGATAATTTCAAGATACAGCTGCCGAGTGGGCGAGACTTGAGACTGACTGGGGTAAACTGTTCGAAAGCCAAGATGGGAACAGAGATTCTGCAGCTCTGATTCCTCTAGAGAAGCTAGTTGCCCCTCTAGTTCAGAACGTTGTTCAATGGAACCATAATTTGATAGAGCGAGAATCATCAGTTTATCCTTAAAAAGTCTCATTGAGACTCTCTGCAAATGAGACAGTTCCTGACAATGGGCCTCATACACCGCCTGAGGAGACAGAGTCTCACCCGTATGATCGTCGATGGCGAAGTTTACAAAATGCACCAGGAGGTCGTAGAGATCACGGAAAAGCGTATTGTCTGGAGAGCGATATAGCGGCGATAGGCGGGTGACAGAAAGCAAGTTGAGATCTTTGAGTAGCGTATTCACGTAGCGCCTCGTAGGCAATTGGCCTTCTAGATCCACCAAGAACTCGAGAAACCGCTCGCAGTAGTACAAGTTATCCGATTGATCTTTCTCAGGTCCGGCCAGTCTCCGCAGATAGTCGAGAAGCATCGTGTATAGCCATGATCGTTCGAATCGTGCTTTCGCTTTCGCTGCTTCATCTCCTGCTTCATATCTTTTTGCAGCCGCCCTCCACGCCTTTTTTAGCGTCGGGCCCTTCGAAAGAACACGTCCCCTAGCTTCCTCACTAGATAGATTGTGCCAGATTGAGATCGAAACGAGGGGCGCACATTCTTTTCGTATTAAGACGTTTTCGAGTGACTGGAAGGCACTAATGATGAAGGAGAGTATAGACAGTCGCGAAGACGTGGGAATTGATTGGTCAATGCTCATGGAGAGGATTCGGTGGAATAGGTTCGAGAAATCGTCAGGTCTCTCGGAAAAAATGCCTAAGGGCCGTGTCAGCATTCCCCTAAGTATTGATTGATATCGCCCATGACATACTCCATATCGGCAAATGCTCGCGCTGCTTGACGCTCACGATGTGCGTTAACAATAAGACATGGTAATTGGAAGCTTCTTCTGAGTAGGTAGGCCAAAGAAATCTTTTTGAAAAGTCAGCCGACTAAATCGACACCATTCGAGCTTATATGAGATGACAAGCATACTTCTCTAGTATATTCAGATTCTCCAAGGCGAGAAGAGAGTGAAGACTAAAGTTTTCGGCCTCCAAAGGATCCCATATGTCTTTCTTGATGGTGTCCGGTTTAACTTTGCGAACCTTCGACGTCTCGAGCCAGTGAGTCTTTGCCAGTTGCACCCACGGACTGTCTTCGCGGAAGTCCTCTACGGTAGGCCTGGAGTCCAGGCCGTGTGCCATTGCCTGTCGTGTATGTAGGCCCATTCCTTGCCGTTGTGATTGTTCAGAACGCATCCGAGCGGGAGGGCGGATTTATCTGCGGAGGTTGTCCGTCACGGGCGGAAATGCAGAGAGAGCTTCTGGCGCGCGCCTGCCGCCTAGTGAAGTCACTGCGGCGGCTAGAGCCCGCAGAGCCGCAACTCACTCTTTAATCACAGATCCCTTTGTCCTCCACGACAGCGCGCCCATTCATGCTGCCACACTACCCTCACCATCACATCTCTCGGGTATTGAACGGAATATGGCGGACGTGGATACTGTGACTACCCATGCTTATAGGCGACTGGTTGACAATCTCTTGACCCAGGCCGAACAAGTCAAACCTGACAAACAGATTGAACCCCCCTTGACAGAGGCGCATCTCGGCGAGTCGTTCTGGCGAATTCAGGGAGAGGATGAGAAGATTGCGAATCGATTCAACCAACAAACACAGTTCGCTACTTTTGAAATAGCTTTCAGGGAGAAATTCTATCATATCCTCGTACGCGACTCCGTTTCCCTTTTGCGAGCTTCTTGATCATCGGAGATTTCATAGCTAATTGTTGATCCCCTGAAGGCCCATACGTCAATTGACGACCCCGGCTTCATCCAGATCTGGAACCTACTCGACATAATTTCCATATTCTCCGATTACGGTCAGTGTTCGCGATGTCTTTGAACAATGGCCATTGTCCTAATAAGCCTCTAGAGCAATGCGAACCAGGTCTGATTTTCTGGCTCATCGAGGAGCTGCTAGATAGCCAGACTATAGATGGTTGCCGCAAGGTTTTCGATTACTTGGAATCCAGGAGGGAGCGGAATACAAAAGTATGCGACATCTTGGTGCCTGCTCCTTTACATTTGAAACTCGCTAATAATCCGGAAGAAACACTTCAAACAGAAAAGCCTGATTATCCTGAGATCTTGCAACGAGTTACTTCGAAGATTATCTCGGGCCGAAGATACCGTATTTTGTGGCCGCGTCTTTATCTTTTTGTTCCAAAGCTTTCCCCTGGGAGACAAAAGCGCCGTCAATCTTCGGGGTGAATACCATACCGAAAATGTCACGACGTTCGACGAGAATTTCGAAAATGGAGGCAATAAGAATGATGAAATGGATGTGGAATCCTTCAATGGGCAGGATACGCCCACGAAGGCGGAGGAGACTGGCATGGACTCCCAGGCGCCCGCGCAGGATTCACCAAAAGCACCGAGACTAGTTGTTTCCAAAGGTGACGACAAGAGTGAGGAGACGAAGATTGATTTGAACAGACTTTATCCCATGTTTTGGAGTCTACAGGCCTATTTTTCCGCCCCCACAAAAACCTTCGATTCCCAGCACTTCGCTACTTTCAAGGCTGGACTTGAGGCTACACTGTCGACATTTCGGTCAATACATATGGAAATGGAGAATTCAGGAGCTACGAGGACGTCGGAAGAAATGAGGAAATCTTCCAAACGGAAACGGACTGCGGACGGCCAAGAGATTGCGAGCAGTTTCAACCCCAAATATTTAACAAGTAGAGACTTGTTCGACCTTGAAGTTCGTATCATCCTATTGATTTCGCTTAGGTTCTATTGCTGATCCTTTGTTCTAGATCAATGACACCGCTTTTAGGAGACATGTTCTCGTTCAAGCCCTCATTCTCCTGGACTTTTTGCTGTCTCTTACGCCCAAAGCAAAAGCAAAGATGGCCGACATGACCAACAAATCTGTGCTTTATGGCTTCTTGTTGAATGACGAAGATGTAAGAAACCCATATTTCCCTGTCGGATTTGTGTGTATAACACATTGACAATTGAGTAGACCAGGTGGGCCGTAAGAACCAGAAAGGCCATAGAGGAATACCTCCAAGAAGGAATCGGTGGTAAATTCTACTATCGCATGGTGGACACTGTGTTATCGAGGGATAAGAATTGGGTGCGCTGGAAAGCAGAGGGTTGCCCACTGATCGAGAAGTCCCCGGTGTCGGTGATCGAGTATGCCGGCGCCCGTGAGCAAGCGACGAAAGTGTATGCCAACAAACGTCTTCGTCCCTCGCCGATGGGATCGCTGGATCTCAAGTTTCTTTCGGAAGGCGAGTCAACTGCCGGTCTCGAGAGACTTGCCGAATCTGAGAGGTAAAGTGAAGCGCTATCATGGTTAATTCCGCACGGCTGACATTATTCTAGATTCACCGTTCCCGCCGCCGATTCATTTCTGATGGGTATCATGGATGATGACATGGATATTGATATGGCAAAAACGAAGGCTGAGAAAGACCACGCAACGCGTGCAAAAGCGAGCAAGTCTTGGCGGATTCTCCGGCTCTCTGCGAAGAGTAAACTTGCCGCTTTTCAGAAACTCGAAGACGGCAAAAACATCGGGATTCTGTTTGAGAAGAACATACCTGCTGAGAGTGCCTCCCAGACGCTTGAGGGAACCCCCCAGGTATCGGAGGCGGCCTCAAAGACTCCAGCAGAGGGCCAGGTCACTGAACCGGCGCCCAACCACGGAGTTGGCAATGCCGGGAAGGGAAACTCGAGCGTTGCCACCGTCCAGGCATCAGCCGACTCGACGGACGCAATTGCAGCGGGCAAAGAGCAGGAGACGTGAAATAATCCACCCCACCAGACTTGGCAGAGACAGCCAACTAGGTCTCTCGACTTTCGTTAGCGTTCAGGCATCACCAACGACCGCGATTTTTGGTTGGTCATTATTGGATGCCCGGCCCATTCCCTGGATTACTGCAAGTGCCATGCATTGATGTCACAACTCGCAATGCTAATGAGAACGCCCTGCAGCTGGACGGAGAGAGGGGAGAAGAGGAAGGGCGGGGCGAGACCGTGAGAGCGAACGAGAGTAAAATGGGCACGGAAGTTTAGGTAGTTTCCCGGGGGAGGGGGGGGGGGCGTGTGCATCAGCGTCTATTTCTGTCAGTGGCTGTCACGGGGCAGCTGCGAGATTACGGCGGGGACCGCGATTATTATGATTGGTATTCGCTGACAACTACCATCCATCCATCCCCCCCTCCCTTTCTTTGGGCTCTCGCAGTGGCACTGCACCGTACACCTAGTACTCCGGAGTACATCTCTGGTGAAGTGGCAATCTTCCCCCCCCCAAAATCACCGGGGTATCTTTCAACCCCCTGCTCATTGTCAATCAATAATGGCCGTCACCTTTACTTGGTCCATCCCATTGTTTCTGACAGGCCTGCATTTCGAACCCACGCAAGACAAAACAAGAAAATGAAAAAGAAAAACGAAAAAGCACGAGAGATTGGCCACGCAACCAGGTTGTGGTCGGAACGTACCGCCAACCGGAAATTATTGAGGGTCGCCCGGGTCAGGGAGGGTAGATAATAGGTAATAATACTCCGGAGTAGGCAGAGCATACTAACAGGCGTCGCCCGCGGCGGCCCCGAGGAACTTCTGCCATTCTGCTTTCAGCTGAGGGGCCGAGAGCAAAAGAGGAACGTCTGCAAGAGGCCACTTCGGGGTCTCTAGGCGAATCACCATGGAGCCGGATGAACTCACCAAGAACCTAGAGGGCCACTTCTTCTCGATGGCCTTGAGGTCCAGGCGAATAAGCTACGGATGAGGGTCCAACCTCTGTCGGTGATCAGCAACTTTAATAACATGAGGGAGGGGGGGTGTTCCTGCATAACCATCGAGTTCGGCATCATTTTGCGAGAGGCAACAAGCCCAATCAACAACAAGCTTGACTGGAAGTGGGGATTGGTTTGCCGGATCATTTCCCTTGGATCCTCGATAGTAGCTAGCTAGCTAGCTGTCATGCGAGATTGCAGTGCCGTCGCTGGGGCCGAGAGGAAGTTCTTTCAATTGATACGCCATGTCTCACCTCTTCTACGCCGGTTGAAGCTCAATCCATGTGCCAAAAATCGCCTTAATCAAAATTAAGTGGGCAGTTGGACCTTAGGCTCTTAGCGGAACGAAGGTACGAGGGCCTAACCTCGAGGTAGCTTAGGGAGCTTGAATTTCGATCGATATTCCAACCTTCCGGTACCGTTCATTGCAATAATTTAATTAGGAGGTCATCGACCATGCGGAGTACAGACATGGACCGATAAGGGGTGAGATACCTTACCACCACCGACCCTAGTCCCTACGAAGTATATATGCACGTAGTATGCACGTAGTATGTATATCCAGGCGTGATCCGTCCAACGAGACAATTGGGAAAGGAAATTGGTTCATTGAGACACGGCAGGTAGGGCAGGAAAATGAGAATGAAACAAAGAAAAAGGATAAAGGATAAACCTCGGGAGAGCAGGGCGCCAGCCGCCCTGAATCCGGGACCTATGTCTTATGTCTTGTTGTCCTGACGGCACATCTCGGCCCAGGCAAACTGTTTCAAGGTTTCATCCGAGGACCCGCACAGACCAGCCGCACTCTACGGAGTATGGAAATTGTAAATTGTATCCGTATTCCGTAGTTACTCAGTAGTAGCTACGGACTACTCGGGATGCACAAACAGTCCAACAATCAATTGTTCGTACGGAGTCCCTAAACATTACTGAAAGACTTCCGAGGATGCCCTTCAACTGCTTTGTGCAAGGAACCTATCTTGGTTCGTCTCCCATCTCCCATCTCCTAGCCCGTTCCTCCAACTTCCCCCCCTCTTGCCTCCTCCTCCACCCTGTTGATTGATCGTATGTTTGGCGCTGCTGATTCAGGTCAGGCTTCAGACTGATCCGGCTGTCCCTGGCTTGCGTAATGGCCGGGGACCGCATCGTTACCCAATACCCACTGCAGGAGGTCATCCTTGATCGCATCCATCGCAACCGCCCGAGAAATTGGAAGGGGTCGAAGGCGATTCTTGGCGCCCACGCGAAGCCTTGGAAGAGATTAAAGTTGCTCCTCTCTAATCTCCCAGCCCACTTCATCCTCGATCGTCATCGATTTGCCTGGGATCTTCTTCCCCGCACCGTTGTTGCAACGCACTACGGATACATGGCGGTGAATACTAGATACATACAACTACTCCGTGCGCCCCGATTGCAACGGAAGGATGTGTTGACGATGAACGAGATGGGCCGGATGGTCGAATACTGAATACTGAAGGGACTCTTTAGAGTTATGATCGACTTCAGTCGAGCCCGTCGGTGATCCACCCGCTGGTTTCGGTTTCCCACAGCCTCTCTCTACCGACTCTGGTGTTCACGACGTGGCTTTTTCACGATCCAGCTGAGTTGAGGATCATGCCATTCCCCTCCCCATGCCCTTTAATCTATCCACAATCGGGTTTGCCCTGGACGGGTTGTGTCCATCGGTAACTCTCCTCCGCCCTCGGAACTTCCGAGTCAAGGGAGGCGAAGTCCGGAATACGTAGGATCAATACTCCGTATTTTGTTGCAAGTGTCTGCGAGAGGGCGAGGCTAAAATCTAGTACGGACTTCGGGGTCGGGGACAATAGGTAGGGTCTTGTCAGGTTCTGCCTCGAATGCCGATGACCATTTTGACCGCGGGCACAGAAGGGGCGCACAGAAGACAGAAGGAAACTGGAGAACAATGATGATTATTATTGAAGAAGAATCGGTACCGTAGTTACCCATAACAATAATCGATAAGGTACGGATACTTCGTAAGGTATCTTCAAGGCTTCCGGGCGATAACACCGAGATTTCGCCTCCGACGTGATCCGTCGAGGGATTTGTTTCGAAACAGGAGGTGCGACTACCGTGCTAGCCGTGGCCACTACGAGCCACTAGTTCGACCAAGAAGGTAATTATTCCACTTTTCGAAGTATCACATTCATATCGCAGCGAGATTGGATTCTCCATCAGGATCCGTGGTGCAGCTGAATGGCCCGGAAAGCCAAGACCATCACCAAGGCGAACTGAACCTTCGTTTTGTTTGTGAATAATCTGAATTGGTTTACCCGCAGCTCGTTAGCGATATCGCCTGGTAAATAATATCCATCTGGAAGTACGGAGGACGATTGGATACGAGCATTGTTCGGTCGATCTTTTCCTCTTCCTCTTGTTCTATGGCTTCATACGGGCATCATCAGAATTTTCTTGCTTGTTTTTCTCTTCGTCCTTGTCGTCGTCCTATAATTTGCCCTTTTCCTTTTCCCCCAATTTATTTCATTCTTTTCTAGAAAAATACACTCAATGTGTTCTGAGCCGCTTGCCGTACCCAAGTCTATACTTCGTATGAGCACCTTGGTAGGTAGCTGAGAGCTTGATGGGTCTGCATGGAACTATTTACCGATCCGTAGGCACTGTCATTCCATAACAGATATCGGTACTTAGTTAGATTCTCCATACGGTCTAGATACGGATTACGGAATACCTGTACACCGATAAGTTACGTAGCATGGAATAGCTGAAGTCGGTTTTTTTTTTTCCTTTTTAATTCGTTGATTTTCTTAATTGTTTATTCTTTAGTGGTCCTACTGTCAAGCACGATCAGATTCAGGGCAGATGCCTACATCCGGAGTAATATTCTGGTAGAATCTAGGCAGGTCGCCATAACTAATTCGGGAGGTACTCTAATTAATGCAGCACCTCAGAAGACTGGGTGGTATACGGAATCTGGCTATACGGAGTATGTAATGGATGCCTGTGCCTGCCTAGGGTGTATACAAAGACAAACTGTACCTACCCTGACATGCATACCTAGTACGTACTCCGTAGTTACCAGATGTTTGGATCTAAGCAAAACATGCAGGCCCCATCTGCAGCTCCTGGGCAATTTTTCCGACAATGATACGGAGAAATAGAGTCCTTCTTCTCTTCCCTATCTTATTCCGACTTAAGTCTGTGCCCTATTGCTGCTCTCTTGAATAATGCCGAGGTACCTTACCGACGGGTAATATTCAAGAAGGACTGTATGATGAAAATGTTGTATACCTTCAAGGTGTTTCTGATCACCTACAATATATTATTAGTATCTTTAGAGTAGGTACATACATGATAGTAGGTACTCTGATCATATCTCGAATACTTCAATAATACCGAGGTATACTGTAAGGTACGTCCAGAACATGGGAGGTATCCAAATTCCTACCCACCCAGTGTGTGGTTTTCCCACCTCCCCCAATGGCGGGCGGCCTTGTTTTTCTTTTTCTTTTCTTTCCCCCTCTCTTCCCGTCATGAACTGCTTTCTCTCTCTCTCTCTCTCTCTCTCTCTCTCTCTCTCCTCTTCCCCCCTCTTCACTCGGCCCATCCCATCTAATTAAACTTACCCATCTACTTGCTGCGTGCTCACTTACAATTTCCCTTTAATTTTGATTTCTCCATCAATCTTTATTGTTCTGGCGCTTCTTCTTAGATTATAATCCTCATTTAATTCATTTCCCAATTTCCCTGGGAATCTAATCTCATTTCCAAAACACGCCTACTGAGTACTCCGTACTCAGTCCTCAGTACTCTCCCCCCTCCTCCAATCCTTGTTCGATTCCACTCGGGTTGTTTCGTGCAATACCTCGAGGTGGAGCGCAGGCACGTAGTCTCTTCCAATCCTTATTCAATAAAACCATCCCCTCTCGTCAGGGTGGAGAACACTTGAGGCCGCCACGCTCAACCGTTGCTCACTACGCGATTTAGCGCCACGCTCGGTTCAATGCCCGTTCAGGTCACTCGATGCATGGTCCGCTCCTTGGTCCGTCCGGAGCTTGCCATGGAATCGTTTTCGGCCGCAGGAGGCTCGAAACTCGGAAGATTCTTCATTTTCTCCGCAAACCCTGGCTATCCAGCGCCCTATGCCGACTTTGGTATGGAGGTCTTAGATGAGGCCCCATTTCGCCTTGCTACTACTCGATAGTAAGGAGACGTTTTACGTACCACTCCTACGTATACGTCCATACAACGGTAACGACCTCCCTCCACATCTTTACCTGGGACTGGGAATGGTTGACAGCCGTCCCTTTAACCCAATGTTGATCGATCGATCGATCAAGTAACCAATCCATCCCGCCCATCCGAAAATCAACGTCGGGACAGTGCTAGGGCACCTGGGTGAGCACTGAGCCCCCATTTGGCTCCTCAGCGTTACGTACGGTAGGTATCGTCCTCGCGCACCTCGGTGATTGCCCACAAAGCTGTCGTTGCCCAAGTCAGTCTCTATCTTTTTTGGGGTGGAAGGTGGCGGGCAGGCCGCTAAGTGGCTCTTAGGTTCAGGACTTCGTCCTTGATCTTATGCCCGGTCTCCGGCGGATTATGGAGCCAACGCACGACTAGCGCCGTCGGTAGGTATTCCACATGGTGTACTCCGTACTGGTCTCAAGTAACAAGACTCTGGTGTCGGATGAGTCAGGTCCAGCTCCAGCCAGGCAACAAGGGTCCATTTACCCTCCAAAACAACGGTTGGCTGGTCAGCACAATGGTCGGTGGGTGCCGGACTAGGAACATCCTAGACTCCCAGAGACCCGCTCGATGTGATGCGATGGTCTTGGGACCCCAGCTCCACGTCGGAAAATTTACGTGCAATCATGGCCGTGGAATGTGAGAACATCTCTCGACGAGTTGACCCGTTGAAGTTGCGAGTATCTACTCCGTACTCCATAGCTGTACGGAGCAGTAGTGACTACATCTCCTTTGCCGTGAACCACCACAAACCCTCCCACCCCCTATTAATGTCATTCACAGGGCTGCCATGGCCCATCCCAGACCGTCTGACACTGTCTGGCCGCCGTGGAGCTTCAGTTCGCCACTTCGCTTCCGCAGCAAAAATGTGATTTTTATTATTATTATTATTATTATTTTTTTTTTCTTGATTGTATATGCCGTGGTTTGTTTTTTTTTTTTTTTTCTTACCCCCTCTTTCTCCCTATTCTGATTCAGGAAGTTCGTTCGTGCCTGCATGTACCGAGGGACGATTGTGTCAGTTCCAACGCGTCAAGAAAACAAACCCTAGCTGCGTGATCATCTCTCGGTCTTTTGATGAATGACCCCAAGTAGCATGGCTAGTACCGCTGTCTAGCACACTACTACCGTTATGCTGCACTGGAACCGATCCTGGGAGTAATTCCCAATTTCCTTAGCCTAGTCACTACCTCCCCCCTCCCCTTTCTCTGGTGGTATCGTTGGCCCCTATGATCATTCGCAGGAAACGGAGTATACCAAATACCCGCTACGGAGCATCGTTAACAAACACAGGATGGTGTAAGATCTCCGTTAACCAAACTATCAAGCGGTGGCCCGTTCAATCGGTGCTTTTTTTTTTTTTTTCTCAATTGATTTTTTCTTACATAGCTTCTGGACCCGTTTTTATTCAATCATTTTAATATTTTTCCCGTTGATTCTTTTTTATTTTATTTTATTTTATTTTTCTTTCTCTTTTTGCACTGTTCTCTCTATCATTTAAGTTTGTCCTCCGCGTTAGCATCTAGGTCTCTGCCTATCGTTTGGACTGGCATCCTGTATCAAGAGTAAATCCTCCATCCCCTGTTTGCCGTGACGACTGCCAACAGGTGGGAGTGTCTTCGTGGCATTTGTTGCATCCTTTAATTTGATTATTGCTTGTGGTGGCCAATGTGGAAGATCTAGTGGGCCTTTGGCCGTCATCAGGGCCTTTCATCTAACATCTCCATTTCTCTCTGGCTGTTATTTCCACTACCGTGATATGTTTTATTATTTTTCTCCCACCCCCTCTTATTAATTTTCTTGACCCTTCTCACCCGCTTGGCTAAGCACTGTTTAATTTCTTCTATAACCTTCTACCCACCATACGGCAACCCCCCGCCGTATCCAGGACCCAGTGGAGGGATCGACCCTCAGTTTTTGCCGCTGGCTGTTGGCCTTAGCTGATATTGAGATTCTCCTTTATCGCTCTGAGGGACAGGGGAAAAACTGGTGGTTCGTTAGGACATTTAGCTCATTGAATACCTTGTCACTTTTCCCTTGACTCGTTGTCGTTCGTCTACCATCATCCGGATACCATCTCTACCTTGAGGGTTCCGGGTCCCAGAAATTACCTTGCTCTCTCTACTCCTGCCCCCCTCTCTTTTGGTTCTTTTTCTCTCTCTTTGTTTTCTCTCGTTTGATATCTTTCACTTCTTATTATTACTATCATTCTTCTTTTGTTTCTTGAAGGAAAACCCCCTGCCACTGTTCTTCACCCCCTCCCCGCTTTCGTTTTTCTTTTTCTCACCTAATAATCGGCGGATCCCAAGAAACCCTGGACTTCTTCAGGAAGCGCCCCGAAGTCTCGCTCAGACCCCGTGTTCTCTGGCAGTGATCCTGAGACTAGGGTAATTCCCTAATATAATTGACTGGGATACACCCAAAGCCGACAGTCCATCGAATCATTACTGAGCGTTTCTAACGTGACTATATGGGGGAGTGATTTTATTACTATCATGTCAATCAGTGGACCCTGTGTCTGGTTGTCCTCGCTGTCACCTCCATCTACATCTCATCTGTCTGCAATTACAAATCACTGGCAGGCACCGTCCTGGAACAGTGAGCAGGTCCCATCGAGGTCAAGGGTAATACCTTCGAGGCTACCCGGATCGTGGGAGAAACCAGCCGACGTAGCAAGGGTGTCCCCTGCCGCCATGCAACCGGTTGTGCTCAAGGCTGAAAATGCCTTTCCAACTTCGACCTCCCCAGGTGCTTCCGCCCAAGGCCGGTATCCCGGGGGAGAAATACCCTTAGGCAATTCAGAAAACCGAAAACTTGAAGTTGAGGGAAATTCATTGTCACGGATGAGATTGGATAAACTCAACCACAGCGAACCCGCTCTTTCTACCCCACGTGCCGCTGTCAGTCCCAACGCTCAGAGGGAATTGACTCCGGAGCTCAGGAAGAACGAGCAGGATGAGATGCAGGATTATGAGAAGGATCATGGGGATGCAATGGCGGCTTCGTCCGATGAAGGAGCAGGATCATCGACAGAAAAGCGGGCGTCCGACGCGAAAGCGGAGAAGAAGAAGATGAAACGATTTCGGTTGGTGCCCATGTCGGCTTGACCGGGCAGGTCTATGTTGGAATGAAGACGAGTGCTGATTCAATATGGTAGCTTGACGCACAATCAAACCCGGTTTCTAATGAGCGAGTTCACCCGTCAGGCCCATCCCGATGCCGCTCACCGAGAACGATTATCGAGGGAAATCCCAGGACTGACGCCCCGTCAAGTTCAGGTTTGGTTTCAAAACAGGTTGGTTCTTCTTTTTCTCTCTCTCTCTTTGCTCTGTCTCGCTCTGGGACCCGTCTTTCCATGGAACTCAACTAAAATGTTTTTTATTAGACGCGCAAAACTCAAGAGGCTTACCAGCAATGATCGGGAGCGAATGCTGAAGTCTCGAGCACTGCCTGATGATTTTGACACGACTCAGGTGCTCCGAACTCCTTTCGACGGCAAAACGTCAGAAACACCGGTGCGTGTTCTCCCTGGACCTACCCACTGACAGGAGCATGTTTTGATACTAACAGTCGGTCCCAGATGTTGCTTACGGACGGTTTACAACGAATGAACGACGACGACTATGTGATATCCCCCCTAAGCTCGACTTCCACAACAGGGAATGGCTTCTCAACCGCGGCCGACAGAAGTATGGAGACCTATCAAGGAACAGGGCGAGCACCCCCAGCAGCGCCCATGCCGGAGCTTCAGAGGAATACTCGGGGACCCTTTCCCTTCCCTAGATCGAGCAGTTTTTCGGAATCTTCGTTCAATACCGGACTGCAATTCCCCGGCCGCTTTTCGAGACCAGGCGACCCTCTCAACCCTCCCGGCATGCCCTATGCGCGGCGCCCAGTGGATTTTGGTATGAGCCGGCCAGCCAATGGCATGATCGTGGGATATGATCACCATCGGCCACTGGAGGGCTCGGTATCACCAACTGCCCCCCCCGAGCACTCTGTGCCGTACCATGTGGACAGTCACAGTAGGTTTCTTCGAACCCCGCACTGTCTTTGCTGTTATTAGATGTTTGGTTGGACTGACCGCAATTTCCCATCAGATCAGCAAGCGCACAATTATCAACCTCCGCTTACGATGCCCGCGCCCAAGGGATTTGGGGGGATGGAAATGAACTCCCAAATGCAAGCGCACGGACGACACATGCCTTCACTACATCCGATACCCGTCTCGGACTCGTCGGACTATCGACCGTACCCATACGAGCACCACCCTTACGGCATGAACACCGCTATTCCGTTCAGCCAGGCCAATGCTTCCAGCATGAGTCTACCGGCTTCATTCCCACCCGAGCCGAGCAATGTGGGTCATGGAACCGTCGGTGGCGCATCTGAAGACCGGATGGCCAACCCTCCGCAGATCTTAGATCCTCTGCGGGCCAAGTTTGGCAATCAGCCGTTTGATTACGCCAATTACCTATAACCCTCTACACTTTGGCTTGAGAGATCGGGCTTCTTGCTTGTCCCCCCTGTCTTTATCTTGTTTTTCCTCCTACGTTTGACTTTATTCTGCATTATTGCTCGGAACTTGTTAGTCGTTCCTCTCCTAGTGTCTAATCACCTGCACTTACATAATCCTTTATCCCATCTTCTCACTGCCGGATGTGGCATCTCAACCTCGCCATGTTTATCTTTCTTGTCTGATTAGGGGGACTTGTTTTGGGGAAATCTGTTGATATTACTACTTTACATGGGGAAAATTGCGTTCGCATTTTGCACATTTTACCAACTGGAAGCGGGAAGGTACCAGGCGTTCATGTGGTTTTTGCTTTTTGTTTTTTTCTACTAGGCATACTTTTGCACTTGATCTTTCCTCTCCTCGTCACAATTGCATAATACGTTTCCGTCGCTCTGAATTCTCCGACTAAGGTACCTTTGTATGTACTATGTATTGTAAATCAATCCACGTGAATTCCATGAATCTGGATTCCATGATTACTCTTCCGTGGACCAATGAGCATGTAGGTAAAGTAAGCCTGGTGTAGGTTGGCGCAGTCCCATTGGGTGCTTGATTTAGGTCGGATCTTATTTGGCCACTGCCGTCATGGGTGGGGGTCAACCAGCGAATCGTAGCGCCGGGATTGTTCATCATTCAAGGGTCGTCGGCGGCTTATGAAGTCATGCAGAACAGTATAAATGGGGGAGTTTCCTACCAGAGGATCATGCTGGACAGATTCTCTCTCTCTTCACCATCTCCAAGCGTCTTATCTACTTTAGACCTTTGCGTCCGGATCAGACCTTCCCGTTTTCATTCTCACAACCGGGCTATCTTGCCCACCTCTACTAGAGTTTCAATCTTTGACTTCAACACTTCAACACCATGGTTCATCCTACTTCGACCTGTTGCAAGACCTCTAGCGACGGAAGCTGTGTCTGCGCAGCTCAGGCCAAGTGCTCGTGTGGTAAAGAAAACGCTCTTCACTGCACATGCCATAAGTCCGCCACTGAAAACGCTATTTCGGGTGCTCGATGCTCATGCCGTACGTTTCTCCAAACTCCTAACTTGCGGGTTTTATCAGTTTGAACTGACTCGTGTTGTATAGGTGCGCGTCCCGCTGGACAATGTACTTGCGAACGGTCAACGACCGAGAACCACCCCATTACCGGCGAGGCTTGCCCCTGCGGAAAGAGACTCCCCAGTATGTTCTTCTTGCCTTGCCCTGAACACTTCGAATTGGACCTGAACTAACTGCGTACTATTACCAGCCTCCTGCACCTGTGAGAAGGCTAGCTCTATCGATGCAGCTGTCGAGAGCTTTGAGACGGATTTCACCACCCGAGCTTGATTGATTTGGGTTATTCCTTCTTTTTAGCTGCGCACTTGGGGGCGTCTGTGTGTTTTCGGACGATCTGATTTTGCATGGGTATGGGCGTGCGTTTGGGAGTTTAGGTTGTAGTGCGGCTGCAAAGTCCCATTGCCGGGACGGTTGACTGCATTTAGTATTGCGTATATCGCACAGTTATGGCATTGTTACGACTTGCATTCTCCATTGATCTTTTGTGTCCTGATTGCCTTTTTTACATCAGATACTGATGTACAGCACCTACTCCTGCGCATCCGCGGTATGTTGACATTCGTTTAGGGTACACAAGCATATAGAGGCCTGGCACGTGCGGCCTTTTAGTTTTAAATCAACCAATTAATGATAATCAAAATATCTATGAAATCTGCGTCACTTGATAGACCTACCGTGCGATACATGTCCAACAGACATAGCTCAGTAGGCCTGACATACGATATAAGTTCTATTTGACATGGGTTAATAAACTTGGTGTGGTTTAGTAGGTCTATTGTACAGTATATGCCTTCTGCCCGATAGAGAGGGGTAAAGAAAGGAAGAAGGTACAGAACGAATCCCTCTCCTCATCCTCTTTCTGGGAGGTAACTACTAGACAGTACAATCGGTATGCAGCGGCACCGCCACGGCGTGTCAACGTTGTTCCGTGCACCGCCACCCTCGTGCACGGATCGGCCGCGGAAGTGGCTCAGGCCTTCGCTCCCTAAAACAGCCATAGTACTTCTCTAAGCTGAGCTTGTCCACTGACCTTAAACATCCGGATCGTTTCTGTCATTCCTCGGCCTTGGGACAGCCCTCTCGGTCGTCGGTCACATTGTCTCTGCTTCGCTGTTCTTCGGATTCCCCACCATCAAGCTCCCCTTATTGCTCCCCCCGCCGAAACCGATCGCTCCGACCCCCTGTCGCGTTAAGCCGATCTCCACGCCCATTCCACATCATGTTCCTTTCGCCATAAACGGATCTATCAGAGGGCTTCGGGGCATGTTTGGATGACACTATAATCTACCAAGCGAATCCCACCGACGTGGTTTCTATGCGCTTAAGTGTTCGAAAGTGAGGAAGAACGACGGGACTAGACCCCCCTCCCCCTTTTCGGTCGCGGAATATCATCAGATCACCATCTCATCTCTTTCGCCCGCCGCAAGCCTGCGACGCCTATGCTAGATTTATCGCCATGTCGTCCATGCGAGGACTCGTCCAATTCATCGCTGATTTGCGCAACGCACGAGCGCGCGAGTTGGAGGAAAAGCGAGTGAACAAGGAATTGGCCAACATTCGGCAAAAATTCAAGTCTGGCAGTTTGAACGGATACCAAAAGAAAAAATATGTCTGCAAGCTGCTTTACGTCTACATTCAAGGGTACGACGTCGACTTCGGTCACCTGGAGGCCGTCAATCTGATATCCTCCCCCAAGTATTCCGAAAAGCAGATCGGATACCTTGCCGTAACTCTGTTTTTGCATGAGCAGCACGAGCTGCTGCATCTGGTCGTGAACAGTATCCGCAAGGATCTGCTGGATCACAATGAGTTGAATAACTGTTTGGCGCTGCATGCGGTGGCCAACGTGGGTGGCAGAGAGATGGGCGAGGCGCTCTCGGACGACGTTCATCGTCTACTTATTTCCCCGTAAGCCACCCTTCTTGAACCCTGGGTTTCATGAGACTTGGTACTAAAATTACGTCTTATAGCACTTCGAAAGCCTTCGTGAAGAAAAAGGCGGCTCTTACTCTCCTCCGCTTGTATCGCAAATACCCTGGCATTGTGCAAAATGAGTGGGCCGAGCGCATCATCTCTATAATGGATGACCCAGATATGGGTGTGACCTTGTCCGTGACGTCTCTGGTTATGGCTTTAGTCCAGGACAAACCGGAGGAATACCGAGGAAGCTACGTCAAAGCTGCACAGCGGCTGAAGAGAATCGTGGTGGATAATGATATAGCACCGGATTATCTCTACTATCGCGTACCATGTCCTTGGATCCAGGTCAAGTTGCTGCGTTTGCTGCAGTACTATCCTCCCTCTGGTAATAAGCCCTACCCGAGCCCTGTTCCATTATCCCCTTCCCTCTCTCCTTTTTGTTCTTATCTTTACCCGAACTCGAAAACCCGTGCCAGTCATAGCTAACGCGCAGCAGAGGACAGTCATGTCCGTGAGATCATTCGTGACTCTTTACAACAAATTATGCATGCGGCAATGGATACGCCGAAGAATGTCCAGCAGAATAATGCGCAAAATGCTATTCTTTTCGAGGCTATCAATCTTTTGATCCACCTCGACACCGAACACAGCTTGATGTTGCAAATCTCCAGTCGCTTGGGAAAGTATATTCAGTCGCGTGAGACCAACGTTCGGTACTTAGGACTCGAAGCCATGACGCATTTCGCGGCTAGGGCCGAGACTTTAGATCCCATTAAGAAGCACCAGAACATTATTCTGGGGTCTCTCCGGGATCGCGATATCAGTGTTCGACGTAAAGGATTAGATCTCATCTATAGCATGTGCGACACCACCAATGCCGGTCCCATCGTGAACGAATTGCTGCGCTACCTTCAAACTGCCGACTATGCCATTCGAGAAGAAATGGTGTTGAAGGTAGCAATTCTCACCGAGAAGTACGCCACTGATGCTCAGTGGTATATCGATATGACCCTGAAACTTCTCTCTCTAGCGGGTGACCACGTCAACGACGAGGTGTGGCAGCGCGTGATTCAAATCGTGACAAACAACGAGGAGCTGCAGGCTTACGCGGCCCATACCTTGCTGAATTACCTAAAGACTGATTGCCACGAGAGTCTCGTGAAGATCGGGTGCTATGTTCTAGGGGAATTCGGGCATTTGATTGCCGACAATCAAGGCTCGAGTCCCATCGAGCAGTTCCTGGCATTGCAAGCCAAGATGATTACTAGTACCGACAACACCCGCGCGATGATATTGTCGTCCTTTGTGAAATTCGTCAATCTCTTCCCTGAAATCAAGCCGCAACTTTTGCACATCTTCAAGCTCTACAGCCATTCACCGGACTCCGAGCTGCAGCAGCGCGCCTTTGAATACCTGTCATTGGCGACACTTCCCACCGATGATCTTCTTCGAACGGTCTGCGATGAAATGCCACCATTCTCGGAAAGAGCCTCGATTCTTTTGTCTCGACTCCATCAGAGAACAGCGGGCACAACCGATAAGAAAACCTGGGTTGTGGGCGGCAAGGACGCCAATACCGACCAGAAAGAGATCCTCATGGCTCAAAACACGGGGCTCAAGCGCTCGTTCACCACCATTGTCAACGGCACAAAGACCGGAACGAACGGAACGGTGCCGGCGCCGGCAACAGCAGCATCTCCGTCGAGCGCGTCGGGCGACCTCGCGGGATTGAATCTTAGCGCCCCATCAGCACCCCCTCCAAACCTGGCGAGTGCGGCCCATCTGACGCCGGACTGGGAGATTGGGTACAATCGACTGTACTTCGCCGATGAAGGTGTGCTCTTTGAGGATGCCCAGATCCAAGTCGGGCTGCGGTCTGAGTATCGGGCTCATATGGGCGTGGTAAAAATCTACATCAGCAACAAAGCATCCTTCCCAATTGGATCGTTGACCACCACGGTGGACAACCGCTCGGCGCCAAATCTCAAGGCCGACACCAAGAATCTTCCCGATCCCTCTGTTCCGGCGGCAGGCCAAACCCATCAGACGCTCTTCTTTGCGGCCAACGGACCCTTCACGGAAGCACCTACCATTCGGATTTCATATCTTGCAGGTGCGCTGCAAGCCTACACCCTGCAGCTCCCTATATTAATGCACCGTTACATGGAGCCGTCCGCGTTGTCTGCCGAAGAATTTTTCAAACGTTGGCGGCAAATTGGGGGTGGTCCTCTAGAGTCCCAGAGTACGTTTAGCGCCGTGGCAAAGGCCAAGGGAATCAGCGAATCATTCACACGAAAATCGGTCGAAGGATTTGGATGGAGGGTGTTGGATGGGGTTGATCCCAATCCCAAGAACATTGTGGGGTGTGCGGTCTATCAATTTTCGACCGGTAAGACGGGCTGTCTCCTGCGGTTGGAGCCCAATTACGACAAGAAGGTAAAGCTCCTCCCCGACTAAACGTGTGCGCGTGAGGACAACCTAATAGGTGGCTAACGTTATTTGCCCTGACAGATGTACCGGATCACTATCCGAGCAACGCAAGAAGTGGTCCCGCAGGCACTGGCAAAGCAGATCGAGCAGAGATTATCGCAGGGAAGCCTAGCGGATGATTTGTAAATTCCATGACGAGTGAATTTTTGTAAATTTGGCAGGAGGCGAGCGAGGTTCCCTTCTTTACTTTCTCTTTCTCCCTTTCACTTCTTTTCTTTCCATCACACATTTCATAATGTATTTTCTTCGATTCTCTGCCCTATATTCTCCCGGGACGTGAGATGATTAGGTAGGTTCATTGATATCGATTACTCTATGTATGAATACTTTTGAACAGTGACACCACCTTTATCCCACAAAGAACCAGTATGTGTTTTTGTTTAACAGAGCCCCCAAGCCCCCGCTTGTTCTGGGCCGTCGTGACAATGCAAGGTCGTAATTCATCAAACTCTTCATTCGGTTTAGATAACCCTCGCCTGATCCTTGGGTGGCCGCTCGCCGAAGATGGTCGTTCCCACGCGAACCTCGTCACTTCCCAAAGCAATGGCACCCTCGAAATCCTCACTCATGCCCATGCTCAGCTCCAACTCGGCATCGGAGCCCTGCAGGCCCAGCTGATTGACGACGCGATCCCGGGTATCGCGTAGACAGGCAAAATCCTCGTTCTCGGTCTCGGGAGTCGTGGCCTTAGATCGCGCAATCGCTCCGATGGTCATGACCCCTTGCAGCTTTAGGCGGGGGCATTGTTCCCGAATGAAGCGACACAGCGCCACGGTGCCCTCGGCGGGGTCGACCCCGGACTTATTCTCCTCGCCGGAGGTGTTCACCTGCACAAACACCCGAAGTCGCTCGTCGGAGTCGGTGGCGCGCAGATCGGCCGACCGCTCGCCCCAGCCCTTGTTCAGCAGCGAGGCCTTCTTCTCGGAATCGACACTCTCGACGGCCCAGAGGCCGCGCACGTCGCGTGCCAGCGTGGCGCACTTGTTCGACTGCAGTCCGCCGATGAAATGCCACCGGATGGTGGGGGGCAGTAGCTTGGATTTCTCCAGGAGCTCCTGTATGTAGTTCTCGCCGAAGTGGAGCTGGGACGCGGGGGGTTGATGCAGGGCGAGCAGGTCGGTGGCGGGCTTGAGTTTCGAGACGGCCACGAGGCGGATCGGCTTGGCCTCGACTCCGTTGGCGGCCCTCTTACTGGCAGCGGCGGTCACGCGCGAGCTGACGGCGGCCAGGTTGGAGAGAAGAGTGGCGGTTCGGGCGGGGAAGGCGGGCATGACGGTAGTAGTTGGAGGGGCGTCGGTCTGGGAAGTCATGGCCAAGAGAGAGGGAGTGGAGGGAATGATGTGTGGAGAGATAAAGACGGAGGTGACCGAGTAAAGCTTGTCGCTTGACGAGAATGCCTCAGTCCCTCAATTCCTCAATCCCTCGGTCCCGCGCGGACTAAGCCCAAAGAGGCCGACGAGATGTCGCGGTGCCACGTGACACGGGAGATCGGCTCCGAAACCCTCCGACCGGAGAGGCTAGCCGGAAGGAGCCAGGCGCAGCTTCCCCGGACAGCGGCGCGAGTGCCGTTTTCGGCGAGGGTCAGAGTCAGGGTTACTAAGAATAATCGTTGAGGTAGTTAACTAACTGACTATTGCCTATGGTGCTGCCACGCTATTCCCACGGTTCCTCCGACTATTTACAATCCAGCTTGAGAGAGTTGACCCTGACTATCTGACTGAAGACTATTCACGGAGTACTCTGTGCCCTAGTACGAAGTTACGAACAACGGTACGCCGTGTTGGACACTGTGACGGCGGCTCCAGGGTCGAACCCACTCTGCCGTCCATCAAATTTCCTTGGGCTCCATCGGATTTCACCTTGATCAACTCGAGGAGAATCGAGGGCCTGTCGTTAGTCTTCTGACTAAGATCACTGGCGCCAAAGGATCTTTGTTCTTGCGTGATCGTCTTTCATCTCGGCCTTGGATCATCGATTTGCTTTCTTCTTTCGGTTTGAAAGGAGGTTTCGCTGTTTCCTTCTTCCCTTCTAGACGGCCCGCCTAAGAATATACATAATCTAGGTCACATCCAGGGTGAAGGGGGCGCAGTTTGGGCTGAACCTTTTCGTCCACGCGACCACCGGTTGGAGAGAGAGACAGAGCCAAGCCCAGGCACCGATGAACTACTTTAGAACCTCGACTACGATAGGGCAACGGCAAGAAAGTCAACGACTCAGGCGGCTAGGCCGATGGAATTTCAACGGCCGGATATTATTGGATTGGGATTGGATTGGGTAAATCATGAAGACTCCACCGTCGTAAGCGTTTCTTTGACGCCGGGTCTTCTCCACTGTCGCATTTCGTGCTGACGTCAAAGTAATTACTTATGGACTGGGCCCCGTCTGCCTCCCTAGGACCCTAAGTGTGCGCATCATCGTTCTCGTTCCATTGTGACTTTGTCTCGAATCTTTCTGGACCCTCTCCGTGTCTTATAGCTTTTACTACTCCGTACTTCCGTTGCCATCCCCTACCTTATCCATCCCCGTGGCTGTCATCATCGCCCCTCGAGCTGTCTCTACTACTACCTACCTACTACCTCTTATCTTGCTTGATTCACTCCCACGGAATCATCCTCCTGTCTCTAACGAGTTCGATCGCTACTCTGGTTTATCCGCTATCACTATCACCATCACCGCTTTCCTCGCTGGTAGACCACCGGATCTTGCCGTAATTCGAGGGGTAACGACCAAAAGAAGGATGGATCGGGGTGCTACGCAGCAACAGAAATAAACCAAACGACTCGCAAGAAGTCTCAACCATTAGAGATCGATTTCGACACCGATTAATTTCCAGATTAGAATTACATCGCATACCACTCTCTCCCGATTTTATCGGAATTCTGCATTTCGACGCTTTTCACAAACAAATTTTTTTCCCCTTTTCTCTCTCTCGGTGTTAATCGGAAGCTCGCGGAGTTGCACGGTCCTTCATCAACCCACCACCCTAACAACCTTGAAGTCTCCTGAGAAAGAACAAAAAATACAACAAACCGCATCATGTGTCGACAGTACTTCACACTATACGCGTGGTGTCAATGTGAAGAAGACGCGGGTCATCAACTCTGCGCCTCTCGCAGGCAAGACAGCTGCCCCGGCACGTCCATAGAGACGGTGCATATGCAGTGTTTCTGCAACACTCATGCAACCAGAAGCTTTAAAACGGAAAAGAAGTCCAAGCGATCATGGAAAGGATCCTCTATCAACAGCGACGATGAAAAAGGGACAATGGCTCCCCGTCGGCGATGGTATCATCTATGTGGAGTGCGATCCCGGACATTCTGAATGGAATGTCTCCTCCTTTCTCCTTTCTGTATTTCCCTCTTTCTCTCTCACTCTTGTCTTTTTTTTTTTTTTTTTTTGTGATTTTTCTCTCTCTCCTGGATATTGGGTAAGCGACAAAGGACCGGTGTTAAGTTTCCTTTTCAGGGATTTGGGGTTTGAAGGCGTTTGATCTTTTGTTTATCTTTTTTTATTCTTTTTTGGGGGTTTTTGTGAATGTGGAAACTCATGTTAGATATCATATCTGCCGATGAATTTTTGGGCAGACACATATCCCTTGATTATTATTATTGAATGAATGTCTACGGCCATGAGGGTTTAAGATCCATTCCATCGATCAACGACGATCTTCTGGTCATATCGGAAGATCGAGATCGTAGGTTGTATTCCGTAGTCAGAGAACGGAGTCTAGAAAGGGCGAACCGGAGAATTGGGTGGGGGAAGAGAGAGAGACAGAAAGAAAGAAAGAACGAAAAGAAGGAAGGAAGGAACGAACCAGGGGGGAGAATGGGGGATCGACGGCCCCTTTTACCGCATCTCCTTGTTTGCATGTTTCTCCCCTCATTCAACCTTCCTCTCACTTCCCCCTTTCTCCCTACTGAACTGCCAATCTCCTTTGTGACTCTTACCATTCGTTTTCTTTTGCCCGTTTGTCGGCGAATCCAATAAGACCACTTACTATCACGCCTCCATTGTCCTCCCTCCACAACGACCAATGCGACGTTCATCGGCATCATGGACCCCTCCAACCGCGATGACCCTCCATCATTCACTCCCTCTTTCACTCAAATGTCTACCTCTTCTTCTCCACCACCACCTCCTCCAACCATCGATCCTACGCCTTGGTCTGACCACCTGAACTACTCTTCTACCGTCGTAACTCCTTTGCCAGCTTCCCCTCCCGCTATACCCTCTTCGTCGCGACTATCTCCGTCGAATGCGCCCCCGCGTTCGGAGTTCTCCCAGGTGCATTCAACCCCTCGACGCACCACCAGCTCCAACTCCTTGCGAGATGAGTGTCGCCGGTCTTCTTCCAGTCTGAAAAAGCGCTCGTCTACTGCCTCGCTGCGATCGATACATCACGGGAGTGGGGGGTCCCCGCGTCCTACTCTGTCGCGACAGTCTTCGTCGCCCACTTTCGCGACCTCCCCTACCGCCGCGAACACCCCAAACATGTCGCTCAAAAAGCCGTCTTTACATGCTCCGCATGAAAATACCCTTCCCACCGCTGCCTCCATCGCCGCCGACCACTTCCACAAGGAACTGGATCTACACCAGTCCGCGGATCTACACTCCCAAACCGTCGTTGTCCTTCACAACGCTTGCTACGGCCACCGTTTCTCGCGTCCCCGGTCGTCGCGCACAGTTTTGAACACCATCGTGGAGAGACCGGAACGGATTCAAGCTGGGGCGTTAGGTGTTTCCGCTGCCTATGTCCGCTTGGCGCATAGGTATACAGGTGGCCGCTTTGGTCCGCACCCGGATCTCAACCCGAGCCATCTGCCCGTGCCGCCATTTCAGATTCGAAGGACGGAGCGGACCATGGCTCTCAGCTCTCCCGCTGTCACGCATGTGCATGGAGCGAAATGGATGGAAGACCTGAAGAGCATGTGCGATGCGGCGGAATCCCGTCTGGCGCTGAACGGTAATGAATTGACTCGACCCCGCAGCGCGGGCAAGGATGGCGCCGACGTGAATGCCCCCGATCTTCACACAGGAGATCTGTACCTATGTTCGGAGTCCTTGAATGCGTTTGAGGGCGCTCTTGGGGGCGTCTGCGAAGGCGTAGATGCCGTCCTTGGTCCTAGTTCAGCCACGCGCGCCTTTGTGTGTATCCGACCCCCGGGACATCACTGCCCGTCGGGTCACCCATCCGGGTTCTGTTGGATCAATAATGTTCACGTCGGCATCTCCCACGCTGCCATGACACATGGCCTGACGCACGCCGCAATCCTGGACTTTGATCTGCATCATGGCGATGGCTCGCAGGAGATCGCGTGGGACCAGAACCAGAAAGCGATAACCGCTCCCAGGAACGCAGTCAGCTACAAGAAAGCCATGACGGGTTACTTTAGCCTTCACGACATCAATTCCTACCCCTGCGAGGACGGGGAGCTAGAGAAAATACGCAACGCGAGCGTCTGCATCGACAAAGCGCATGGCCAGTCCATTTGGAACGTTCACCTGGAGCCGTGGAAGACGGAGCGGGAATTCTGGGAGCTCTATGCTACCAAATATACGGTGTTGATTGAGAAGGCCCGCGCATTCTTACGTGCGCATACGGAGCGCCTTCTTGACACGCCCCAGGGGCCTCGGCCCAAAGCGGCCATCTTCATTTCCGCCGGATTTGACGCGAGCGAATGGGAGAGCGCGGGCATGCAGCGACACAAAGTCAGCGTCCCAACCGATTTCTACGCCAGGTTCACCGCCGACGTTGTTCAAATGGCGTCCGAGGAGGGCCTAGGAGTCGACGGGCGCGTCATCAGCGTCCTGGAAGGCGGATACAGCAATCGGGCTTTGACAAGCGGCGTCCTGAGTCACCTTTCCGGGTTGAGCGATTCGAGGATGACTGCTGACAGCGCGGATGATCAGCGGATGAATCGGTTGGCCGCAGAGATGTCGGATCGTCTGGGAATATTCGATGCCGAGTCAGAACCGAACCCAACCACCCCTTTACCACAGACTGTCTATGACAACGACTGGTGGTCCCCCGCCATGCTGGAGGAGCTGGAAGCCCTGGTTTATCCTCCGTCAGCACCGGCCAAGTCGCGCGAGAAAGCAGCGCCAACCTACTTCGCACCCACGCAATCATTCACCGCGAAAGTGGTCGCCACGCCGCGCGATCGCAGGTCCAACGGCTCGCAGATAAGTGTGGACCACGAAGCGCCGCCATTACCCCCGGTCGGCTGGGCCACCGCGACGCATGAACTGTCGAAGATTCTCATCCCCAGCGATCGACAGATTGCCAGCTATCGGCCCGAGGAGCTCAACGCCGAAGCATCGCGCTTACGGCGGGAGCGACAGACGACCATCGACGGCGCCGGCAGTGTCACGGCGTCAACCGCCCCCGAGGGAAACCGCAGGAAGCTCCGGGAGAGAAAACCCAAGACTTCACTGCCGAGCACTCCTAGGGCGCAGACCCCGAAACGACAAGCGCCGCGGGACAACCGCAGGACGACGATCGACCCCGCCAGCGACCTTCCGGATGCCATCAAGGACGAGGCCTCACCCGGTATGCGTCCGGTCCGCAGAAAGAGTGCCACTTCTGCTTCTACGTCCGCGTCGACGCGGCCATTGCCAGGGGACCACGCCGTGAGAGAGCCTGCTCCAAGAACCTCGTCAAGCGGGTATGGTCGCCCCGGAACTGCAGCGAGTAGTCGCAAAACGAGCAGCTCGCGACCTACCACCCCGAAACGCCCTGCCAGTCCTCGCAAGGCACCTCCAGTCCCTCAAGTTCCGTCCGGCTTTCTTTCATCTGTGGGGTCCGGCGAGGGAGCGGCTGGGTTGCCGGCCGAGTCGACCGGGGCAATTCCGCAGGATGACATGGACAGTCTTGCCGCTGGGGTGCGCAAGCTGAACATCAAATTAAAAGTGCCATCTCCAGAAGAGTACGCCGCCAGGGAACAAAAGGCAGCTGAGGAACGCAAAAAGCGATTGACCAAGCCGGCAAAGACCCTTAAACCGCCTAGAATGGCTCCCGGCGTCAAAGAATCGCGTCCATCCACGAACAAACCCGCCTCTCGTTCTTCCTCGGCTCCCACTAGCTCTCGGGTCGGTCCCCGCGCTCTTGCGTCGCCAAACAATGCTGGCAGATCGGAAGAACCGGGGCATTCATTCGCCTCGTCAGCCGTGGTCCCGGGATCGAACACTGCCTCCGGTGGGTTAGAGACAACCAATGTTGCAAATCAACATGGCTGGGCCGATCTCGAGGCAGTTTCCAACCCAAAGTCGTCCTCGCAGGTGCCCTCGACCGAGACGGCAGTGACCTCTCTCGCGACATCGCCGGGGGCCATGCCGCAGGTCGACGGGACCCATTCAACTCTATTCTCACCGCCGACCTCAGCCGGTGTAGACAAACACGGACTACCTGTCTTTACGTCCAGCAGTCCGATTCCCTTTGCATCAACTAGTCGTACTGCTCCACCCAACGCAAATGAGACATCAGAGCGTTAGTCAATGGCGCTGCAGTCCACTTCGTCTATTCTTGCGAACTTACATCTGCACTCCCACTTTCTCTACAGGTTTCGTATTTTATTTCTCTCATCATATTACCTGCTATTTCTGTCGGCTTTTCTGTGTTTGATATACCCCTTGTCTTTGAATGAAATGATCCGCGTGTCTCGTGACCCGTAACCTGCTGTAACTTACCAGACCGTATCGTATTGTCTTATCGCCGATCTCCGTGGCTGAGTCAGCCCTCCGCATGTGCCAGCGGTTTCCAGCGATGTCTGCTGCCTTATTCATCTCCCTCTCTCTCTCCTTCTCTCATAGTTATATTCCCAGGCTGCCGCACGGCCTTTTCCTCCCCTTGACGCTTTGGTCTTGTCATCGATCTCACTCTCTTCTACTATTTCTGTTCATTTGTCTCCGCCACCATGTCCCCAATCTCCGTCAGCAAAGGTCAATCCCAAACCTCGAGCGCCGATCCCGCCGAGTCCTCCTTCACGCAGATGGCCGACAAAGACCTCGAATCAATCGGCCGACACTGCCAGTTCGAATACTGCCACCAGCTCGACTTCCTTCCCTTCCGCTGCGAGTCCTGCCGCGGCACCTACTGTCTCGACCACCGCACCGAGACCGCCCACCGCTGCGCGCGCGCCGGCGAATGGGCCCGCCGACGCAATGGCTCCTCGAACAGCAACACCTCCTCCGCCGCCACGCAGAAACCCACCATCTACAACTCGGACCAGTGTGCCCACCTGCAATGCAAAACGCTGATCAACACGCTCACGGACCCGGGCGTGCGCTGCCCAAACTGCACGCGACAGTACTGCCTGAAGCACCGACTCCGGGAGGAACACGACTGCGCCAAGATGGCGCCGCGCGGGGCCGGACTCGGCGGCGCGGGGACGGCGGGCGTCAACGCCAACGAGACGCTGAAGTCGATGTTCGCGCGCGTGCGCACCTGGGGCAAGGACAAGAGCGCCGGGCTGGTACCGACGCCGAAACCGACCAGCGCCGCGGGCCGCATGGCGCAGCTGAACGCCATGAAGCGCGCTGCGAAGGGGGACGCGTCGGTGCCGGCGGACCGGCGGGTGTATCTGCATGTGGCGGGCACGGCCGACACAGAGCGTGCTGAGTCACCGGCCGGGGATTTCTTCTTCGACGCCCGGTGGAAGGTGGGTCGGGTGCTGGACGACGCCGCGCGGCGGCTACATGTTGAGAATGTGAACAATTGCGCGGGTGAGGAGGCCCGGCTGCGGATCTTCCATGTCGAGTCCGGCGAGTTTCTCGAGTTCTCCGAGTCCATCGGGCAGGGGAAGGTCAAGTCCGGGCATACCATTGTCCTGTTGCGGGGGCCCGGGGTGGCTCTGGGGAAGTAAAGAATGGTGTTAGCATATTTTGCATGAGCGAATGCGCTTCTGATTCATAGAGGTGTTCCACCTTCAGAGGAAGGGGGGATGGGGTTTCTGAGTTTGCCAGCTTTTTACACATTTCCCGAAGTTTTTTCTTGTTTTTGTTACGATACTCCCCAACGCGTGTGCCTGTTATTTATGTAAGTCGTTATGTATAGAATTTTCAACGAAAAAAGTAGAACAAGAAGAAGATCATGACAACGTTATAATCTATATACAATCTAAATCCTGGTATCATATAAAATGCCAACCCCTCATCCCACGTGAAGCGTCAACAAACACAAACAAGCCATCTAAACACTCATCTGCATCTTGATCGCCTTATGAGGCTTATAGCCGATCACCTCGAAGTCGTCCTCCTTCCACCCGTCAACGACACCACTGCCACGATCCTCGCGCTTGATCTTCAACTCCGGGAACTCCGTCGGCTCGCGCGTCAACTGCTCCTGCAGCGGCTCTATGTGGTCCAAGTACACGTGCGTGTCACCCATGGAATGGGTGAAGGAGCCCGGGTGCAGATCCGCCGCGTGCGCGAGCATATGCGTGAGCAGGGCGTACGAGGCGATATTGAAGGGCAGACCGAGGGCGGAGTCGACGGAGCGCTGATACATCAGACAGGAGAGGTGGCCCTTGGAGCCAGGGCCGTTGGGAAACGAGACGTAGAACTGGGCGAACATGTGGCACGGGGGCAGGGCCATGAGCTTCAGGTCGGCGGGATTCCAGGCGGACATGATGATGCGGCGGTCGTAGGGGTTGTGTTTCAGCTTATGGATGACGTCGGCGAGCTGGTCGACGCCCTGGCCAGTGTAGTCGGTCTTCGCGTCGACATAGGGAGCGCCGAAGTGTCGCCACTGGAAGCCGTAGACGGGGCCGAGGTCGCCGACCTCGCGGTGTCCGAGGCCGACCTTGTCGAGGAACTCGCGGCTGCCGTTGCCATCCCAGATCTTGATGCCCTTCTCGGCCAGCGGGAGGGACGAGGTGCAGCCGGAGATGAACCAGAGGAGTTCGGCGACCACGCCGCGCAGGAACACGCGCTTGGTGGTGAGGAGGGGCAGGATGGGGACCGGGTCGCTGGTTGGGGTGGCGCCAGGCTTGGAGAGCGAGAAGCGGAGTTGCTGGCCGAATATCGAGCGAGTGCCCGTGCCGGTACGGTCGGGTCGATGCTCGCCCTCGGAGAGGATCGTTCGGATGAGGTTGAGATACTGATGCTCTTCATGGGCGGGGTTGGCAGGCGTGGTGGGATCGCTGGTGCGAGTGTCGGGGTTGGCTGCGGATGGAGACATGATCGATGCTGTGACGGGGGTAGGAATGTATGCTCAGGATGCAAAAGCCAACTGAGTCAAGGGCAGTGATAAGAGAGGAATTAAGTTGGAGTTGGGGTTGGAAGCGGAGGGGCAGGCCAAGCGCGCGTACGCGACGCGGCACGCTATCACGTGACTTATACTACGCGTATCTATGGAAAGTCATTACTACTAGTTACCGGTTTACCAGGTAACTATGCAAACCAGAATTCAGCGGTTGGAAAATGTTGAAAAAGAAAAGGTCAACCTATTATATTATATAAGAGCAGATATCAAGTATATTCTAAAGCAGTTCTAACCTTCTTTATCATAATTATTTTACCTTGTAGTAGTGATAGGCTGTCAGTCTCAGAGTAATTCTGTAGATAGCAGCCAGGAACAGAAGCCCATCAACGTGATGGAATGATCTTGATTCCAACTAATCCTCCATCAAATCAACCCCGACTTCTCGAAGTGCTCCGATTACCCATTCCGGATACTTTGATTTCTCCCCGTAGAGGTTGTGGAAGAATTGCCGGAGGAATGCCGGGAACCGGTCCTCCAAGATGGACTGACGGGCAGATCCCATCAACGACAGCAGGTAATGGACATTATGAATCGTGAGCCTGTATGGATTAGAACCGCACAAGGCGAAGGGCAAGGGCAAGAGATCCTACAGATGAGCTCCAACGGTCTCCTTGGCGGCCAAATGGTAGATATATGCGCGCGTTATTCCGAGGCCGCCTTGGTCTGTCGGCCGACATATCGTACAGGTGCATCCTTCTTGCACTGGTCTGAAGTCTTCCGCAAAGGATATGTGCCGAAGATTAAGGCTCCCGCTGGGAACGACCGCGTTTCCGAATCGCTGTTGTGTAGGTCTGGGTTAGCGCTTCCTTGATTTCGCTCGAAATAGATGGTAGACTTACGGCAGTCCTTGTTGGCCACACGCAGTCAAACATGTCTGCACCGAGGGCAACGCCTACGATGAGATCCTCGGGGTAACCCTGCCAAAAGATAACTCGTCAGATGTCATGTGTCCAACAATGGAGTGTCTTAACCTGGACAGCTTACCACACCCATCACATATCTCGGCTTGTGCTCCGGAAGCAGCTTCGTGCATGTACCGACCCTGCAATGACATCAGCTAAAGCCCACGACCGTTCCCCAAAAACAGTACATACACTTTACAGAACTCCTCCTTCGCCTCACCCCCGGAAAGACCACCAATAGCGATTCCGGGCGTATCCCGCGCCACCATTTCGGCACAGCATTGCCGGCGCAACTCCAGGTCCAGACCTCCTTGGATAATGCAGAACAGATTCTGGCGCTCAGGGTATTGGTGGGCATCGATGCATCGGTCCAACCATCGGACAGATCGTTCCATGGCTTCATGGATTCTGGCGTGGTCCGGAGAGGTAGTCGCGATCACATCATCCAATTGCATGATGATATCGGAGCCGATCGAGTTCTGTAACGAAATGGAGTGTTCGGGGGTGAGCAGCCTGGGCGTCCGAATTAATTAGCCTTAATCCACTCCCACAGTGCTGAGTGAAATCAAGCCGGTCCAGATCACATACATCGGAGAGCCATCGTGAGGGCTGAGAAACCGAACGCCTTCCTCCGTCACCTTAGCCAGTTTCAGTAGCGAGACCATCTGGAAACTGGATGCGACCGTTGTTAATCGACGGCCAAAGCATTGTTGGGTGATGTAGATCCACCATCTCCGCGAGATGGACCAAACTCACCCGCCGCTGTCCGTCAGGATATTTCGATCCCATCCCTGCAGCTTATGTGCCCCGCCCACCGCATCCAGCACCTCCTGACCGGGCTTCAGCCCCAGATGGTACGTATTGTTCAAACACAGCATGCACCCGGTTTCCCTGAGCTGGTCATACGTCAACCCCTTCAGGGACGCTTGGGTCGCGACGGGCATGAAAATCGGTAGGGGAACAGAGCCATGGGGGAGCTGCAGCGTGCTGGCACGAGCTCCAGTTGTCTATGGGCACCACACGGGTTAATAATGTCAGAACGGCGCGGCCAGAAGACAGATTCATCCGCAGTCGAGCTCCCTACTCACTGAGCATTTCGCGTGTAGATCAAATGTCAACGCAGAGGGCATTGACTTGCGCGGGGCGGGAGCTGGTGGGGGAGTAGCAGTAGACATGGTTGCGGCGATGTATGTCGTGCTGAAGGTGGGGACAGGGATTGCAATCCCTGGGAGCAAGCGACTTGTTGACAGAAGTCTATAAGACCATGTACTTCTCAAAAGCCGAATGCATGTCATCCAGGGAAAGGCTCTGGAGGGGCTGCGTTGGCGATAAGAAAAAGTAGGACAACATCAAGGGAATCAATCCATTATTGATAATCCCGGTGGTTTGTCTTGTTTGTCTTGTTTGCATTATGTCTAGCCGCGGTTCGCGGCTGCGCTTGTAGGATACAGTGCGTAGCTGTACGGTACGGTACGGTACTGGACCATCCGTACGGGTCTTCCCTTCCCCAGATGTTTCCAGTTTTTCCCCACATCGACTGTCTAGTAGTAGTTAATAGAGTCAGTATCATTATGTATGAACTCAGAGTAGAAATTCTTGAGTCTGATCACTAAACGCAGTAGCATCGTCCTCCTTGTTGGCTCACCGCACTCGAGGCCAACCCGATCAGCAGACCCGTCGGAGTTGGACCGATGTCCGCGCAGGGGGTCCTTTTTCCCCGGCGCTCACTAGTTCGATTTCTCTATGCGGAGAGAGGCGAGAGTTCTCTCGTACAGCTCCTGAAAAATTCTTAATGTGTTGTTAAGCTCACCCTTGGCCTGCAGCTTCCACCACCATGAGTGCGTCAGAAAAAGGCCCCAAGGAAGCCGAAAATCCAGATTACGTAGAGTCATCTCTAGATGTGAGTGTCGGTTTTGAACTGGCTGCGCGATGGCTAGCCCTAACACCTCCCAGGGATTAGCCAACGATGAGGACCTGAAGGCGCGCGAGAAGGCGCTGGTTTGGAAACAAGACTTGCGCATCGTTCCGTTGAGCGCCGGGGTCTATCTTCTCTGCTACCTGGATCGATCCAACATCGGTGGGTTGCAACCGAGTCGAGTTTGACGGCATTGGCTGACCAACGCTCGTGAAATAGGGAATGCAAAGATCCTCAACGAGAATACGGGGGACGATCTCCTCACGGAGACGGGGATGAGCTCGTACGAGTACACGTGAGTTAGACCGCCCGGCCAAGTCTGCTCTCTGCGCTGATCCATCGCGATTAGCATTGCGCTCATGGTGTTTCTTATCGCCTACGCTCTCTTCGAGGTCCCCTCGAACTATTTCTTGAAGAAGCTCAAACCAAGTGTAAGGCACTGTGCCCTTCCTAGACTAAAATCAAGACGCTTGCTAACATGATTATAGCGATGGATTGCGTTCCTCATGCTATCATGGGGGGCGTGCACAATGGGCCTGGGCGGTGCGCATAACTACGCCCAGGTGACCGGAATTCGCTTCTTACTTGGAGGTGCGTAGAGCTCTCTGCTCAGCAAGCGTTCACCCTGCTTATCGAATCACAGTGATGGAGGCCGGGCTCTTCCCAGGACTTGTGTATTTCTTAACCTTTTGGTATCGGAACTCGGAGCGCTCCTTACGAGTGGCCCTGATCCTAGCATCGGCCACTTTAGCAGGCGCCTTTGGAGGCGCCATTGCCTACGGGGTAGGACATTTGAATCAAGTCCACGGCCTGTCAGCATGGCGCTGGCTGTTCATCATCGAGGGTGCTCCGTCCTGCGCATCGGCCTTCCTCGTTTGGTTTTTTCTTCCTGACTATCCGGAGTCGGCTTCATGGCTCACCCCCGAGGAGAAAGACTTAGCAGCACAGCGACTCCACCTTGAAGGTTCCCAGGGGAAAGCACAGGCGATGACATGGGAGGAAGCGAAGGGGGTATTGACAGATTGGCGCCTCTACGCCCATTATGCAGTGAGTGCTTCGCGTTTTTCAGCATCCCTCTCCGACCGCATTGTCTAACCCTTGTGTGTGCCAGGTGTATTTCGGTATATCAGGCCCCTTTTCCAGTCTGTCGCTCTTCACTCCGGTCATCACCAGTGGTCTCGGTTATGCGAAGCTGCGCGCTCAACTCATGACCGTCCCACCCTGGGCGGTAGCATATGTAGTAACCACCGCGGTCGCTTGGTCTGCGGATTACTTTAACAGGTAGGTCGTTTACCCTTGAGGGGAGGCACTTCGAGGCGTGGCAAGCTGACTTTGGCATTTCAATGCAGTCGGGGTCTTCATTCAGCCATCTTCTCCTTCATCGGAGCCATGGGGTTTTTAGCTTCTGCCGTGCTTCCGGCAGACGCCTACCTGGTAAGCATCGGGTTCCGCTTTTCTTTCCCCATGCATGCCAAGGCCAAGGCCCCGAGATCAGGAATACTGACGCCATTTCAGCACCGATACGGTTGCCTCATCGTGGCGACCAGCGGCGCATTTGCCTGCATTCCACCCTTACTCGGCTGGCTCTCCGCCAATATTCGGTCCACCGCGGGAACGGGGCTCGCAATTGCGCTCAATGTTTCTTTCGGGGCACCGGGGCAGATCGTCGGCGTGTGGATCTACAAATCCAACGAAGCGGAACGAGGCTATCCGACCGGACACTGGACCAATGCGGCGTTGCTCCTTGCGGTATGCGTGGGGTGCCTCGCGTTGCGACTTTATTATGGATGGAGAAACAAGCGGATTGTGGTAGGGGAGAAGTTTGCATATTAGACGATGAGACCGGAGCCGGGGGTGGGAAACACTAATCGTAAATTGTTTTCCTGATCGAGGGGATCGGGATGTTAGCGAGTTGGACGAACCATGGAACGGAGGGGGGCACGTGAGCAGCGAAATAAGGTTAAGCTCACCACAGTGACTGCACCCCGTCCCAAAGACTCGGGTCCGTCTCAAGAAACGACGAGAGCATACAGGGCTTGCCCGGTCTGCAGTCAAGGGATTCAAGGGTCGCGGTCGAATTGAGGGGCTCCGACACCTGGGAGTCAAGCCGCAGAGAAGAACCAAAAAAAAAAAAAAGAAAGGAGCAATGAATAAAACAAAAACCCCGTCAGAATTATTAATACTCAGCTACATCAGACATTTGACCAAATCAAATAAAATTCTCAGGAGAACTCAGACCCCAAAAATGAACGCAAAACTGCAGTGAAAACTTTTTCTAGCGCCTGCAATTGACCGCGACAGACCGCCTGTCCCGCGTCGGTGTTCACTTGTCCAACGTGCTTTTGGACACCCCGTCGGTGTATACTTGTCATGGGAGACAAACAAGATCCAACGATTATTTATATTAGGGAGGAAAAATGGGGGGCACAAGAAAAAGGAAGCCATCCAAAGACACGCCGAGAAACTGGCGAGGTGCATTTGAACCTGCGCAAATCACAAAAGAAAATATAGATCCAACTGCTGAGACTCAATTTCTTACTTCATGAATTCACTGTCGTCAAAATATCGTGCCATAAGATCCGTCATATGGGCTGCTGTATAGAGATGAAAGGAGGGTCTGAACGTCAAGAAATGAAACAAAACTGAAAGAAAAGATACAGCATCTGTGTTAGAAGAGTCATCACCTGAAAGTCGAACCGAAAAAGTTCGATCCGAGGACTCAGGAAAAGGGGAAAGAAAAAACAGGAGAAAAAAAAGAAAAAAGGGGATAAAAAGCAACAGACCAAAATTGCACCACGCTTTTTTCGTTGGAGATTGTCCGTAGCATAAGCTCAAAATTGGTCGTTGACTCTTTCTCTCCGAGGGGAATCTCAAGCAAGCGAAAAGAAGTGGGGGGGGGGGAAAGAATCGCATGATAGGAGACTTGTATGCCGACAGCCGAAGATGTTGTACACGTCTGCGAGGCTCGTAAAATCGAGTTCAACCCGGAAAACGTCGTTTGCAACAAAAGGTCAGGGAGCGATTTAACGCCAATCGATCCTAGCAGCTATTGTCCATGATATGTGAAAAGCCGATGGGGAAACGCGAAGGTGAGTGAGGCGACAAGATATTAAATCACATTAAAGAATACAATATCCCACAACAGGTGCCCTAACGCCGGGGGAATGTAGGTGCCGTTTGCTGGGTAGGGAAGAGCTGGCCCGGATAGAGGGTAGGATGCGGACTCGGAGTCTGGTTGAGATGCTTCAACGCAACCTCCGCGACATCTTCCTTTGCGTTGTTGATATACTGGCCATCGTACCACATCCGTGCGGCGATAGTCTGCCCGTTGATCGAAACGGTGCTAGACCAAGCTGTGCGACCTCCTGTAGAAAATGGAAAGACGAGTTAGTGAAAGGCACCACAGATTCTCAGTCCAAAAGTCGGTGAAGGGGAAAGTCGACTCCACCCCTCATTGTGCCGAGACACACAATGAGCAACGTTCAACAGGGAGGGGAATTCAAAACAATTGAATATCACCCAGATGAGAAATGAGAAAGCGGGGGGCTTAGGGGAGCATACCTCGACGTTCGGACATGATGTTGAATACGGGGGCCCCAATCTTCGCACGACGGCAGTGCTCTCGGGGGCAAGGTTAGCATACGATGGAATGATAACGCCTGAAGGAATTGCAGGAAAGTGGGGCATACCTTGAAGCTGCTCCTGCCAACTGAGCCGGGGACTACCTGGAGAATGGGCGGCAGCTGACATTCTGGAAAGAAGCTATCTTCTTGGTAGAAAGGAGTAAAAGATAAAAATGTGTCTCTAGTTTTGAGAAGCTTCGACGAGATGAAGATATCTTCAGGACCACTGACGTGGGAGGGATATGTAATAAAGGAGAAATATCAATTGATGGGAGGATCAGAATAAAGTGGGAAGAAAAATGAAACAGGCGAATCTCTCTCTCTCTTTCTCTCTGTCTCTTCCTCTTTAATTGGCTTCGGCAGACTATGATTCTTAAGTGTTGCAATTGCTTGCTCTCGGTTGAGAATTGGGTATGGATCTCGATGTCTTCGCACACGAAATGGCCTTGATGGATAGATAGGGGAAGCGGGGAGTTCGGTCATATAAACAGTGGGCCATGCTCTTAACCCCAAAGCGTCACTGTGCAAGCAAGACAGTTTCGGCGTGACAAACACGGAACCTAACCATCAAACCTAACAGGTAGGCTTATGCATGTCGTGGTGGACATCGCACAGCGCCAGCAAAATTACCCCCTCCCTTATCCTCCACTCAAGGAACGCCAGTTGCATGGAGAGTATGCGGATCATTTTTTATGAGGCTGCAAGCTGGAACGGCCCGGCGCACGCCGACTGAGAATGTACCCTTGAAGAAACGCCAGAAATGAGCAGGGAAGCAGGCCACTAGTCTCCACACGTACGCCAGATTCATTGAGCGACAAGTAAACAGGGCGGCGATGACAAGCCAGACTCGGTGGCACCAGGGGGTTTGTGACTTTTCCACCCTTGTAGACAACTCAGAGCCCTGGTCGTCCTTCGTTCTCCCTCCCTGTCGCGCAGGCGATGCTATCCATCGGGTACGAACCAGCCTCTTGCCTCATGGCCGCTCTTCAAGGAAAGACGAAAAATCTCTTCTGGAAGGAATGTACTGTGGAGGGGTGGTCTAGTTGCCCAAAAGCGGAGAGGGGCCCATAGGACTAGAAGCGACGAATTGAAGCCAGAATAGGTTCACGTTAGCCAGTAAGGCTCCTCAGAGAGCTGGGAGCGGGCCCCCTTGGGATGCCAGCTCATCAATGATTGAATCATAAATCAAAGGGCCGGGACATAGCTCAAGGTTCCCCGTGGCTTCTAGCCCTAAAACCAAACGGCCACAAACCGGGCCGCTCTGCATGAACAATTGCTATCGGAAAGGGATTTTGCAGATTCCAGGAGACCAAAAGGAGGGGAGGGAGGGAAAGAGTGCAGGGAAGCCTCGTTGGCGATGTCACTATCAAGAAGCTCAATGGGAGCCTGGCACGGCCAGCGCGTACACCGAGGGGGAGGGGGAAATGGGCCTTCTGCAGGAAAATACAGATTGCCAGCGAAGAAAGAAATTGGGTCTTGATTCACCCAATCTATTTCCGGGGGAGACATCGGTCATGATTCGTTGCTTTCCCTATGGCATCGTGTTGGGCATACATACGTGCATTCTCATCCTCTTCGGCGCCGGCACGAGCGTGAAGGGGAATTGAAAAAAATACACGAAGGCGTTAGAGAGTGACGGGGGTGATGAAAGGAACCATATAGCAGAACTCAGCACCTGCATGAAGCGGCATGAAAGAAACAACGACGCCAACGGGGAAAGCTGGGACGCATCCACGAACTGCCATCGAAGCGGCGCAGCGGCGCTTGATTCGACGCGACGTCGTTTGGGGACGAGCCTCGATCTGCCCCGCATCGACCTCAGGACAAGCTTAATCGTGCCCTGCCCACTCCGACAGCTAGAAGACAGACAGTCAGAATTGCTGTCCCTATCGACAGCGTCTGACCCAATCATGCTGTCCCCCGTAGCCCTCGTCCGAATCGGAATTCAGCACGCCCGTTCCCCATCCAGCCAGATTCTTTGCATGGAACGGCTTCAGGATGGGGACTCCGGTCCAGAACCAGGGACTAAGGGGGACCTTAGTTAGGCTGACATGACGAGGAACCATTGCCTTCTTTTGTTCTTTTTTTAATTCAAAATTTTTTTTTTTTTGGTTCTTTTTTCTGGTCCCAGGGAGAGTCGGTTCGTTTCTCTGTTGCCATGGCATTCGTGCTGCGTGCCATAGTCAACGTCGAACATCCAGCGCTTAACCAAGTGTCTCCACCGGCCCTATTCCAAGTTGATTGTTGCTAAAAAGAAAACCAAGTGAATCAATCAATCTGAGCCAATCATTAAATCAATAATGAACCTTTATCATAAGGTTCAAGCCAAAAATAGATTTCGAAAAACTGCAAAGCGAAATCAAACATCCAACCGAGTCGCATGCACGAAATATCAACAACATCAAGTAAACCGCCGTGTGTCTGTTACACAATCCCTACGGAATTTCACGCCGGCCTGAATTTCCAACTACCGCCCAACCATAGCCGTGAGACCAATGAAGAGAAAACCAAAAAACAAAAAGAAAAAAACAAAAAAAGAAAAAAAGAAAAAAGAACAACAAAAATAATAATAATAATACGAGTCATGCGAGCGGATTGTCGCGTCAGACCGACGTAGATGAACAAGACCTTTTTCTTATCCACATCCCATCCTCGCTCGTCCCCACCCATCTCTAGGCGGATCCCCTTCGAAGAAACACCTCATCAATGAGGCGTTTAGCTCCTATCGTCTCCATTCCCCTTGTAATCGAAGATCGTGTTGGAAGTGGAAGGGGACCATGTCCGTTCGAATGCCAGCGTCGACGAATACAGTCATCGACTAGGATGATCAGTCCGGTCGCAACAATCACACTATACGTGCAGTCAGCCCCCGTCTTCCATGAAGCCAAAAAAGAAAGAAGGAAAGAAAGAAGGAAAGAAAGGCGGGAATACGTACTCAGCCATGTCAGGCATCTTTTCATATACGGAGGCATCGCTAATCCACATCGAAGACGGTGGAACCCAGCCTCCCTTACTCTCTTCTTCAACCGCTTCCATGGGCGTTAAGATCTCCGGTACGATATGAGCAATCTGCTTTGACGTTCGCGTATCGACGAGGTGATAAGTCACCTCTCGTAAATCGCCTTCCTTCCGAAATTCCCGTCTCCACTGGTACTTCGTGGACCAGTATTCGTACTCGTACCTCTTGGATACCCCGGTTCCTCGTCTTCTGACTTCTACATGCGCATAGTTGGAGAACTCCAGTAGGGTATTGTCAGCAAGTGTGACGGGTCGATCGGCACCGTCCTTGGCGTCTAGATCCTTGGCCTGAAAATACCCCTCGTCACCAACCAACCTATACTCGGAATCCTGGCGCTTGTGCTCTGCATTGGGCAGCGAGCCATTGCCACTTGATCCCGGTCGCAAGCTGGCCAGCACACTGTTCCAAGAACGTCGAAACACCGGTCGCCTGTCGGAACGAGACGATCGCGGTTTCCTCTCCGAGTGACACACCTCGCGTCCCGACTCCCGGCAGTAGCGCCGGAAGGAGAACTTCCTGGAGAACAAGTCATACATGCGCAGATGAAACAGGGTGATCTCTTGTTGGTACCCTCCTCGTCGCGGAACGACGGTGTCTACCCGGAGGTTCATGTTCCCATCTAGCGTCGCATCGTCGTGGCGGATAAGCAGTCGTCGCGAAGATGGAAACAGGTCGGCGAACGTGGACGGATTGGAGGGGACCACGTCGGTGGGGAAGACCTCCAATCCGCGATCAGTCACTGTGTAGCGTGGCTTCTCCGGGAGGTCCTCGGCTGAAGGTGCTGTTGATGCGTAGGTTGAAGCTGAGTCTCTGGGATCTTTGGCATCTAGCTCCGTCGTCTCTCTCCGCTTCGAAGTGGGCCGATCGCTGTAGATCGTAGGGGCCGTGCTCTTCGACCGATCCGAGACGTCGCTGTTGGTAGAGCTGTAGCTGCCTCCGGTCCTCGAGCCATTCTGACATGAGGACGCACTGTAAGCTCCCATGGCGGCGCTAATGCGATGTAAAAAGCAGCTTATAGTAAACGATGGGATATGCAGACCCCGGTAAGATTGCAAGAATGGGGCTCTTTATTCAGTCTTCGCGGGTGCGGATTTCGGTGTCGGCGGCGGTTCTAGTTCGGACACGAGGTAGTGCTAATTTACTCCGACTGGGGGGGCAACGCCGGTAGTATGATGAAGATACCCAGGGGTGTATGTATGTGGAAGTGCGGGTGTGCGTAGTTAGGGGAGGGGACAGAAGAAAAAGAAAAACAAAGTGGAGTCAATAATCAGTAAATGGACGAGATCTGATAAATCTGGCAGGGAAATCATGCTCCATCTCGTGGTTGACTCGCTCTGTTTCCGACCGATGCCGTGTGCGACGCCCGGATATATTGACGGGGGCACGGTGAGGCAAGAATTTCGAGGCCAAAATCGTGAGTGGTCATACGATATGGCTCGGCTGGAAGGAGCAGGTACTAAACAGGAAGATCATAAATATCGGACAGTTGTCTGGCTCCGGAGAGTGAGGGGAATGCGAAGGGGGTGGCCAGTGTACATAGCAGATGACGCCAGGCCAGGGCTTAACGGGTGAGGCACGAAGAAGACACGGACCGACGAGAAAATAAAATAAAATAAAATAAACTAACGGAAAAAGGTCAAAAAAGAAAAAAGAACAAGGCTAGATTTCTGTGGCGCAGGAAGTTGGGACGGTATCAAATCAGAAAGAAAAAGGAAAGGGAAAAAAAAAGGAAACTGGACCAGGAAGAAGATGAGGGCAAGGATGGATGGGAGGGAAAAGCCGGTAAAAAGAGCAGATAAGGGAGCCACGTCGATGGCTCCATGGCTGAATTGTCACGACCCCCTCCCGTTGCTTTGTTTACACCCCTACGTATGTACTCCCTATGTACCTACCTATCCACGGACATACCTCTCTTTCCCTCGTCTGTTCCGGTTTCCTTACGGAGTACGTTTTTTGCTTTCGTTGTGCCTGCCCCGAACCCAGCCTCGAATTTCAAAACCTTAGTAAGTTCTCATGAGATCAACTCTCTGAGAAGTCATCGACCATGCAAATTTATTCTGCCCAAGACACGAATGCTCCTGCCTTCTTATTTGCGCCTGACCGTCTCGTTCCAGATCCTCCCAGGATGCGATAGGTGTTTACCACGCATGCTGACGCCGGCAGTGCCACCACTGAGCGAGGACGATATCCTCCGACCCCCTCATACGGACTTTTCCGGGACTCAAGCATAGCCTATCGTGTCAGTTTCTGCCCGTTGCTTTCGTCCGTTGGTACTTCTGTCACCCCGGGACGATGATATCCCAATCCAAGTCAAGCCCCAAGGCTACATACATGCTAGGATAATATTGACCTATTGCTTCCCCTGCAGGAAATTTCATGCAAGTATGAAGTATCTTCAACTGTTCACATGCAACTGAACTCGGGACGCATATCTTCACCGGGCGCCAAAGGGATCTAGAAGAGACCGGACCTCAGACATACCTATACTGATGGGAACATCTGTGCCATCAAGTTTCTCATCTCCTGGCAACGTCGATGCCTGACAGCCCAAGCATAGAACCATGGAATTGACTGGAGACACTTCGGATCGGTCCGAAACCAACAACGACGAACTTTTCCAGCGTGGTTTTCCAGACATTGAAACAGCATCGTGAAAATTCCAAATGCTGATAACATAGCCCCAATGATATTCCTTTCTTCTCCGGTATCGGGTCTTGGGTATGACATTTTGATGTTCAGGCATGAAGAGCATCCCGGTTTCCCACACGAACCCCACGGTCGATGGAGACGGTGGGGATGAATGACCCTTGCGTTTTGACCGCCTCACAGTTGAGCTTTGCAATGGTCAAGTACCACTACTTGGTCTCTGTTCATAGTGCCACGCAGGCCTCTGAGGAACAGCGTTAAATCATAGTACTCCGGACTACGTACGGAGTGGTCAGTAGTGTCGACGTAGACCTGGGAGCCCCTCAATTTCGGCAGATCAAGGCATCCATGCGTCTTCTAGATCGGTCGATTATGCCCCCGCCACCGTTCGAGTCCCTTGCACGGAACTATGCAACTTTGTAGAGAACCACCCATCCCCCAGAGGTGTTCACGTCACTACCTAGTCCCTTTTCCCTCGGTTCTGTTAGATTTATGTTTTTCTTTTTTCTTTTTTTAAACCAACCCCCCTACAGAGTACCAACGTGAGAGTTCCCAACCAATGACGCGAGGAGCATGGGCCTGATGTCATAGAAGTTCTGAAACGAAAACAAGATTTGTTTATTTCCAGTTTCTAGTTGGCATGCTTTTTTAAGTCCTCGCCTTTTTAATCATGCTTATTTTGGTACTGTGGGTTTCTGCGAAGCCGCTTTGGTGTGCTACCGAGACAAACCCAAGCCAACACAATAGACGCATGGGAGAGAATGAGAGGGAGAAACAAACCAATATTCTAAGGATTCTAATCCATAGCCTTTAAGCCCGACTCCGACGCCTTCTATTGTACACCGTGCGGTAAGTATCTTGGAAAATGAACTACAGATCCGCCTTACTCCCGAGTCCCAGACAGCCGAGGTTACCTAAAAGAGATCCCGATTATATCCCAGATAAACCCCGTTGGACTAAGAGACCGGCATGGCTTACACCTGTGCCCACAGCGGTCGAGGAAGCTCATCTTCGGTCTGATTCATAGCTTCACGATGGCATGTTCCCGAGCCAGTGGGGTCTCCGAACAGCCCAGTTGCGCGACTGCCACCGGTTGGGGGACGAAATCCGACGTATGCCTCACGGCGAGCAGGTTCACCCACTGTGACGGACCAAGTATGTAATCCGTAATAGGAAGCAATTGAATGAACGAGCCAGCGACTGATCCAAGTCAGTATCAAACACTCCAGGACAGCCAGCTGGGAAACATACCCGAAAGCAGCAGCTCTGTCATCGGCCAAGCTCTCAAACACCATCTTCTCGCCATCCCGCTCATTGTGAGCAGTCATAGCCTGACTCATCTGGTGCAGCTTCTGTTTACGCGCGGGGGAATCATGCATTTGACCGTTTCGCCCGACAAAGACAATCTCGTCCTCAGAGTCCTCGTCGGAGGTTTGAGGCGCATCGGCCAAGCCCTCCTTGCGAAGCAGACGTTGCTTTTCATTCCATCGCTGAATGAACTGCCTGATATCTTCCTCTAGGTCTTGAAGCATCCCTCGCGCAGCGCGTGTGTGTTTTAACTTCGAGCGAAGCTCTTTGGGAATGTGGTAGATCTCATTTCTGGTGCCCTTGGTCGTCTGGTTGGACGATGTGCGATCCATGTGCGCATAATGAACGTCCCACAGGGGTGCCAAGTAATACGGCATGGGGTCATGTCGGGTATAGGTTGGTCGGATGTCCCAGTCCTTGGGAGAAGGCGGCTCCGCCCAGGGATTGTGCAGAAGACGGTCTTTATAGAAGAGATGCCCTTGTCAGTAACTATAGAGACAAGCGCTTCTGGCTATTGCCCGTTGATCAAGACGTACCGTTCTCCCAACGTTGCCTGCGACGGCTTCCGTCCTTCCCTTTGAGCAATGCCTCACGTCTCTTCAAGCTATCGCGACGGAGTGGCTCGCGGCGCCGAAAAGAGGCAGATGGGTACTTCTGCGACTGATTCGCGGCCAGAAAGCTGGTTCTCGTGGTAGGCTGATGATCCGTTGGATCATCTAGAGGGATTGACAACGAAACCGTGGCGCCGCGCAATGCGCCCCCGCCGTGCGTTGACTCCGAGCAAGCGGCATTCTGTGCAGTCGGCACTGTTTCAGAAATAGTCAAGTTCTCGAGAGACGCGGTCGCTTGCTCGGTCCACGCGGAAATAGCTCTAGTCTGTTGCGGGGACAGATGGCCCTGGGCGTCTGATTGAGGACGCAGGCTGGGATGGATGGCCATGTCGCAATCATGCAGCGGGGAGCGATTCAGGGGAGAGATGGGGTTGGATGGGTGAGTACGCGAAGAGGCGCAACCGCAGGCTACTAAAGATACCGGTTCTCCAAAGGGTAGAGCGTGATGAAGTGTAGGTCAAGGGAGCGAGCGGGGATGAGGGAAAAGGGACAGATAAGAAGAGATAGCGATGCGTCCGGTCGCGTCCGACGATCACCGATCGTTACCGGTACTGTAAGCGCGATGGCGAGCCGCGCAGTCGCCATTGACTCATTCACGGGCCCACGCGCCGTTGGGCTCCGGTTTAATTGGTGGAAGGTGACCCTAGCCCTAGCCCTATTTACCTCCTTAGGAATAGTCCGTACCTGGTACTCGTATCGTAAGCCGTCCCAGTTGGTGCCTGAGTCATCGTGGAGATTCATGATCCATTATGATTCACTGTGCGGAGTACTTCCACTGAAAAGTTCAAGATGATACATCCTGGGTCATAGTCAACAGCGAAGCATAACCATCTGAGCTGTTTATTGAGACCCAGAGAGACGATTTTTCGAAGCTAGCTCAATGGAATGGGGGTGACTAGATAGACACCGTACCGCAGTCCTACTATTGAGCCCGAAAATTGTTGGATTTCTTGAACAAGTCTGTTATTTGGCGGAGCTATGTGGAGTCTAGAGTCTAGGCTACGAGATACCTGATGTCTGATGCTCTTGTTGAATCGAACGATGGAAGGCATTACCGGAGGTTATACTCCGTACACCGTATGTACAACGCCGCCTCGGGGCTATTGTTATTTCAATTTGACGACCTTTCCCACAACATGGGGATAGGGTGATTAGATCCCGATTCGACCCACTCGTAGGCTGACAATGAAATCAGCCAAGGCAGGGTTCACCGTTCTGCGTACCGGCTACCGAGTGGATCAGGGTCCTTCTCAATTTGATGGATGAAGGAAGAGGCTTGGGTACACCGTATGTAAGTGGTTGCCTGGTACGGGGGTGGACTTCAAGACATTTCGGTGTCTTGTGGAATGTTATTAATAGTCATTGATGGTTATAGTTACATCAAATGATGGCAATGAGGCCGTGTGTTTCTTTCGATTATGTTGAGAAACTAGTTTGACAAGAAGATCTTCTTAGGAGAGTCTCGCCGCATGCAGCCAGAGAAACCCACTGTATAGGTAGCTCATAAGAAATCCAATTCTTGGGATACTTATCATTTTATGTATTCCGTAGGCACAGCCACGTAGGGGCTCAAGCTTGGAAGATGGAAGATCAAATATCACAATCACGCAGATGGGGGCGGGCCAACATTATAACTAAGCATAGCCTAGACTCCAGGGAAGCTCTGACGCTTTTGGAGAAATCGGTTGAGGGAAATACGGTTCCCGTTGGTCATCAGGCGTTTCTGGAGAAGGCCAAAAGGACTCAAGTATGACTTGTGTTACGGCAAAGGAACTGACTCCACCGGGGGCGGCTAACGAGAAATGGAGTCCCAATCAATATATAGAGCTGTCAGTGCCTTAGGCTTGCACTCCCCAAGCTCGAAGGGGTTAACTACTTAATGCATCCGTTTCCTACCGGATTATTGACGATAAATTAATTGCCCATCGACGCAACAACGTCGGCTCTTGATTGAGTTCATCAGGAGACAACCCCTGTGAGTTTCCATGTCCGCATTCCCCGCCCGCGTCTCCCGCCTTTCCCCCTTCTCCAATTCTCGCTCCAACGCCTGATTGATTCACCACTTTTGCCTAACGGGAGCTGTTCGACCCGGTTACTTTCAGCGTCACCCGTAGCACAGCTTTACAATCCACCTTTTTTATTTCCTACGATTTGATTTGTTTACTAAATATTGCAGTATTTATTTCTTGGATACCTTATTTCAACCTGCCTACTTGTGAAAGCTGTTTCCGTAAATCACCATCACCATGAAGGTTGGAACCGCTCTTGTGCTGGGCGCGACGGCTTCCACGGGAGTTTTGGCCGCCGTGATTCCCCAGGCACCATTGATGAACCCGCACATCTATCACAACCAAGAGAAATATTTGATTGAGCTGGCCCCTTATCAGACCAGATGGGTGACAGAAGAAGAAAAATGGGCCTTGAAATTGGTAAGCCTCAAATATCTTCGTTATCATCTTCTTTGGCTAACCATCATTTCTCTCAAAAGGATGGCGTGAATTTCATCGATATTACAGCAGAGCGAAATGCTGGGTACTATCCTACGTTGCACACACTGAGCTATGTGCACTACCCGTCAAAGATGGAGCATACCGACGAAGTGACCACCCTCATTAAAGATCTATCCAAAGCCAACATGCAACACAACCTGGAGAAATTCACCTCTTTCCATACCCGCTACTACAAGTCCCAGACAGGCATTGAATCGGCAACATGGCTCTACAACCAGGTCCTCGATGTGGTCAAGAGCTCCGGGGCCGCGGAGCATGGCGCCACTGTTGATCAGTTTGCCCATCCATGGGGACAATTCAGCGTCATTGCCCGCATCCCGGGCAAATCAAATAAGACTGTCGTGCTGGGTGCCCACCAGGACAGCATCAACCTGTTTCTTCCGTCAATCCTGGCTGCACCAGGCGCTGATGATGATGGCAGTGGGACAGTCACCATACTGGAGGCCCTGCGTGGTTTCCTACAATCGGAATCCATTATTAAGGGGGATGCACCCAACACAATCGAGTTCCATTGGTACTCGGCTGAAGAAGGCGGCATGCTCGGCTCTCAAGCCATCTTCTCCCAGTACAAACAAGATAGACGTGATGTCAAGGCCATGCTCCAGCAGGACATGACAGGCTATACCAAGGGAGCTCTGGAGGCTGGTCGTGAAGAGGCCGTGGGGATCATGGTCGACTACGTGGACCAAGGGCTAACGCAATTCCTGAAGGACGCAGTCACGACGGTAAGGATGGCTCACCAGTATCTGGAGCTTGCTTGCTGACGATCGGCTTAGTATTGCGATATTGGTTTCATCAACACGAAATGCGGCTACGCTTGTTCTGATCACACATCAGCGAGTAAATACGGCTATCCAGCAGCGATGGCAACCGAATCCGAAATGGAAAACAGCAACAAGCGAATCCACACGACTGACGACAAGATCCGATATTTGAGTTTCGACCATATGCTCCAACATGCAAAGTTGACCCTTGGGTTCGCCTACGAGCTGGCATTTGCCCCGTTTTGATCGCTCGCCTGACGTAATGCATGGATGATGGTAAACTTTCACGGCGTTCCGGGAATTCAGGTCATGATCAGTGCTATGATATTCTAGATAGGCCTGTTGGGTTAGGATTTCGAATATACAGGACCGAGTTAGGTTATTGTTCACTTGCACGGAGTAGACTCTGGATACTGTGTAGGATTTTGGTGACGTCGTCTCTGGCGGGAAGTCTGCCTGTTCGGTCAGGCAATCATCCAAGCCGAACCGAGCCACACTAAACTCGAAGGAGACACTCAACGAATTTTTGCCGATGAGATCATACATTCATGACATACATTCATGATTATTCCTGGTGATTCACCTCTTCTGCCAGCAGTGGCCTTATACTATTACCTGCACTCCCACCACGAGAACACAGTAACCGAGTATTGTGATCTACCAAGCGGCCTAGCCTCGATCTATAGCAGTAGAGCTCGGCAGTCACCCACACTAGACCCCACCTTCAAAATTGGATCTTGTGCGATCGAAAGATCTACAGAAATCCCATGTGCTTAGCTTGGTGTTCACTAGACTAGGTTTTGTATATCTTTCATCCCGGACCACTAGCTTGAAGGGATAGTTGAAAGTCTGGATTGCTGTTAGGAAGAAGACCGCGCAAAACCTTGACTATTGCTCTCAAAACCGGGCTTAACCTCTCTCAAAACATTACGGAAACTGCTGGCCAGTAATAGAGGTGTCTGGAATCGATTCATATTCAATCAACATGGACTCAGCCAACCCATACAGCAAGGAACTCCACATTGCTTGCCTGGCAATCCAGAGGGCCACGCTTTTGACGAAAAAGGTCCTTGAGGCCGTCGACAAGGGGAGCCTCGATAAAAGCGACTCCACTCCAGTGACGGTGGCCGACTTTGCCTCCCAAGCGCTGATTATCAGCGCGATTCACCACGTTTTCCCCGAGGACGACATTGTCGGCGAGGAGGACTCGGCGGCCCTTCGTCGCGATGCAAGCCTACTTGACCGAGCTTGGGACTTGGTCTCGTCTACCCATCTTGATGACCAGGCGAGCGAAGCTTTGCTCTATACGCCAAGTTCGAAGGAGGAAATGCTTAGGTTGATCGACTTGGGGGCTCAAGGCACGTGTGGTCCGAAGGGTCGCTCCTGGGTCCTGGATCCCGTGGACGGCACAGCGACGTTTATCGAAGGCCAACAGTATGCGGTCTGCCTGGCACTGGTGGAGGATGGACGCCAACGGGTGGGGGTCTTGGGTTGTCCGAATCTCAACTTGGTATCAGGCCGTATGCATGAGGATGTAGTGGATCGGGATGGCTACGGATCTCAGGTGTTCGCCGTCGACGGCCAGGGTGCCCACATGCGCAAGATGGGAACGGGAGCCCTCCAAGTCGCACACCAACTCGACTCCAAACCCCAGATCACGGAATTCAAGGATTTGGACTTTGTGGATTGTGCGGCTTCCACGTCCTCAAACATCGAATATCATGCTCGCCTTGCAGCTTACCTGAACGCACCATGGCCACACACGACCGATCTATGGGCGGCGCAGCTTCGATATATCGCCATTGCCGTGGGAGGCTGCAACACCCTGATCAAGATTCCGCGCAAAGCGTCGTATCGGTCCAAGATCTGGGACCACGCCGGGGGAATGTTGATTGCCCAGGAGGTTGGATGTACGGTTAGCGACCTGGCGGGTAATCCGGTTGACTGCAGCCTGGGCAGGACCCTGGCGGAGTGTTACGGGATGATCATAGCGCCTACGTCTATCCACGGACGGCTCGTCGAGGCCGTGAAACACATTGTGTAAAGAGGGGGAGGGAAGCTGTGACGGAATGGGTTATCATTCTCTTACAATCACTGTGTTTGGTGAAAATGAGATTTAAGAACCAAGGAGAGGGTTCTCGCAACGAGGCCAGCGCCAGGGTGTATGAAAGAGGGACTAAGTGATTGGACTGTCAATGTAACTCGTTCCATAAGATCATAAGATATACTCCAGACCGAAGTTACCCCCCGCATCGACTGAGCATCTGACCGTTCGTCCTCCGTGGCGGCGCCAGGAAAAGGCGGGTTCGGCGCTGATTCGATCATGACATCACCAATCCGGCCACTGGATTGGATTATATTGTTCTGCTTATTGCCATGCGAGGTTAAACTCTCGCCATCCCCACATCCACTCGCTGTCAATAAGTTACATCATCTTGTAGTCCTGGTTGTACGATCCCTTCCTTCTTTTCCCCCCGCCTCCCCGGTCTTTGCTCTTTCTGCGCTCTTCAGCCCTTCTACACTCTGCGGTCAGCATCGATTGAACCGTCTCATAAAATGGCATCTTGTAAGTGTCTCCACCTGCCATCGTAATAGGTATCCATCCCAAATAATAACCACTCTTTAGATAACCCTTTCGCCCGCCGGGAGTCGCACGACCGATATACCTTGGGCTCCTACCGCGTCTTGGTCCCCTTGTCATGGTTGCTGGTCGTGGTCGCGGGACTCTACTACACCGTCAATGCCCCCCATGATGTCAAGCATGGCCATTCCATTTTCAAGCAAGCAAATCGACACATCACACCTTTTAGCCAAAGCACGATCGTTACGGGGATCTTCTGGTAACTATATCTAGTATTCTTCTGTTCATCTTCTCCCATATCTGGCACTCCGTCTACCGTCCTGCTCCAGACCCCGCTAACACCACCCATTCGTTCCCATCCAGGATTTTTCTTCTTCTCTCCCAGCTCAGCTACGTGTACCATCTTTTCCATCGAGATGCCGCTATCGTGACGGCGACCGCAAACGTGGGCACGCATTTCATTCTGAACAACTTATTTGTCTTCGCGTGGATCCTCTTGTGGACTCGCAACCACTTCTGGGGCTCCGAGATTATCCTGATAGTCCATTTCATCAACCAACATGTGGCCTACTGGCGCCATCGCAACTTACCTCGCCTCGTGCATCTGGCTGCCGTGGCGGGCCCCTTTGCCTGGACACTCATGGCCCTGTTTTGGAACGGCGCGGTTGCCGTGAAGAGCAACTCTCTACCTGCCAGGATTACTGCGAACGTTTTCATCTGGGTCATCTTCGTGATCGGAGCGAGTCATATCGTAACGGCCCAGGATGACATGTTGGGCTATTCTTTGAGCTTTTTGACTCTTGGTATGTGCCCCCCCCCCCGGCTGCCAGGTGAACACTGCGCTAACCAGTGCCCACAGCTCTAGCGTTGAAGCAGATAGCCGTGAAGACCATCGCTCTGCAGTGGATCTTTGCCTTCGTTATCTTCGCCGTGTTCCTGGTCAGTTCCTTGTACGTCTCTAGCACTCGCAGAACTGGCCGCAACATTTTATTCCGCAAGATTGGACAGACGGAGTTTACTGATCGGGAGCGGGAGCCTCTGCTCAACGAACCAACCCCAACCGCGTGATGAGCTGCTAATTAATCGACCTTGTGGATGCACGAGAGGAGATACCGATATTGTCTAGCCAAGTCCCTCGGTGGGAATGGCTCCTCCCTCTTTCCCCACGTCTCATAACCTTAAAAATGAAAGAAGTATTGAGGTGAGGTGGTGTGTTCTAACTTCTATCTTGTCGGGATCGAAACAAGCCAGCGGTGGCTCGTTCAAACTGACAGGCCTTTTTTGTTCTTTTTGTTTTTGTTTCAGTTGATTTTAACCTGGATCGTATTCCATCGTACCTTGCTGCTCATTTCCCGATCCCTTGATGGCTGCGTACGGCTTCGATAGTATTTAGTGTCCACTGTCTACATAATAATTTGAAATCCAGTGCTCTGACGTTAATGGAAACGATGTGCTTCCAGCTCTCGTGCTCATTCAACTTGAGCAGACCAAAGTGGTAGTTAACTACCTGCAGTTAGTTATCTTACATAAAAAGAGAGGCCGACTGGCATGGAGAAAGAAATTCCGCAAAGACTCCGCAAAGGCCTGCTGGGTCTGTAGGCGCAAGGGGGTGGTGGCCCCGCCGGCTCCCGCAAACCGGCCGACCAACGCGTTGCCCCAGCGACATGGAAACACTCTCCTCCGCGCTGCCCCAATTCGCCAGGCCGATGACTGCCACGAGTTGAAGCACCCCTACTCCGTATGCATCTGCCTGAAATCTCCCTCGGAAAAGTACAGGGGCGGATTTTATTTATTTAGTGGTAAACACTCGGCAAGTGGTTGTTGGTTGTCGACGTCTGCTCGCACGATCACTCGTCTTCCTTCTGTTTATATCTTCTTCACCCGGAAATTGTGACGACTGACCTCATTTCTTTGTCCATGCAGTCTTGCTGAATTCCATAATTTTTTTTTCTCTCTTAACCAAATTGGTTGTCCCACGAGCGATTCCTCCAAAGCACCTGTAAGTCATGGACCTCAGCATTCTTGAACCTTCTCCCCGTCTGGCCAATGGATTGTGGAGCAGCAGAACTGACGCTATGAGGGGTTTGTCCAGAACCTAACGGACGAGAGCAATCATTCTGCCTTCGGGCTGAGATTGTCTCAGCGATCCTTGTGAGGCATCAGAAGAACGGGCGACTCAACCACAGACATGAATCCCAACCCGTCTCGGATATATCCTCCGGCACCCAACTACGAAGACGAACCGCCTGCTTATGGATACGGAGAAACGACATCGTTCCTTTCGGATAATGATTCGCCCTCTCGCCCAAATGGAACAACCATGCGGCTGCTTCCGACGAGTGGTGATGTAGAAAGCACACTGCATAGTGGCGGAAGTACAACGTACCATTACGGAGAGACTTATGAGGATGATGCTCGGTAAGTCGTGGTGAAACCGGTTTCTGTCATGTCTCTGGCTTCGTATAACCCAGGATTCCAGTGGTCAATCACTGGAATCTCTGCAACGTTCCTACCCATCTGTTTCGGTCCCACCCCCTTGATGGTTTTAGTCCACATTGTGTGATCCCTAAACAGCTCCGCCAAGGGAATGTCGGCCTGTTCTCTCCTTCACTTATTCTCCTTTACTTTTTTACTCATGTTGTTGGGAAACTGCGCACTTTGATACTCCTAACGTGTGGAAATGACCGTTTATCTACGATGCCCTGCCATCGAAGACCTAGAGCTAACGCACGCACCCCCCGCAATAGACCCGAATACGCAACGCAGTATTCGACGCGATACCAGGAATATGACCCGCCCGAGTCCCCCTCACGACCGGTTTCGAGCATACGAAATGCCCCAAACATCCCTCCTCCTTCCGCTTCTATGGTAGATATCCCTCACTACTCGTCACGCCCGGGCTCCCCGACGCGAGCTTGGTCCCCAACCCGCGCCCCGGACTGGACTCGACCCGCTGGACCACCGTCCGTCACCGGCTCGCATTACGAACGTGCCGATCTCAATGGCAGCCCCCGACCAGGCACCCCGAGTTCGAGATACGGCGGCAGCCCTCGACGACCACTGCCGCCGGCACCACTGTTTGCGGGCCCGGGGTCGGTGTCCGGTGGCCAGGATGCTAGCATCGACATTGGCGACGGAGTTGATCCTGACGACGTCTTCGGTGATGGAGGCAGAGCGGCCCACCATAATCATACGGCGAGCGTTCGATCCTTCATGAGTGAATCTACCGTGATCACGGACGAAAAGGACGCAATGACCAAGATTGACTTGGATGATATCGACGACGAAGCGAGTGAGATGGTCGACCCGAACATGCACTATGGCCCCGCGCCTGAGAAGCAAGGCCGCCGCGGTGTCCGAGACGCCCAAATGGTCAAGAAGGAAGTCCAGCTGATCAACGGTGAGTTGATCCTGGAGTGTAAAATCCCGACGATCTTGCACAGTTTCTTGCCTCGGCGAGACGACCGAGAATTCACGCACATGCGGTATACTGCGGTGACCTGTGACCCGGACGACTTCACCCAGAAGGGCTATAAATTGCGTCAGGAAATTGGCAGTACCGTCCGTGAAACGGAACTCCTCATTTGTGTTACCATGTATAACGAAGACGAGATCTGTTTCACTCGGACCATGCATGGTATTATGCGCAATATTAGTCACCTCTGCTCTCGCTCTAAATCACGAACATGGGGCAAAGACGGGTGGAAGAAGATCGTGGTCTGCGTGATTGCTGATGGTCGAAAGAAGGTGCATCCTAGAACCTTGAACGCTCTGGCTGCACTCGGTGTCTACCAAGAAGGCATTGCCAAGAACATTGTGAACCAGAAGCAGGTGAATGCCCATATGTACGAGTACACGACTCAGGTGTCTTTGGACGCCGATTTGAAGTTCAAGGGAGCAGAAAAGGGCATCGTGCCATGCCAGGTTATCTTCTGTTTGAAGGAACATAACAAGAAGAAGCTGAACTCTCACCGGTGGTTCTTCAATGCCGTTGGCCGAGCGCTACAGCCGAACATCTGCGTTCTTCTCGATGTCGGTACAAAGCCTGACCCGACTGCATTGTACCACCTGTGGAAAGCCTTCGACCAAGATTCCAACGTTGCCGGAGCGGCTGGTGAGATCAAGGCAGGCAAAGGCAAAGGTATGTTGGGCCTGCTGAATCCACTGGTGGCTAGTCAGAATTTCGAGTATAAAATGTCGAACATTCTGGACAAGCCCTTGGAGTCGGTCTTCGGCTATATCACTGTGCTTCCTGGTGCCCTTAGTGCGTACCGTTTCTTCGCGCTGCAGAACGATGCTGAAGGCAACGGGCCACTAAATCAGTACTTCAAGGGTGAAACGCTGCATGGCCAAGACGCGGATGTCTTCACGGCCAACATGTACCTGGCAGAAGATCGAATTCTCTGTTGGGAACTGGTGGCCAAGCGTGACGAGCGATGGGTCTTGCGATTTGTCAAGAGTGCCGTTGGTGAAACCGATGTGCCAGGTAAGTTATTTCCGATGATTGTGAAACTCCTTACTGATCAAGTCTTCAGACACTATCCCTGAATTCATTTCTCAGCGCCGACGTTGGCTGAACGGTGCTTTCTTCGCTGCGGTCTATTCCATTGTCAACGTAAAGCAGCTGTGGAAGACGGGCCACTCGTTGCCCCGCAAGATTCTGCTTCAAATCGAGTCCGTTTATCAGTTCCTCCAGCTGCTTTTTACCTATTTCGGATTGGTATGTATATCCAACAAGATCTTGAATGCATGTTCTAATCCCGATAGGCAAACTTCTATTTGGCTTTCTACTTCATTGCCGGGTCGCTTTCAGACCACAAGATCGATCCATTTGGTCATAACATGGGAAAATATATTTTCATAGTTCTTCGATATGCTTGCGTGGTGGTCATGTGTCTACAGTTCATTATCTCCATGGGAAATCGACCTCAAGGGTGAGTGCTGATCTTACATACACGTCTACATCGGACAACCCATTGACTCGAATGCAGCGCGAAAAAATTGTATCTCTCCGGAATCATCGTCTATTGCGTGATCATGGTCTATACCGCATTCTGTGCGCTGTATCTGATCGTGTTGGAACTCATGTCAAAATTCGGAGCAGATATGGACCTCGAAGTCAGCGATGGACTAATGGTGAACATTGTGATTTCAATGCTTTCGACCATTGGTCTCTACTTCTTCAGTTCCTTCCTTTACCTTGACCCATGGCACATGTTCACTTCGTCAGCCCAGTACTTTGCTCTTATGCCAAGTTACGTGTGTACCTTGCAGATCTATGCCTTCTGCAATACCCACGACGTGACTTGGGGTACCAAGGGTGACAACGTTGTCAATACGGATCTGGGAGCCGCGAAGATCATTAACGGCTCTATCGTCGAAGTCGAAATGCCTTCGGAACAGCTCGACATTGACAGTGGATACGATGCTGCACTGCGGAACCTCCGTGATCGCCTCGAAGTTCCTGAGCCCCCGACCCCCGAAAGCCAGCTGCAGGAAGACTACTACCGAGCCGTGCGTACGTACATGGTGTCCATCTGGATGGTTGCAAACCTCATCTTGGCCATGGCCGTGTCCGAGGTCTACGGCGTCGACTCCGGCGGTACCAATGTTTACCTGGCCATTATCCTCTGGTCCGTCGCCGTTTTGGCGCTGTTCCGTGTGATCGGATCCACGACGTATGCAATTCTCTTTGTGGTGCAGAAGATTGTCGAGGGCAAAACCAAGTTCGAAGCTGGCAATATCGCTTCAGCTCACGCCAGTGCCAGTGCCAATTCCAGCGCTGTGGGCAGCAAAACAAATTATGGCGGCGGTGGAAATGTGCGCGACAAGTTCACCGAAGCTAGATGGGCCATGAAACGAGGAATGGGTAAAGCTATGTTCTGGAAGAAATGATTTTTCCTGAATATTATCTTCCCTTATCCCCCCATAACGCTCCCTTTTTCCTTTCTTTCTTTTCTTTTTCTCATAATATCACCTTGAATTTGGGCGTTCGTGTTCTTGATGGGAAATACCGCAGTGATCTGGGATATGGAACGGGAATGCTTGTATGTACTTTGATGATTGGATGGATATAATGATAGGTTATGTAAATGAATTGTTTCAGTAGCCCGAGCTGATTATCCTCAACTAGCCTGGTAATGCCTCTCAGCAAACTCAGAGCTTGGACATCACCTCCTGACCTTGAATAACTCTTGAGATCAACCCTGAAGCAGCCAACGTCTCTTCATCCTTGAAATGTTTACCCGTCAACTGGAGTCCCACTGGTGCCCCCTCGTACCTTTCGGGACTGTATTTCCGCCACTCACGAGCGTCAATCGCGTCCCTTGGTGAGTAACTCGTATCAACCGGATCCAACACCGGATCGACCACCAACCCACTCGGAAATACCGCCGCGGGCTGATCCAGGATATTCCAAATCGCCGTGTAATTCCAGTACTCCGACTCACCCAAAACGGAGGCGGTGCCCACGTATGCCGGGCTCAGGATGAAGTCCACCCCGCGGGATTTCATGAGAGCGTGATACTCGTCCCGATATTGATCTCGCGCGGCATTGAGGGCCCAGTTCTCGCCTATCGTCAGCGGCTTGTCGCTGCTGTAGCGGAAGGCACATTCGGTCAGGGGCAGGATCGGTTCTCCGGATCGGGCGAGGAGGGCGCGCTGGCCGGCGGCTGCGTCGGGGAAGTAGAGGGATGACTTTGGTTAAGGGGGTGTGTGTTGTCAGTGTGACCTGTCCACGGTTATGAAAACTGACTGGGCTAGTAAGATTACCACGATGTTCCAGCCATGGGCATGTTTGTAGGGCTCCCAGTCAACGACCCTGATGCCTGCTGCCTGGAGCTGCCCTTTGGCATGCTTCAGGGCACGCGTTACCGGCGGATGCGGGCGAACGCATCTGGTGCTGTCAGCTTCTCGGGGGATTCACGACGTTAGTATCTAGAATACGCACCCATCATCCCACATGATCGCGACTGTCATGTCCCTGCTCGGTGTCGCCCGTCTCCAAGGGATCGGAGCCAGGGAAGTCTCAATATCCCATGGTTCCTGGTCAATCACTACCCGCTGGAATAGCTCTAAGTCCTCAATACTCTGACTTGCAAGAGGGCCAACGACGCCGAGAATGGACTCTTGACCAGGACCCGGGATGAAGACCCCCGTGCCCGGGATCCGGTGCGTCGTGGGCCGGAATCCGTAGGCTCCGCAGAATGCAGCAGGGGCTCGGATCGAACCCCCAATGTCTGACCCGATACCGAGGGGTGCGCATTTGAATCCCATCGAAGCCCCCTCGCCACCTGAGGAGCCGCCGGGGCTGAGGGTGCGGTTGTATAGATTTACTGTGGTTCCGGTAACGTTGTTGCTGCAGCAGAGATGCTATGGTATGTTCAATTTAGAGGTGATAATAGAACAAGGATTGGGGCATGTGATTACCATTAGAGATTGGGGCTGATTCGTTCGGACGTGGAACACAGCCCCCGCCTTCTCTAGGATCTGTAATAGAAGTGCGTCCTGCGCTGCTATGTTGCCCACCCTGAATGCATGAGACACGTCAGATACGTACATCCAAGTTTGTTGTCAAATGAGGAGGACGGACAATGCCACGTAGCCGCCATTGCATGTGCGGCCCTTGAATCCTATGTGTTCTTTCACACTGATCGGGACTCCATGCTGGATTAAAAATTAACTCTGGGATCCCGTAAGGATTGGTTAGGAGTATTTGGACATACTAGCGGCCCTATGATTTTTCCCGTACGTTGCCTGTATTCATCCAGCTCTTTAGCTCGCGATATGGCCTTTTCTGTCATGAATTCGGTGGCAAAATTGAGCTGGGTCGGTGTTAGTTCGAGAGATTGGGCACATCCATCCCCAAGCTTTATCTACAAACCAGTTGATGTCCTAAGACGGCACGCTTTAAAAAGGCGATCACCACCTCCTCTGCGCTAAGGATGCCGGCTTTCATATCTGCCACAAGAGCAATCGCGGTCTTGTTAGTAATGTCGAGCTCCCGGTCGTTGAGAAGACCGCTCCTTCGAGGAAAGTCTTCGACATTTTTCTGGCTTGCGGGAGGCAGTTGATCGCTAGGAAGCAGCCATTGAGCCGGGATAGATTGTTGGAGAATATCTCGGGCTTTCCGAGCTTGCAATTCCCACGGCTGAGTAGACATGATAATATGTATTTTAGACCGAATGAGAGGGGAGTAGAATAGTTGAGAGTTAGAAGAGGGGTTATGCAAGGAGAAATCAGCCAGGAAGCACGAGGCACACGCCTTTTATGTCACTCAAACGTTGACCGCGGAACTACTGACGAGTAGCCATGGCCGATAGCGACAATTGACAGCAGCATCCATCGGTGCTCTAGTCGCATCTCGGAATCGGAAATAGAAGTCCAATCAACAGGACGAGCTATGCAGATCCCGTGAATGATGCCTGGCTGGTTGCACTCCAGGTGGAGAAGCTCTTATCTGCGTTGCAGGAGATCAGCACATTCCTCTCACGGTAACAACATCTGGTATTAATCAAGGACGTAATTGCGAGATTCGCTGTTTAAGCAGAGAAGTGGGGATATTAATGACTGAATCCTTGAAGAATAGTTTGTAGAACTAAAACCACGGTGGTGGCCTTGACTTGAGAAGATATACGGGGCGTGCCTGCGCTGTAAGGCACCCACGGAATCAATTCCGTCTCGCTCCTTCCTTTTTTCCTCTCTTCTTCTTTCCTCTTCCTTCCTCCTTCCCTTCTACCCACAGCACGTCAACACCGTGCACAGCTCCCCACAGACGATTTGACATTTCTCGGGCATCTTCGTCTCTATCACCGTTTCCACCTTCTCCGCTTCCTGTCCGACCATAATCACTTCCCCCGGCGGTGCAATTTCTGGCTGCAGGGTTGCCGAGTGAATCCCATACGCGTGAAAGCATTCGTTGATAATCTTGGTCAGCTTCAAAAAGTGAGGCACGGAAGGATCGGACACAACGACATGAACCGATGCAAGAGTCTTCTGCTGGTTGAGGCGCCAGATGTGGAGTTCGTGGATGGACAGCACCCCGGGAATCTGGATTCAAAAACATCAGCGAGTCACGGCTTTGAGCCTCTGCCAGGCAATTCCATGGCATACCGTTTCTAAATCGTGCTTGACATCCGCGGGATCGACCCCATCTGGGGAACTTTCCAACAAGATATGCCCTGATCGGCGCACTAATTGACCCGCGACTCAGTACTGCCGCGGCGGAACAGAGAGCAGGCTATACATACCTAATGGAATCGAGGATAACATGATCATAATAGCGATGCCCATGCTGGTTCCCGGGTCCGCATAATATCGTCCTTCGTAATGTGTCAGCCAAATGACCAAAGCGGCCGCCATAACACCGATGTTGTTAATGGCATCCCCAATGACATGGATCAAGACGCCCATCATCCCAAGGTCATGTCCATGGGCGACTGGCCGATTGGTCTGCGTTCGGTGCTTGTGGGTATGATGCTAGAACAGACCAACAGAGAATCAGAACATGTGCATGGAGTCATGTATCCCATGAAGTTATATCTCACCGCACAAAAGCTCGAATCATAGGGGTTATTGTCCCCCGGACTTGCCATTGGGATCTCAGGGTCTTGTGAATCTCCGTGGTGATGGTGGCCATGATCGTGATGATGGTGTTCTGCCAATTCCATTACTACATTATCTCTCGCTCATTGCGTCTGTCATGTTTTACCGTGAAGAAATATGGCACTGATGAGATTAAGGCCGAGCCCGATGGATCCCATAATGAGCATGAGTTTGGGGTCTTCCACACCTAAAACCCCTTTAGCAGTGGAGCGGGCGGAACACATGAGGCAACCAACGTTGTAGAGTTATGAAACGCTCGATGGACTGAAGGAAGACGCTGATGCCAAGGGCGAAGAGAAGTGCGCCATTGAAGAAGGCGCCTAATAATTGTGCTCGTTGCCATCCGAAGGATAGCGACGCTGGCCACTCATTCTTCTCCGATACCTAACATATTCTATGTGTTAGCGATTTAGGCGATCGCCTTGACAATAGAATGAAATGCGAAGATTCGCTCACCTTGAGGGCCACCAACGCCACAACGAATCCGACCAGGTCATTAAGCTGCACCAGTCAGGAAAAGCCTCCTTTGAGAGAGTTACACCTACATAGTGGAAGGCATCGGCAACCAGGGCTATAGAATGTGTATAGAATCCAACTATCATTGATAGGGCTCAGTATGCCGGCCATTGGGATTGACGAGACAGAAGAACGAGACAAGACATACCTGAGATTTCGGCGACAAAAAAGATCGAAGCAATTCCAATAACAGCAGTCAAGCGCCGAGAGCGCGATATTTTGAATGCCATTTTTCACCGCATGTGGTTTGACAAGAGATGGAGAGAAAAGAGTCAAGCCCTTCAGCCTCCAGAATACCAGCGGAAACTTCGCCCGTTTCTTTCCTTTTTTTCCAATCGAAAAACCAAATTATTTCATTCTCGCCCAGCCCCTGCGAGTATTGTTTGTTGAGGCCTGAGCGGTCGGGCGTGGTGGAACTCGACTGGAATGTGAACAATCTGGACTACCTTAAGCAAGGAGCCAACAGGGAGCAAACCCCATTTACGGTTGAAAGACCGACGCCAAAATGAAAAGGAACTCGAGATCAATTTTGAGCAGCTTGCGTGCGGTAAAGTTTCATCATCTCCGAACATGCCGTGAAGGCGTTAACATTATTAAGATTACAGATTGAACCCAACGCCCAGAAGTAACCATGGTTGGGGTTGCACATCACATGCAGCAGCATTTACAGAGCTCTAAGGAATGGAGGATCGAATTGCTATCGTGCAAAATATCACGCTCTATATACATATACGTCTGATTATTATCATAAATCAAGCCTCTACCTCGTCAATTAATCCATCCAATTCTCTTTGCCAGTTCCTGTGCTGGGAAATTTGCCAGATGAATCGATCAACAAATCCTTGACTGTCAGGTCCGATAGTGGATGACGATTTCAAAAGCTCTGCTGGGTTTCCTTGTCCCGTCACCACGCCATAGCTTTCCACAGTTTGACTAGCCGACGAAGCGTGCTTGACCGCATCTAGGTTAATCTGCCGCTGGATGAAACCAACCGCCTCATTGACGCCGGAAACGGGCTTGAGATGAGCAAAGGACTCGGTGATCCAGTACTTGGCAATGCCGTTCTTAGCAAGCGCACCAACGTGCTTTCCACCAGGGATGAAGACCGCATCGAAGAGCGTCGACCGCATGCCGGGGAAGTGGTGATCGGGGATGACTTTCTCGCCCGACTCGGCCGTGACACCCTGACGCTGCGAACCAATGGTGAAGACAAATGCGTTGTGCTCTTTAAGGGTCTCCTTCATCTGTGTGTACGCAGCGTGGTCGAAGCCATCCATGATGAGGATTGCCACTCGACGCGTAGCGATTTGGGGACCATTGGAGAGATAGTCAAATTGACTCAACCCCTTCGAAGTCTGGCCGTTGTTTGCCTTCGTGGCCTTGGCCGGTGTGTCGCCGCCCACATTCTTGGCCACGGTCCGCGCGAGATTGAGGTCGATAACGGCAAGACGTTCTGACAAGCGCTTGTAGACGATTTCCTCGTCACAGTGGTCGAGCTCAAAGGAGAATGCCTTGGCGACATGCATTTTCTCAATGGGGTACAGAGAATTGAAGAAAAGCTGGGCCTGGTTGTAATGCTCCTTGAACTTGTCCGAAAGTTGGCGTGCCTTGACGCCTTCTTGCCTCTCAGGATAAGTGGCGAAACCACCCTGTGATTGAGAGGCGGGAGGGTTGGTCTCGTATCGGTTTGGCCAGTAATTCACCTTGCCTTTGGTGATGCGGTGTTTCATCGCACCATCCCTGTTGACCAAGCTCATATAGGGACACACCAGCCGGTTGATTGGCAGTTCTTGCCAGTTGGGACCCAAGCGCGAAATTTGAGTGTCAAAATAGGAGAAATTTCGCCCGATGAGGAGGGGATCGTTTGAGAAATCAATGCCAGGAACGATGTGACTAGTACAGAAAGCAACCTGTTCTGTCTGCGGGAAATATTCGTCCACGTTTCGGTTCAGTTCCAATTCTCCTACGTACTGGATAGGCACCAGCTCCTCCGGCCAGATCTTTGTAGCGTCCTCAATGTCGAATTCAAAGTCGTCCTTATTTTCTTGAGGAATCGCCTGAATGCCGAATTTCCACTTGGGAAACTGGCCCGCATCAATCGCATCCATGAGGTCCTTCCTATGGAAATCAGGGTCCTGCCCAGCGATTTTCAGTGCCTCATCCCACACCAAGGAGTGGACTCCTAATTCCGGGGTCCAATGGAACTTGACGAAATGGCGCTTGCCTTCAGCGTTTACGAGCGAATAGGTATTCACACCGAATCCCTGCATCATCCGAACAGACCGGGGGATGGCGCGGTCAGACATGATCTATACAGGTTAGATAAAAGACGTATAAAAGAATTGTTGACAAAACAGAGCAGGTACGTACCCATTGCTGCATATGAGTTGTCTCTGAGTGCATGTACTGGAAGTCCCAGAAGTTGTTATGCGCGCTTTGACCCTGGGGAATTTCGTTATGGGGCTCTGGCTTGACTGCATGAATGGCGTCTGGGAACTTGATCGCGTCCTGAATGAAAAAGACGGGGATGTTGTTGCCGACAATGTCCCAGTTTCCCTCGGACGTATACATCTTGACTGCAAACCCACGCACATCTCGAACGGTATCGGCACTGCCTTTGCTGCCCTGAACGGTGGAGAACCGTGTGAAGACAGGCGTCTCTCGTGATGTGTCGGTGAGAACTCCAGCGGTGGTGAGGTTGCTGATGCTTTTCTTCATTCGGAAAGTACCAAAAGCGCCAACTCCACGGGCGTGGACAACTCGTTCGGGAATGCGCTCATGGTCGAAACGCATGACCTAAATCGCCAGCGTGCTTAGTATGAGCAGCTGGTGGCATCGGTGGGGTTTAGAGGCAACTGTACCTTCTCTCGAGCGAGTGAATCCTCCAATAGGGGCGGGCCATTGTGCTTCGCATCACCCACTCGCAGCCAGTGGTCGGGATCGGAAATCTTCACACCAAAATCCGTCGTCATATGCTGGACACCCGAGAGCTCAACGGTGTCCCGCTCAAGATCGTCCTGCTTAGTAGGCATAATGGAAGAAGTTGCAGTGAATTGTTAGTGTTGGGGAGAACGACTATCTTGAAGCTGGGGCAATCGAATCCGAGTTATATACTACCTGAATCTACCATGGACCAAAGAATGGGAAACGCTGACCAGTTCCGGGAGTCAATCCACCAATAGCGCTTTATCCAGATCCGCAGGAAAAATCCTTGGAAAGAGTATGCCAGCATGAAGACAATGATGCAACCTTCTGGTTACCATTGGACGATCATCCAGTAACAAGGGGCTGCCACCCCCAAAGACCACGATCATGATGCACCTGTTTTCAACCCACTTGATCATGGTGTCTGTAGGCTGGGCAATGAACACCCAGACCGGTTTGTCTGGGTCTGTCGATCAGGCCTTGAATCAAGACCCACTCTTTGTCAGGTTGCTTGAGACCTCATCGTAGCTCAAAACCCTTCGAGAAGTTCGCCGCCTTGGCCGAGAGCCAGTCGTGCGAAAGGAGATTGTAAACATTGGTAAGCACACACCGGTCTCGGCTTCGAAGCCAGGGGCTTGCTTGGAAAACTTTCCTCTCCTCGGTGTACTTTTGATTGCACGCGGAAATGACGTTGCGACGTGGAGCCCGGTTGAGATAGATGACGTCATTTGCTCACGGCATCGCCAGGGCAAGTACACCGTAAACAGCACCGTAGTAAGGCTCTCCTTGCATTCGTTAACTATTCAATTTACGTCTAAATAATGCACGAATCTTGGATTATCAAGCTTGTCTCGCTCTACCGACGCATACAGGACAATCTTGCGCTATTCACGATAGCCATGGACTATCCAAAAGGTAAGAAATGTCATTATTGAATCTGACTAGATAAACCACTCGGTACCTCGTAACATCACTGTTCCACGGTCTTCTCGACTCAAGATTCCCGACATCCCATGAACCATATACTCCGATCAAACAATGCTCTCTGGCTCCGGCTTTCGCATGATCGGAATAATCGGTTTTGGGGGCCAACTACTGCGATAGCTACTCCATTTCCATGGATGCGAAAATTTGTGATGCCCAGAGCCAACCCAAGTGCCATCATTGTCGTCAAGCTGTTTCGTTCCCTTTTTCAAAGTCTCCTCGCTCGGCAAGATGACCAAGGCGCGGGAATTGGGAGGCACCAGCAGTTCTAGCTCGAACCGATCCTCGGCGGATTGAACGATCCACCGACACTCTAATCGCCCATAAGGGGTATCGTACTTGGCTTCGGCGGATTCGATAGTTCCGCCGGGAATCGGGTTGACTTTGACTGTTTTCCATCCAGGGGACATGGGGCTCACGCCTGCCACGCTGGAATGAAGCCAGTTGATAATAGATCCCAGGGCATAGTGGTTGAAACTCGTCATTTCTCCAGGGTTGATAGACCCGTCTGGGAGCATACTGTCCCATCGTTCCCATACAGTCGTCGCACCCATGGTGATAGGGTACATCCACGAGGGGCGGTTTTTCTCCTGCAACATGCGATACGCAATCTGGTGGTGGCCAGTTTTCGTCAGGGCGTGCGCGATAATTGGGGTTCCTGCAAACCCGGTCGCCACTCTGAACTTCGCCAGCCGGACCAGGCTCACCAGGCGAGATGCAGCAGCCGCAGTTTGTTCAGCGGTGGGGTGAAGATCGAACATAATCGCCAGGCTCAGCGCCGTTTGTGTGTCTCCCACCAGAAGACCAGAGGATGCAATGTATTTCGCTTGGAATTTGGCTTTCAGCTGCTGGTAGTCCGCCTTGAACCGGGCGCTGTCTGCTGTTTCACCGAGGATCTCACTGATCTTGGAGATTATGTTAGTGACATGTACCAGATAGGCATCGGCGACCAATGTCCCATTGGTACGAGCATCGCCTGGCTCCACCGGCGGTGCGGTCGGGTCCAGCCAGTCTCCCAACTGCCAAAGTTCAGGGTCCCAAAGTCCATCGGGCCCCCGTCGAATACCCCGGTCGACCCAGGCCAGCATGCTAGCGTATTGCCGGCGGAGGATGTCAATGTCCCCGTACGAGCGATAGAGATCCCACGGAGACAAAACAACCACGTCGTCCCAGATGGCTTGAGGGAGATGTGGCCATAGTCTCTCGGGGATAATGTTCGGGACCACGAATGGGGGAACGCAACCGCCCCGTTCTTTCAGCTGCTCCGCCGCCACATCCTCCAGCCAGCCCCCCAGCATGCCGGCGGTGTTGTAGAGGAAGTTGGCGGAGGGGCCAAAGATCTGGATATCGCCCGTCCACCCGAGACGCTCGTCACGCTGAGGGCAATCGGTAGGGATGGACAGAAAATTGCCGCGCATGCTCCACCATGCATTGGTATGGAGCTGGTTGACCATGGGATGCGAGCATGTGAACCAGCCGGACCGGGTCATGTCGGTGTGCATTACCAAAGCGGTCAGGTTGGCGAGTAATTCGTGGTCCTTTGGCCATCCATCGACCTGGACATACCGGAACCCATGGAAGGTATATTGTGGGGTCCAATTTGTCAGTTCGGCCCCAGAAGAGATGACCTCGTCGGTGCATTTTGCATTTCGTAGAGGCCGAGTCCCAGGCTCCCCATTCTCCAGTACTTCGGCATGCGTGAATGTCACCTTGGACCCTTCGGGTATTCTCAAGGATCGAATCTGGAGTCGTCCAACAAGATTTTGACCGAAATCAACGACGACCTTCCCCGATGGGATCTGGTGGGTGGAAACTGCCTCGATCGTCTCCGTTACTCGAACAGGGGGCGCGTCTGGTGCCACCAGAGTTGCAGTAGGAAAAGCTAACTCTTGCACAGAAGACCAGGACGATGTACTGGTGTTTTCGGGGGAGATCATTTTCCAATGAGGATCTTCTTCCCGGGCATCGTACAGTTCGCCGTCATAAAGTTCACTCCTAACAATGGCACTCGGGCTACAAGACCAAGTATTATCAGTAGCTAGCGAGAACGCCGCCTCGGTTGCTTCTGACTGAACCTCAAGTTGGGCCAGAACGGCAAGTCGATCTCCGTAGAGCTTGCTTTGCCCGTTGCGGAACCCCAGGCGGGTTGCATACCAACCTTCGCCGACTTCTACTGCAATAGTGTTTTGGCCGTTGGGGTTGAGGAGAGGCGCAACGTCGAATATCTGATAGTTCAGGCGATGATTGTAGCTTGTCCATCCGGGAGCCAGGCATTGATCGCCCACTGCATGACCGTTGATGAATGCTGTATAGACCCCGAGACTTGTGATGTACAAACGAGCTTTTCCGACGCCTTCGTTCCTGGAGAGCGTAAACGATTTGCGAAACCGTACTGGGCGCAAAGGGCCGTCGTTCGCCTCCTTCACAGGACTAGCAATCGGAAGACACTTCCAGTCGGGCTTGGAAAGCAATGCGGCTTCAATCGTTATCCAAGGAGACCAGCTCGTGGGTTCAGGCTCGGACTGCCCCCTACCGCGACCGTAGGATCTGACACGAACCTGAGCTCTTTCTCGTGACTTTAATGGCACGCTTGGCCAAGGCACAAGCACCGATACATCGCTTGTCACGTAGTATGTCTCTTCGGCGGGACGGAGGATTTGAATTTCGTATGCAGTTTGTTCCCATCCTCGTGGACAGTCATCGGGTGTGTTGAGGAATCGCCAGGACAGTCGTGGAGCTCCTGTCCCGATCCCAAATCCAGTGGGGTGTTGCTCGACGGATGGCGGTGCAATCCTGGGTTGGCCGTCCATGATGTGTTGGAGGTTATTTGTAGGGGAAAGGTGTGAAGAACAGAGAGATACTATGGCTTCAGCGTCTTCAAAACTGCCCCTCGCCCTGGGTGTGTGGCCCTTTATAGGCAGCGGAGTAACCTCACTCGCACAGCATTTTCACGAGGGCCTGAGGAAACATTATTCGATCGGCTCACGCGGCGGAGAATCGCCTATGGCTTCTTTCTTGAAGCTGCAAGTCTCTCCACGTTTTGCTGTCTCGCGTCCAGCTGCCGGTAGGCCCTTGGCGATAGCTTTCATTGGGTTAACCGAGATCAAGCAGCGGCGTTTTCGGGCCCTGATTAGACGAACGCCGCCTCTCTGACGCTAAGCTCGCTCGGTCTTGGCTTCGTCGCATCTTGTGGGGGGATGCGGGGATTGGCGTGGTCATTGGACCCTAATCTAGTCCCCGGGTTTGCGTTTCGGCTCTTCTATAACTCGGGTTGTTGATAGACCGGGTCGTATGCGTAGTCCTCATCAGCGGTATAAATACGCCCTGCGCGCCAGTATATCTAGGACGATCAAGGGCCTCCAAGCTGCGCGAGTGCTAGTCAATGAATATACGCTGTCGGTCTCTGCACAATGGTTTCTCATTTTGTCGTGGTGATCGCTTTGGTGGTCGCTCTGGGAGGGTTTGTATATGGCATGGATTCAGGTTCGAGTGATTCGGCTTCGGTCTCTCTCATGCCAGGCTGACTTGTCACAGGGATTATTGCGACCACTCTAGGTCATGACACGTTCAAATACTCCATGTTCGGCCCCAAAGGAAAGAATGCTTCTTTAGAGGGTGAGTCAAATGGTGTTGTTTCCTTAAACGATGCTTGAAGCGACTCATTCCTGCAATAGGTGCCATTGTTTCGCTATACAATGTTGGTCAGGCCATCGGCACCTTTGCCGCAGGCTATTCAGCCAATAAGTTCAGTAGAAGATGGACCATCTGTGCTAGTGCGGTTACTGGTATGTGCTACATTTCCTTCTTCGAGTATTGATGTCTTCCTCACCAAAGGCATTTGAATAGCAATCATCGGTGCCGTTCTGCAGACTGCGGCCTTCAACGCCGGGATGATGATTGCAGGGAGGTTCTTCGCGGGAGTAGGCTGTGGTGTTCTCTTGGCAGTTGTACCAGTTTATATCGCTGAAGTGTCTCCGCCTCAACAACGTGGAATGATTGTTGGTCTGCAGGGTTTCATGATTTCGATTGGTTTCTTCATTGCCAATTGGGTTGGCTATGGAGGCGCATATGCCAAAGATGATGCACAGTGGCGTATTCCCTTGGCCATGCAAATCCCTGGTCCGATGGCCTTGACTGTCGGGTGCTGTTTTATTCCGTATAGCCCACGCTGGCGTAAGTGATCCATTATGAGTCCTCAAGCGGCCTAATACTGACATAATCAAAGTGGTCCAGCAGGAACGTTACGAAGAAGCGCGCGCCGTATTAGAAAAGCTGTATGTCTCTGAAAACGGCGAAGACCCGGTCTCTCGAGAACTCGCTCAAATCCGAGAGCAGATACAAGCGGAGGCCGAACACGGGACGAGCTTCAGATCAGCCATCACAAGTCTTTTCTCGCCTCGTTATTTGCACCGCACCCTGATGGCTTGCTTCATTCTCATCATGGGCCAGTTCAGCGGCTCCTCCGTCATTCAAAATTATCAAAACAATTTCTATGCAACAGTCGGTTTCACTGGAAAGACCTCGCTTTTGATCAGTGGTATCTATGGCATCATGGGTGTTCTCGGTCAGGTCATTTATCTCTTCTTCGCTGCTGATAAATGGCCTCGCACACGCACGCTGTGGGTTGGATCGATCTTCCTGTGCGTGATGATTTCTATTTGCATGGCCTTGTCTGCTAGGTACGGTGACCAAAACAATGACAATCTCAACGGTGCACGCGCGGCAATCGCTATGATTTTCCTGTACTCCTGTGGGTATGCAGTCTTTTTCAACGCAACAGTCTGGGTGGTACCTTCCGAGCTTTTCCCCTTTTTTCTTCGGTCGACCGGAATGGGATTGGCTGTGTTCTGCAAATCAGTATCAGCCATCATTCTATCACAAATCACGCCGACTGCCATGCAAAATGTCAGCTGGAGATATTACGCACTATTCATTGCCACGAACTTTGTGGCTGCCTTTGTGTACTTCCTTCTGCTCCCGGAAACCGGTGGAAAGACATTGGAAGAAGTTGCCGAGCTATTTGGAGATACTCTCGCAACGGACCCCCCGAAGCAAATCGATGACCCGGGCGCGCCTTCCGAGAAGCAGGCTACCTTGGAGACGAGTGACCCCAGGTCTTCCCACGTGGAAAGGGCTGTCTAATCTCTAAAAAAGAGCCACAAATTTTCCTCTTAAAATAGACATTTGGAAAAGAGAAAGAGGGAAGAACCTGACGTTTCAGGCAGCCCTTGTGGGTTCGATCTTGCTATGAAATTGCGACTGCTTCGACTGCTTTCCTGTAGCGCTATTTTTTCGTTCTTTGAAATTATTTCCTCTGCGATAAGCAACCAAATATCTTGTATTATAGTACCTTGCGAGTTAATTTTGATCAGCCAAGAAATTTGAGATTGTATTAACTCCCTACAACGCAGGGTTGGGCCCAGAACTGACTTGGGCGGCGCAGTTTTGGGGAACTTGAAAACCCTCAGGATGATGGCATTATCGCGGGCAAGATGGCCCTATAATCAGTGATGTGACCAATTGATGGGTATGTTCGAAGATCAGAAGAATACGGTACGATTAGCTGCCGCTCTGAAAGGACTGAGGAATGCTCGGTCAAGAAGCGAGCCATCCAGTTATCCATAGCAAAGGGATCCGAGACAGAGTCCCTGCATGAATTTTGGAATGCTTGTAGACGAGTAACCTACAACTGTACCGTCAGAAGCTTTCTGGGGGCTGGGGGCTGTTTCTCCGATAAATGGGAAAGGGGGGAACTTACCGAGTACTGAACAACAGGCCAATAGGATTTGAGACTCATTAGGTACTGAAAATTTGAGAGCAGCCGTTGTCGTGCCATATCAAGTTCAAGGGAGATACTGCTAAACAGTAGAGTATGGAGATGAACACAAGAGCTAACAACCGCGATATGTCCGTAGATGAAATAGTCAAGCTCGCAATTCTTAATCTCGGTAGAATACCTCAAGATCTCAGAAACCAACTCGGCGCTTTCTTTGCATTTTGTAGCTCCATGTCGTACGGCACTTTCTGTAGTACTCCGGGCCGCTCGTGCATCCAAGAATGGGAACAGAAGCATTTGTTGAAAATGATAATACCCAATATGCATGGACAGAAATGTTCTACCAAGTTGTTGGTCGACGAAGAGCATGATATTGGTTATATTATAGCGCAAATCGGATGGTAAATTTGCCGCCCATTGATCAAGGCGACTTTCCAAAACGGCAGCCTGGGTACAATAATCATCAAATGAAATGATACCGCGACTGAGTTTCCGTAGTAATCTGTTTATCTCGGTAAAGATATCGAGCGTTTTCGCCATCTGGGCCCACATGTCTCGATGGGGGATTGTCGAGATATAACTTCCACCCGAAGGCTGTGGGCATGGCTTATGAAACGATACGTCGTCTATTGCTGGAGGAAATTGCGGGCCACTTCCAAATCCCATTGGCTCTATGGACATATCGGAAGCAGCCCAATGGTTGGCAATATGGACTGAAAGCCAGGTTCGGCGATATTCTTCCTTGTATACAACATTCGAGTCATTGGAAATGTCGGGAATCGGGAGAGCTTCTGCGTGCAGCCGAGCAAGTCCAACATAAATGTGTTTCGCTTGTACGTCTCCCTCTCCTGCAAAGAAATACGAGATCAAAATGAAACCTTGAACGGTTTCTAAACTGGGCGAGGCGGTGTGTTGCTGACAGAGTCGCACGGCTTCTGAAGCAAAGATCTTCCCACGAAAGCAAGGAGAGACACCATCAAAGATTGGATTGTTAGAATATCTGTGTTCAGTGTTATTATCCAGTTGCAGGAAAATTTCATTTGGAAGCGTACCTGGCAGCAAGAGCACACATTGCGTAGACGTGCACTATAAATGCTGTGCCTTCATTCAGTCGACGCATAAAACTAGGCACATGGAACATTGTATGCGCAATATTGTGGATGAAACGGAAATAAAGAGGGACCAATTCGCAGAACAATCCACGCGAATGTAAGATCCTAAGAAAAGATGGCTCATTTTGAGATGGTAAGTAGACATGGCCCTGGTTCACCTCGTTCTCTGACCGGTCCTCGTTCGGCAATCTTGCTGCGATTTTAAAGGGGCCTGCAAGGCCATTTGAGGGTGAAAGGCGTATGCTAGACCCGTAACTGAGGCTACAGGGGATCGAAAGCAATTGACACAGCCGGCAGGTAGCTCCGTCTGCAGGAACGCACCGCCTTTTCCGCACTCTAAATTTGACCGATGACTGTTCAGTATTCTCACGGTTGCCTCAAAGCATTCATGGCGAGGGGTCGGGAGAGTGGGTATTCACCGGCAGGTGGCACAAGCCCCAGCTCTAGTCCGCTTGTGTCGGTTGCTTTCCATGTCGCAGGGTCTAGAATGAACGGTGTATCTGTTCACTCAGCTACGTAAGTGGCTGGCCATCAAAGATTCGGGGCAACAAGAATGAAGAAGGTGAAGGATGCAGTAGATAAACTGTCGGTCCGTTGTTGATGGGGTGTTAGAAGCACTAAACCTGATTAAGAACCGGCTAGTCATAGTGCTCACCTGACCACGACCCATCATCCAAGTGAGCACTGGACCTTCCTCGATTATCTGAGCATAGGCAAGGTCGTTACCTGGTATATCGGAGGCTCTGTAGTTGTTACATACACTCCTGTGTCAGCTGAGAGTGATACGATCGGTGGCAGACCCCGGTGAAAGCCGTGGTTGGTTTGAATATATAGAGTTGACCCCAAGCCTTATAGCTCAAGTATTGGGAACCCACTCTCGAAGAGGCTCTCCAGTACAGTGATTCCTTAGTCTAGGATATGAATATGCAATCACTGCTTTGATTAGGCCCAAAGAGTATACTTTATTCAAAGAGGATGCAGGCAACTTGACCTGAGCTCAACTCAACTCATATGAAACCTGGACATTCACATCGGTAGAAGTACTAGTGCCTTTTGACCGTTTAACTCAATAGCAAGCACAGGGTGAATTGATTGTTATCACTACGAAAGTTCAAAAAATAGATTCTCGCGGAGACCAGGTCGGACAATGTCAGCAGGATGAAACACCCTTGCACCTTATAACTCGGCTTCTTCCTTTACATTCACTTTGAAAGAAATGAAGGCGCAGTGCCACTAGTAACTGACAAAGCCTTCTGTTGAATTCCCTCTCACTTCTCCTCTATCCTCCTCTTCGCTCACCTGGGCCTCTGTTCTGCACACTTCGTTCGCGACCGAAAAATGGATCCCGAGCCCAAGAGCCCTTCCCGTCGCTCTCCGCTCATAGGGAAAAGTCCAGATGTCACAGCTTCTTTGCAAAAAAGTGTACCGATTGACATTGAGGTCCAAGGCTTGAAGGCTAAGGTGCTTCTGAACCGCCCTCAGGAAGACATCGTCCCAGAAAAGTATCTTCAAAAGGCAGACCGATCCTGTGGGTTAATTTAACTGCTCACTCTATGATGCCCCCAAAACCCCTGAAGACTTTTGAATGAAAGAAGCCACTGACTATATTGAAGCCGTCGTGCAGCGTACTCCCTGGGCTTTTCGGGGCGTGGAAGATGCTCGCCAGGTAAATTTGGGCAAGTGGTCCAAAGTCGACGTCCGTTTCCGTGGGGTGTTTAGGATGCTCAATAAGGTGCCTCAATTCAAGAAGGGCTTGTATCAGAATGAAGATCGCAACATCGAAGGCTGCAGCCGTAAATACATCTTTGAGGACGCGGCCAGGGCACAAGGTCAGGTAGTCTACGCTCTTCTTGAGGAGATTCTGAATTTGCTGGATATTAGGCGAGAGATGGACAGTCATCTCTCCTATTTCTTCCTCCGGTGAGTACCATCATCCCTGCCCTGCGCTTTGCCCAAATATATTAGCTGTGCGTTGACAGCCCCCAGCGCAAGATTGTTGAATTGTCACATGGAATACTGGACCGGTTATCGCCAGAAGCATCAGGATGCGCCACTGACAGCTGGATGGGTTTGTGTCGACACTCATCCAGCCGGTGTATCCAATAAGTCGATTTTGCCCATTTCAACAGTATGATCCCTCATTGCACCAAAATCTACCAGTATCCGCTTGCGAGGTCAATCGACTGACGTTTCCTGGCTGTGCAGACGACCAAGGCAAAGCAGTCCCTCGAGTCTGCCCTAGAAGGGAAATTCAAACTTATATTAACAAATTTGTTGCTTCATATCCATAAACTGCATCCACCTGGCGACAAGTTTCCCGACCAAGAAGTCTTCCTGATCGGTCTGCATGGGTCTCGATTACACATCTTGCGTGCCATATTTCCGGGCTACAAAACCTCCAAAATCTGGAGTGGTAGATACAACCCTTCACCATCCAATACTGATTCGACAGAACTGTTCACCATGAATCCAAGTGAACGGTTCTACTCTAAGCAAAACGTAGAGCGATTTGTCGAACGAGTCGAATGGCATAAGCTGTCAAATGCGGACGGGGAGCGTGATTCCCGCGTGTTCCGAATTCTAGGAAGCCACGAGTATGATTTGTGGATCAAGTCTGAGTTCCGAGCCGCAGTGAGGTTGGTTATTGGGTTGATCATGTACTTGATGAGTGGACAAGCTCGTTGCGGTATTCTTCAGCATGCATTCCAGCGTTTTCCATATGATGAGGATGACGAGCCTAACTCGGAAGACGAGAGAGGTGATATTCAAGCTGCAAAGGAAGAGAAGGATGTCGCTGAAAAGGAGAAAGAGTTGGATGAGCTGGAGAAGCAGAGTGTTCAGAAAGATCAAGAACGGGCCCGAACTCGAGACACTATGCGGTCTTCTTCCAATGACCGAATCCGAGGCTTCGAAGATTCTCGTCAACCATGGTGGGAGTGGGTCTGGGAGGATAAGGTCGATGAAGAACGCGCAAAGAATGATGATGTGATTTGCAATGGTCCACAATAGCGTTCACATCATTCGCTCCTGGGAACTCTATCGTATACCTGACCAGCTATCGGATAGTGTACGATGGATGAACAACAATTCCTGGAGATGTACAATAATTTTACTGAGAAAGAAGTTTGTTTACTCTGAAGCATAACCAGTATGAGGGAATTGAATAGTAAATAAGACCACTCTGAACTACTTGGCGGGAGAGGAGTATGTATAATTGCCCTGGGCCAAGAAAAAGGTACACTCTTCGGTAGGAAAGCTAGACAGGCGACTGTTCCATATCCCTTCGACGCCTCTCAGACTCAAATTCAGTAAATGCGTCAATGCCCAATCCATCTTCACCACCGGTGCGAAAGTATTCAACAACAACTACAATAGCGTAGCACGTTGCTGCCGTTGCTGCACCACTTATGAACATTCTGCGAACTACGCTGCCAATAACTGATTCGCTTTTGAAGGAATCAGCTTTGCCTCTTCGTGTAGATCCTCCATCCGACGCAGATGGCCCTGGCGGATCGGCAGAGCCAGCATCTTTGTTATCAGATTTGGGATATTGTTTGGAGACCGATTCAGGCTCTTTGGTGGACTCCTTTTCAAGCAGGGGTTCGTTTCTCAGCTGTGCTTTTATTTCTTGTGCCTCGCTTGCAATTTGCCCAAGAGCAGACCCAGTATACTCTGGCTTTCCGAAAACTTTTCTGAATACCAGTATATCCTCACCACCCGAGGTAATCTCGTAGCCGTCAGCGTGCATTCTCTCGAAGTATGGTAAGAACTTTGCCGGGTTGTCTAAACGTGAAAGAATTTCGCTAGGATGGTGTGCTTCATTCATTCGATGCAAAGAGGTGCTTGCCTCTGCATGTGTTATTTGTAGGGTAGAGGGATCGTAAGCTAGAACTCGGTATGTTTCAGCGAATTGAGGATCTTTTAGGGAAGCCGATTGCGTGTGATCGATCTGCTCGGAGTTCTGAGGTTTTACAATATCCTTTGAAGCTTCTTGACTTGGAGTACTCGGTTTCAGGGCCTCTGTGTGCAGATGCTTGTCCTGCTCATGAGTTTCGGATCGTTTGTGGACATTTTGAGCACCGAGATCGCTAGTCAAAGCTGCAGATATACTTGACACCTCACCCATTTCTTTTCCCATTTGATCCTGCAAGCTGAGGCTTCTGTCGAACTTTCCAGTATCATAGCGAGAACGGATGTCGCTAGCTTGTAAGCGGTCCAGGTTCTCCGTCTTCTGTTTCGCATCCCTGATTTTAGCTTTCAAATCGCGTGAGTTGTTACATCTGGAGTCCACAGGTGGAGAATCGTCTTGAGAGGCGTCATTTGAGGACCCAGGGTAGCTAGGGCCGATGTTTTTACTGTGCACTGTATTGGATGGCATCTCAGAAGAGAATCCGTGATAGAGAAATCCATTCTCGGATGTGTTAGTCGTATTATCGATCAGTTTGTCTTCCGATGAGGGATCAGACAGCCTGTTTTCCGCTTCACTGGAAGCCACAGAGGTTTCTTCTGTTCTGGTTTGACTCTTGGGGTCCTTTTGAATCAGTGACTTCGGTGGGGCGCTGTCAGAGCTACCAAAGTCGGCAATCTCCTCTGGTGTGGCTTTGAATTTGATGTCTGTCCGGCTTATGGAAGACAAATAACCAGTACCCTTCCTATGTGTTTTCGGGTCTTTGGCAAATCTTTTCGCCGAGTCTTCCCCACCAGCGGGTCTTTCCCCTTCTATTGCATCAGTCATTCTGGGTTTCTTGAGTACCATTCGACCACTAATGGGGTCAAACTCATATCGACTGGTTTTCTTTTTGTGTGAGGTTTCTGCAACGCCTCCATTTCCCGGCTCTTTTGACGATGATCCTTTCCTCTGCCGGCTTTCTGTGGAATCATTCTTGGATTGGTTTGAACGGGTCGTTGTGTCCGTTGACCAGGTCTTCTCAAATTTGTCGAGACCAAATATTGAGCGATATAGGGTTGCACAAGTGTCTTCAAGTTTGTGCAGGGCAGTGAAAGGTTCAAGCCGTCTTCCAAACAATGCCCCATAAGGATCGGTCTCCATTTCCTTCTTGAGCTGTGCTATCTTCTTGTGTATATGTGTTCCCTCATCGCCCCAAAAGTCTTTAAGGGAGTATGTTGCTCGGTTGTGCTCGGGGATATTGGTGGGCTTTGGTCGTTCCCAGAGTTTCCCCCAGCACCGACGACGATTATAGATCTGTGCCGGCCACGGGTGAGAAGGCTTCCCCCTCATCCTAACAAAATCGAGGCGTCGATAGATTTTTATTCGCTTCGGTCCACAATTATTGTAAAAGTCTTGCGTCTGGTTGGCACCTCTCCATAAATTGCGGGTTTGGACGGATGTCTTCAGGCGCCTAGCGGTAAGATATAGACCCTTCCGGTCGCTCTTTAGAAAGATCGCGGGGAATACCGGGGTTTTGACGTTTGTAATCATTGCGAGATGGTTTAGGGTTGTTACAATGATGGAGAGATTCGATCAATATGCTGGATTAATAAATCAATGAAGGGAGAGCAACAAGTCATTGACCGGTTTCGGACGGTCTGGGGTTGGCCCGATCACATCACTGGCCTGAGTGGTAGGTCCTGGCGAGTACCATCTCACTTATGAACAACGATGGTCTGGGGGTACAGATGATAAGTCTTCGAGAGATGCACCAGACTGGCAGGCGGGCAGAGATCAAATGATGAAGGAGATAAGCTCCTCCCCAGGCGGAGAGCACAGGGAGCTCCTACTGGTCATTTGCGGGTCATCTGAATGTGGGTCTCTGAGTTCGGGCATCTCCAGCTAGCCCGAATGGGTTAGTCCGACAAGCCTGAGAAAACAAGCCTCAGGCAACTTTCTGGATGATCTGAGGTCAGAGATATACTGTGTAGCGAGAGCGGTTCTAGTGTAGATAAAAGAATTTTGCTCTATATGCCTAGCCATAAGTACAGTGTAATATCTATTGCCTTAAAGAATAAGATCAGACACTCGTAGATCATCAAGGCTCTATAAGACTGGATCCGACGTAATGTAGTTGCTCCAGAATCTCAGCCCTTCAATACCTTCTTCTCTGCATAGAATACCTTTATCCTCGGCCATTTCAAGCTCCTCGGCTGCAACCCCAACACTCCACTTAAACCTTTGTGCGGCCTCCTGTGCAGTGACCGCGCGTCCGAAGAGACGCCAATCCCAGGCCACGGGTTCCAAAGGTGGGATCTGCCGAAGCTCTACCATCCATTCTTGCAGCTGTCGAATGGTCTTCTCGTCACTCCAATCATACCTTTGAACGACGAGTAGACCACTCTTGAATCGACGCAAGCGAACAGGTAGTTTCAACTTTTCCCACAATTCTGCGGCTCTCTGGAAGTCGGAAGGACTGACCAGCTCTACTCCATTTCGAGATCGGTTGAAGATGGCCCAGAGATCAATGAGACTGATAATACCACCTTCTCGTTGTAGGATCCCTTTACGATCGTCGGTCAGATATTCAGCAAGGTTCCGGGATAGCTCTGACAAATAGAGATTCTCGGCGCCAGAACCTAGCATATCCTTGGTTGTGATCATGCCCAGTGCCGCAGCTGACTCCGAAAGTACTGTACTAGCCTCCAAAGAATTTTCATCGTTGGACATCCCAGACTCCCTTGCAAGTGTCTCTGCAAGTGCGACAATCTGCTTTGCAGATGCCATGAGGGCTTCAAGGTCCTCGAACGCGTTCCCAATGACCATTTCGTTGTTCCTACGGGCCTCAAGCCCTCGTTGCTCGAGCCCTGCAATCCCTACGGCAGGCGATCGGATTTGCACTGGCACGATCCCATCAACAGGGGCTGACATGGTCAAGCTAGGGGATGGTGTCGACCGTGCAGGCTGTTGAGGTACTGGCGGAGCATCATGCAGAAGCCATTTTCGTTGAATCAAGGCGCCCTTCAACCGCTCATGGAAAGTCTTCTCACCACCACCTCGGAAGGACAATTTTATGCAGTCGGTGATTTCCGTATTCTTGATGGTTCCCTGCTCAAAAAATGGTGCCGGTGATTCGGCGCGATTGTCATCGCCACCGGCTGGTCTTAATGTGCCCACAGTAGCGAGTGGAGCACTGCAAATCTCGCACTCTAGGAGAGAGGGGTGATTTACGAAAGTACATCTGGGACATGAGATAGACGTGCTTGGTTGTGAAGTCGGCACTGTACTCCTTGCGTTGCTGCTTGGGGGCAATGCTTCTTGCCCTAGCCGAGGGATACCCTGGTTCGTCCCAGGTCCTTCTCGACTAGCCACAGCGGAAATGGCCGCCTTCAGGATGGTGGTGAAGGGAGGCTTGATACCACATGCTAGACAAGGTGGGATACTAGTTGACGTGGTCGCAGTTGACGGGTCAAAGTTAGACGGCACGGGGTTGGAAAACGAGCATATGGGACAGATCCAGGTAGCATTAACGGGCTGGGACGAGGGTGGTTTTACTTGGGGGCCCAATGCCTGAGGAAAGGGGGATTGCGATCGGGTCGAGTGAGACCTTGAAGGCTGAGAGCGCGAAGGGCTGGCTCCTGCACCTCTCGACTTGTCAAGACCGTTCTTGAGTGGCTTGGGGTATATTGTGATCTTTGCAGATGATTTCAGAAAGCCGGCCTATGACTAGTGAGCCGTTGTTTAGGTCACAACACATATGCAAGGATGTTGCGTACTTGGTAATCTGCTCGGTCTATTTCTTTCAAGTCAACGGCAACTGAGTGTTTGCGTGGATCTTCAACAGCAACATAGCAGACTCTGTGGGATGTGAGGTATGCATGGCCGTTCTGGTAATTAGGGATCTTGTATTTGCTGTCGCGTCAAGATACTCAATGTCAGCTCAGTATCGTACATTATGGGACAATGTGAAGTGTATGGAATGCAAGTGGCAATGGGACATGCCCACCGGAGATCTCCATAGAAAAAATATCTCCTGATACTACATCTGTGGTACAAAGAAATAGCCGGTTACTCACCCTTCATACACCCCCACCGCATCCTGAACAAAGAGTAAAGTCTCATCGGGCAACAGTAAAGGGCGGAGCGCAGTAGTTAGATCCAAAGGCTTGAAAAACATCTAGTAAGATCAACTAGCATCTCTCCACCAGACAGGTCTGTGAGGGAAAAAGAGATAGAAGAGAGAAGGTGTAAAGGGCCATTGCGATATGCGGGGAGATTAAATGGCAAATCCCATTGACATGGCTGACGTAAGTGGGTTGATACGGCAGGCGGTAGAGACACTCACGGGACGCCCAGGCAAAATCTCCGCCACGAAGTGCAGCGCACTAAGCGAAACTCCTTTCAAGACAAACCTCACTTCTTTATCTTACTTACTTCTCTTTGTACGTTCACCAAAACTGACTCCAAAATTCAACGTGGGCGTCTGTCTTTGTCGCTCTGACAAGAATACTTATTTCATACATCTCTCATCTTGTGGTGGAACCTACTCAGTGTAGGACTAACACTTTGGCCTCTCGTCCTTCAAACAAGCATTCCGTAGTTCATATCGTGCCTCCATCACCACACTCCGTCATCTCTATCTTTCTTTCTCTTTTTCTTCTTTTTCCTTCCTCTCTCCTTGACTTAGATACTGCTCAAAAATGAGTTCCGGTCCCCCGCCATGGCGTGCCACCTCTTCGGCCACGACTACGGTACCTTCATATTCTGGTCATGGTAAGCCAATTTTCCCGAGTTATATCCTTAATATGAGCCCTCTGACTTTTGGAATAGCGACACCAGCCTATATTCCGGTCCAAGCACGCCGTAGCCTTGCCCCCACGTCAACAATCAACCCGCCACCCGAGTCATCTGCCTCGTCAAACACCGATTCGGCACCCCGCAAACGAGTAGAATGGCCGGCACCTGTTCGGCAGTACGTACAGCGAAGTTTCACGCCCGAAAATGCAATTGCCTCCGTGAGCAGGGAAGAGATGGAGACAAAATTGAAGAACGTCATTACCGACGCAGCGGAGAGTAACATGCTCGATAAGATCGACTGGGTTTCCTTACCCTTACCGCAGGTCATGGTCCAGAATGAACGCAATAGGATTCTGGCCAGTCCGAGTGTATCGTCCTGGGGAGCCTCAAGGGTGGTTTCTCACAAGTCCGAGGATGTTTCGCGAAAACGAAAATCGGCCGAATTCCAAGGAAACGCAGACAGCTGTCCACCTTGGAGGCAAACTAACAAGCACAATAATTTTGAAGATCGAGTCACTTATTCTCCAACAGACAAACGACAACGCATAGATCATAAAAACCCTAGTAAGTCTAAAGCTAATCTGGAACTGCGGAGGAAACGTTTCGAGGGCCCCTGGAACACCAACAGATCGTCATCTCGCGATGAATCTCCCGTCGCGAGTCCGGATCAGGGCCCTGTCGTCGGAAGATGTCAAAATCTAGAGAAGAATTACTTCCGATTGACATCAGCGCCCAATCCCGATACGGTTCGCCCTCTTGAGGTCTTGATCAAGACTCTGGATCTATTGAAGAAAAAGTGGAAACGGGACAACAATTATGGCTATATATGTGACCAGTTCAAATCACTACGACAGGACCTGACTGTCCAGCATATCAGAAACGAATTTACAGTCAGTGTTTATGAGATTCATGCCCGGATTGCTCTCGAAAAAGGAGATCTTGGTGAGTATAATCAATGTCAAACCCAGCTGCGAGCGTTGTATACCCAGCAGCTTGGTGGACATCCTCGGGAATTCAAGGCGTATCGTATACTTTACTTCATCCATACTCGCAACTGGACGGCCATGAACGATGCCTTGGCGGATTTAACCCCAGCCGACAAACGGGATCCTGCTGTGAAACATGCCCTGGACGTCCGGTCGGCCCTTGCTCTTGGAAATTATCACCGTTTCTTTCAGCTTTACCTAGATACCCCCAATATGGGGGCTTACCTTATGGACATGTTTGTGGATCGAGAGCGACTCTCTGCGCTTTCCGCCATCTGTAAAGCGTAAGTTCTCGCCCTGCGGTCGGTTATTTTTCTACGATCTGCTGACACTGAGTCGAACAGATACAAACCCGATGTAAAAATCCGCTTCATTACTGAGGAGCTTGGCTTCGAGTCCGACGAGCAGAGCGCACGCTTCATTCTTGACAACACTTCTGAAGAATTGCTTCAGGAGAAAGATGGGGCTGTGAAGCTGCTTACCGGAGGAATAGCCAGCCAGCTTTTTGAGGTCGCCAAGACTAAAGCTCATCAAGTTGTTGATATCAAAGGACAGATTTGAGTTTTTCTTCTCAAATGTTTCTCTACAGTCAACCTCCGCAGTCATGTTCCCGTTCTGCCGCCCATTTTTCTCGAATCCATGCATCCCAAGCCTTTTTCTTCGCTTTTCCCCTTGTTACTACTTTCCTCGTTCCACCCTATCATTCCAATTTTTGGCGTTGAATGTCTTTTATTCATAACTCGAGAAATATATATACCCATTTTAATCCCAAATTTATTGGTAGTGTTCTCGACATGGTCTTCATCGCGCTTTGACCATGGGTATTGTTGAGGATCTATATGGTAATTTCCGATCTGTCCGACAATTTAACCTCTGGTCTCTTCAAGTCATGTTCTTGAGGAAAGCTTTTTGTGATGTAGCGTAGGGCTTGGGCTTTGTGTCGTGCGTCAAAGCCTGGGCCAAGTCCCGACTCAAGAGTTTCCCTTACATGAGTCTACAATAATTACAGCAGCCTAAACTTGTAATCCCGGCACATGTCTTAGGATACAGTACCACTAGAGATGAGTAAATCAAATAGAAAGTATCTTCGATAGTTCCAATGGTTTTTCTCCCCCAAGAGCATCGAACATATTTCAACAATCCCCAGTCTGTAGAATCAAATACCCTTGGCCAACGGATGGATTTAACTTATTTCAACTACAAGAAAAGAAATCCTTGAAAGAGGTCTTATTCGCAGAGCAAACCAGAAATCACGAGAATCTAGTAACACAAAAGAAGGCATACTCTCCGATCAGGTTCAGCTTATAGCGCCCATGCCGCAGGAGGCGTTTCTCGTACCCGTAAGTAAGTATGCATGTATGTACCTAGGTACCTAGGAGTAGGTATGTATGTACAGTACATACCTGCTCGCATCGAAGGCTGCGGCTCCCACTGGCTGACCTGCAGCACGATGGCCGACTGCAAGGGGCACTTGCATCCCAAGCTGACCAAGACGAGGGGAAGCCGGACCAGATGAGTGGTTTTAAATGAAGCGCGGAAGTCCGCATGGGAACTGCTGGGTGTATCCCTACAGACGGAGTACGAGGGGCGTGTGCGAGTGCCGAATCTAGACGGTTCTCGACCCCAAGGGCAGGTTTGCCCCAAGCCCGGTGGGAAGACAGGGTAGGATGCGTCTGGTGTAGATCTGGCGCCAGATGTGACGGCTGCTTGCCGGGTCGTGTGACGGAGAATCGTACTGTAGCTCTGCTGTCAAGGGCCCCCGTGCCCGCCCGATTAGGTGAGATGTACATGTACGCGCATGGACCCAGTTCCCGGTCAATCTCGTGTTTCTTTTGTAACCAATTTTAGATTGCTCTCTTTTTTTTTTGTCCTTAGGGTAAGAAGGATTCCTCTGCACCTCTTCGTCGGATATACAACGCTCCAACCACTCCAAATCAGCCGATTATGGCGATCCTGGCGGCTTCTGGATTAGACGAAGAAGCAACACTGAATGGAACCGAAGGTTGACAACCATGGGTGCAGCTCATTCGTTGCATGTACCACGGAAGTAGGTAGGTCGGTATCGACCAGTTGCGGTTACCGAAACTAACCGTTGAAGATGTCATCAAGATGCCCAGGGCGATCTTTTGCTCATCATGGTGGATCTCTGCCAGGACAACAGCGAAGGCTGATCAGCAACGACAATGACTTCTTCAGGCGTTGATCAGTCGATGCTCGCTAGTCCGGTTTAGTCCTAGCGCCACCTCGTAGTGGACCAAGTATACACCCATGCTTCCTACAGGTATAGGGCACATATTCAAGGTAGACATTTACTGTAGTATGCGTTGGTATTGAATGTATACGGAGTGTTATCGCAGGGCGAGAGCTATAGGTTGCTTTCCTCATCATTTACAAATGGGTTATACCTAAAATGACGCCTTGCGAGGGAAACTGCCTACTGCTCCCTTCATCTTCCTACCGAGTCCGGAGTACATAACTATGCACCATATTCACCCCGTAGCTTCCTGGGGTTCTCCTGGGGTTCAGTGTGAAACGTGAGAATAGAAACAACTCGAGCCCATTGGCCAGTAGCCAGTGTTAAACCATCCCATCCCATTTTTGGGCGCCCACTGCTCGGGCATATGACTAAATCTGCCGAGCCGTGGGAAGAAGATCAAAAGATATGACGTTTTCCCGGGTTGTCAACTCATTCAGTGGGAACAGAAGAATATTCCATGAGGGCTCATATTAGGTTCATCGACGTTTCTTACCAGCCCTCCGCCCTCCTCGAAGGGTGGTAGCTGGCAACCGCCACGTTTTGGACAAAGTTTATTTGCCCTTCTCCAAACTCCAACAAGCCACGGAAATTATTATCAGGTCGATCTGGCGAATGACGATCTTGTTAGCCAAATTCAAAGGGACGTAAGTTAGCTTTCCGGGGAGGGATCGAGCGGCAGGAGAGCTGCGACGCGATGGAGAGAAAGCATGCAAGGTACAGGGTCGCACAGGCTCGTATGGACGATGGAAAGGAAGAGGACTGCTGCAGGTGAGGTTGGTCGAGAGAAATACCGGGCTGCTACCCGGTGCACGACGGACAAATTGCTACTCAGTAAGCCTCGCCAGTGAGATGGACGGAGAGTCTGAGTAATGGGCCTGATGGCTGGTCCGGGGTTCCAGACTTTTGGAATCGCCAGTGGCAATCCACCTCCCGCCCCTCCTATGGGCACCGAGCTCCAGTTACAATGCGGTGGGTGGTTCACGTACGTAGACGTGTCTTGGCTACAGCGAACGGACCACGGCACTTGTTTCTCCATCTCGCCATTTTTCCTTCTCTTCGTGATTCCATCGTTGTTCTATGATATTCCAATCCGTATGCCTTATAGTTATCCAATTTTCAAAGGGTAGAAAAGGGGAG